CTGGCCGGTCCCACTGCACCAGGAATTAACCTCTGAGTGAGCAGAGCTGCTGGGGACGGGCCAGCCCAAAGTCCTGCTGTGTGTCTTGGCCTGGCTCTAGAGACCAGTTCCCAGTGGGCCCCAGGCATCACCTGCTCAGGAAGTGAGGGGCCACTCTTCTGTACCCAGGGGTCCCTCTGGATGGCCTGACTCTGCAGAAGCCCCTAGACCAGGACCTGAGGCCCAGCTTGTGTGGCTGGGGAGCGGACAGGGGGCTTCCGCTGCAGCCCACCACACAGGAGAGGGGGACCAGGACCCGAGAGTCTGCTGGCCCATGCCAGGCCTTGTTATCACAGCTGCCAGGTTCACGTGCCCCGGGGTGGTTAGGGGCTCAGTTAAACCTGGGTTGGAGCCCAGTTCGGTCATTACCAGTGGCCTGTTCTTTGACTCCCCTGATCAATGGGGGTTATCAGAGACCTGAGCTCTTCGGGGAGCTGTGTTGTCAATGAGACTCCTGCAATGAGTGGCCAGGGTCTGGCTGACCACAAAGGCCACGGACGGGGACAGATCAAGTATCCCGTTCCTAATTACCTAGCACCAGGGACTATGCCCACTGCGTTTAACAGACCCATGGCCTGTGTCTGGTTATGATTCCCGTTTTACAGATGGGGAAACTGAGTCTCAAGGTCACAGAGCTCAGAGGAAGTGGAGCTGGGAGTTGAGCTGGGGTAGTGAAGTTCTAAAGTTTTTACACTTTATCCCATCTATCTCCTGGGTCGTCTTTTCCCCATAATTAAAATCTGCAGGGAGAGCGCGACTCTGTCGTGGTTGGTTAATGCAGAGAACTTCCGTTTCCTCTCCCTCCCTCCCTCCCTGTCCACCCCCTGCCATTCCCTCTGAAGTGATGGATCCTTACTGGCCAACATGCCCCATCCTGACAAGTGGTACTGTTCTGTGTCTGTGGGTGTCTCCGCGCACACAGCATTGCTCGCTGTGTCATTCCCCTTTCATTCACTGTGATGTGTGTCAGAGGCGCAGAAGTTATTGGAGGCACAGGTACCCCCCCAGTGGGGGCACACCTGGGGACCCAAGACAGGAGATGCAGCCCCCACCTGCCTGTGCCCCGTGGCCTGGGACCCTGTTTCCTTGTTTCTCTTCCCCTTGCTCCCTGGTGTGGAAAATTTTCACATGGACCACAGCAAATCACACAGAAGGTCAAAAGGAAGGGCTGTGAGCTTCCTTTTGTGCTCGGGCCAGCAGGCGACCTCAAGGGCAGGGCCACCCACTGCAAAGAAAGCCTTTGTCAGAACCCAGGCTGCCCTTAACCCGCCCTCCAGGAATGAACTGGCAGGGTCCCCCCCACGCCCCGCATATAAGGTGCATGGCCCTCCAGAGGCCGCAAAGAATTCTGGGACAAGGTGCGAAAGGTGCTTGGGGTCATTTCACCCCCTGGTCCTGGGGACACACCACACTGCAAGGGGTTGGGGTGAAAACCCCTGAGGATGGGGGCGGGGCTGCCTTTCTCCCTGTTTTATCCGCCATGCCGAGCCGAGCACACAGCTGGTGCCTAATAAATGCTTGTTCCACTGACCGACCTAACAGACCCTGGAACACAGCTGAGGCCTAATAATTGTTTGCCCTATTCCATCTCTAGGGCTTAGCACGGAGTCTGGCACACAACTGGTGCCCAATGAGTGTTCATTCCAATGAGTCTCCAGGGCCTAGCACTGAGCCTGGCAAACAGCTAGTCCTGAATAAATGTTCCTTTGAGTTTCCCAGGCCTGGCAGAGAGCCTAACAAATGTTTGTGGAGAAGGAACAGAGACAGGGGGAAGGAAAGAATGAAGGAGAAACGTGGCCGAGGAGGGGAAAAGAGGCAGCCAGGCCATGATGAGCTGCCACGCAGGACCTGGGTTCAAATCCTACCTCTGGAGTTCGCTGTGACAAAAATCAGCCCAGAAGCCAGCTCACTGGAGGTGCAGCAGGCCAGGGTGACACAGAGGGAGCCTGTGGCCCCAAGCTCATGGCCGGTCCTTGCCCTACCCCTGGAGTGCTGGATGAGGAAGGGGCTCAGGAGGGATCGCCAGGGGCCAGGGCAGAGGCAGCAGAACTGGGCGGCCAGGCGCCTCTGGTCCACGGATGCTCCTGTTCCCGCCGTGAAGATGCAGCCAGGCCCTGCACACCCTGGCAGGGCCCCACCTCCCTGGACCCAGGAAGGCTCGGAAGCGGTGCCAGCCTCCCCCGGGGCCCCAAAGCGGTGATGAATAACTTGTTTATGTGCAGCGAGCCGCTCCCACCGCGCTCCGTGCCTGGCGGGCCGAGGGCTGCAAGGGGCGTGGGGGCGGGGCTGGAGACAGGGAGGGCTGGCTCCTTCTGCAACCCTGAGCTGCTTCCTGTCCTCATTTTCCTCAAAAGTCCCCTGCTTTGGAAGCAGCAGGTGGAGATGTTGGAGAAGGCAGGCTCTGAAGTCAGAAAGATCTGGATTTGAGTCTCACTTCACCGCTCATCCGCTGTGTGACTTTGGATGTATCCCTAAACCTCTCTGAGCCACAACTTCCTCACTTCTAAAGCCGGCATAACCTGAGGAGGGCTTTCCCCTTAGAGATACCCTCAAGGGCATCTCGCCCCCTCTCCCCCTCCAAGCCTCCAGAACCCGCCTTTCAGCACTAGAACCTACTTTAGGAAACTTCACCCCACGGCCAGGAGGGCTCTCCAGCTCCAGCCCTCCCTCCCCACCTTCCCCCGCCAAGACCCGAGGTCTCTGCATGGTCCTAGAGGGGGGTCTGCAGCAGCTGCCATTGATCCTAAACCGAGACCCACTGAGACCCAGGTGACAGCGGCTGGGTTGGAACTTTGGCTTCTGCTCTTTAATCCTGCATCATAGGAGATAAGAGACCATGCAGGCGCCATCCAGAAGTTCAAGGTCACGCTGGGCTCAAGACAGGACCTAACAGATACTGAGGGCCCCACAGGGCAGCATCTCCAAGGGAACATGCAGCCTCCTCCTGTCAGCCTCTACGAGAGCGGTCCCCCGAGGAGGCCACAGAGAAGTATCATTTATGAGCATCCGGGCTTTGCCCACTGCATCTCTTGGTGCCTTGATCTTGAACTCCCAGGCCTCCAAGGCTGTGGGCCACCCACTTCTGGATTTTGCTTGTTTGTTTGTACCAGGGATTGAACTCAGGGGCACTCCATCCGAGCCCCATCCCCGGCCCTTTTTATATTTTATTTAGAGACAGGGTCTCGCTGAATTGCTTAGGGCCCCTCTGAGTTGCTGAGGCTGGCTTTGACCTCTCCATCCTCCTGCCTCAGCCTCCCGAGCTGCTCTGAGGACAGGTGCGCACCACCACACCCGACCCATTTCTGTAGTTTGTGAACCACCCAGGCTAAGGTGTTTTGTTAAAAGCAGCAGGAACCAATGAAGACAGCCCCTAACCCCTCTCAAATCGACGTCAGTACCTTCAAAATAACCTTCCTGCACAACTTTCTGCACCCAGCCACACCTGTCCTCTCCACTCCGCCCCCATCTGATCTCACCTCTCCCCATTTCCTTATATATTTCTGGCAGTGCTGGGGCTGAAACCCAGGGCCTCCTACAGGCCAGGTGCATGTTCTGCCACTGAGCTACACCCCAGCCCCCACCACGTCCTTATTACCACCTCTTCCACAGTGTTGCCAGGTCTGCCGAGGGCAGAGGTGTGTAGTTGGGGTGCTGCTAGCCTTCAGGACACGTCTTACAATTCATGGGAGCATTTTGTCCTCATGATTTGGGAGTGTCGTCGGCAATCAGCAGGTGGAGGTTAGAGACGTGAGAACCTTGAATGCACGGGACTGCCCTGGACAGCAAAGACCCCGGGGCATTCATATCCCCGGAAGACATTCATGTGGGCAAGACACGCCGGTGAGCTGGTTCACAACTCGGCCTCGAGTATTTTTCAGAAGACTCTCTGAAACGCGTGTTCTGCCACGACGATCGCTTGATCTTCGTAAGATTTAAAAATCACGAAGCATCTCTTGCAAATGGAAATACCTGGTACATCCACTAGTTTCTCTAGGGCGCTGATGGTAAAGAAGAGTCTTAATAATTATTTTTAAACTATTCGTGGGGTTGCTGCTGGAGTGAGCGGTCGCAGATTTTGTGGCTAAGACAACGTGAGTTTCACATCTTACGGTTCCAAAGTTCTAAATGGGTCTCGTGAGCTAATATCAGGGTATGGGCAGGGCTGAATTCCTTCTAGAAGGTCCAGGGGAGAGTCCATCCCTTTGCTTTATCCGGATCCTGTAGGCAGGGTCCCTTCCCCCTTTGGCAAAGCCAGCAAGGTCCACCCAACCCCCCTCCCACCGTCACCTGTTTGGTTTCTCTTCTGGTTCTGCCTGCCCTTGTGAGTGACACAGGCCCACCCACATCATCCAGAGAGGTGCCTACTTTAAAGTCCTCTACACCCAGGCATCTCCCTATATTTAAGGTCAACTGACTTGCAACCTTGATTCTACCTGCAAACGGAATCTTCCTTAGTCATTTAAGAACATATTCTCAGGTTCTGGGGATTAGATGTCAACATCTTTGGGTCCGTTAACCTGCTTGTCCCTGGAATCCCTTAAATTATCCACGGAGGTGCAGTCGGCTGGGAAACAGGTCGAAAGCCTGGATTCTGGAGCAAGAGTGTTTGCTTCAAATCCCAGCTCCACCCCTTGAGCTGGATTTCTGTGGACAAGTGACTTAACTTCTCTGTGCCTTAACTTTCACATGGACGAGTGGATGGACGAGCGGATGGACGAGAGGATGGACGAATGGATGGACGAGAGGATGGACGAATGGATGGACGAGCGGATGGATGAGCAGATGGACAAGAGGATGGGCGAGTGGATGGACGGGAGGATGGACGGGTGGATGGATGGATGTAGGGACCTTCCTCCAGCGCACATCCCTCCATGTGGATCTTACTCCTCAGATGGCCCCAGAGGCAGCCTAGAAAGGGAATCTGGGGTCTGACGCGTCTGCTCTTTGCAGGGTGGAGAGGGCTGGTTCAGGACCATGGAGAGCAGCCCCAGCAGCCCGCGGCCTCCGCAGTCGGACCCCCTGGAGGCTTTCCCCCAGAAGAGCCTGGAGCCTGGAGACATCGCGGTGCTGGTGCTTTACTTCATTTTCGTCCTGGCTGTTGGACTCTGGGTAAGCCAGGCCCTGGGGAAGGAGGGAGAAGGGGACCCCCGGCCTGAAGCCCCGCGTGAACCCCGTGATTTGGGAGATGATGTACCTAGAGGAAGAAACCCGCCCAAGGTCTTCCTCAGGCCTCTAACATGTCAAAAGCACCTTGGGCCTTGGCCGTGCCTCAGCTGGTTAAGCATTTCCCCTCACGGCATCTCAGGCAATTTGCCCAGGGCCTCTCAGAAGACACTGTGCCCATTCAGCAGACAAAGAAACTGAGTCTCAAAGAATTTAACGTCTTTATTCTGTTAGTAAGTTAGGAGAGCTGGAGTTGGAATTCCTATCCACCTTATTTTGAAGCCTGGGTTCTTTTAATTTTAATCTAAAAGCTTTTGTTTGTTGGTTTTGTCTGAAGTACTAGGGAGAGAACCCAGGGAGGTGAGTTATATCCCCCACCCCGTCTCCTGAGGCAGAGTCTCACTAAACGGCTGAGGCTGACCTTGAACCCCAGATCCTCCKGCCTCAGCCTCCCGAGTTGCTGGGATCACAGGTGTGCGCCACCACACCCAACAATCTAAAGGAATTTTTTTTTAAAGGCAAGAGTGGCTCAAAATAAAAATAGCTCAGGACCTACAGTATAAAGTCTCACTGTGACTCTTCCCGCCTTGCAAGCTGCCATTACTGGCTTGTAATCACTCTGTATTCGTGGATTCTTCCAGTTTCTTTATGCAAATCAAAGCCAGTATTAATATGTTTATTGCCCTCTTTCTTAAACGGGAAGTAGCTTTCTGTACCTACTTGTCTTTTACCTTGTTGTTTTTACCTACCACTGTCTCTTCATATCAGTACCTCAAACCTTCCTAATTATTCTATTTTGTTCAATTAATTAATTTATTTATTTATTTTGGTACCAGGGAATGAACCCAGGGACACTTGACCACTGAGCCACAACCCTGACCCTTTTTTTTTTATATCTTATTTAGAGACAGGGTCTTGCTAAGTTGCCGAGGCTGGCTTGGAGTTCGAGATCCCCCTGCCTCGGCCTCCAGAGCCTCTAGGATCACAGGCTCGGCTTCCTCATCCTAAACCCTGAACAGCATTAGATGACTCTATTGTCCTTTACTTAACCGACTCCCTGCTGAGGGACAATTGGGTTTTCTCTCACCTCTTACTGTCCAGGTTATAATACACAAACCTTATGCACTCATTATTTTGGAGTGTAGGCAGGATGTAGGATCAATCTCCTCAAATAGGATTCTCAGACTGAAGGAGATAGGCATTTGCAGTTATGCTAATTTGTGTCCAATTAGCATAAATCACCCGTCCGCACACATGTACCACAAAGCCTGTTTTATCATGTCCTCACCACCCAGGTGCAGTCCAACTGATAGAGGGAAATAGTATCTCGATGCATTGTTAATATGCACTCATCTCATAATGAAGGAGTCTGGACACCCTTAGAGATGAACCCTTTTCCTGTCTCTGAAATCCATGTGGAAACCTGATGGCCAATGTGACACTATAAAGAGGTGGAGGGGAGAAACTTCATCAATGGGATCAGAGGCTTTATAAGAACCTCAGGGGAACGAGTTCCCCGTCCCACTCACAGGCTCCGTGAGGTCACAGAGGAGGCTCCATCTATGAGTTACAGACACCAAACCCGTGGGCACCTTGGTCTTGAACCTCCCAACCTCCAGAGCTACAAGGCACAAGTTTCTGGTGTCTATAAGTTACCTAGTCTCTGGCATTTTGTTACAGCAGCATGACTGGGCAGGACTTGAGCCTCACTCAGTCTTTCCCTCTGTCCGATGGTCCTGGTGGCACCCACCTCCAGGAGTTGGTAAGGAGCAAAATGAGCTGAGGCCTAAATTATGCTCAGCGTGGGACAGGGAGAGCACTCGGTGAATGCCACCCCTGATGGGCCATCGTCGCCAGACCAGGGGTCTAAAGCTCCAGTGAGGTCCCCAAGTCTGGCCTGCTGGATTCCAGGGGGGCTGTCCCCGTGGGGGATGCCAGGAATTGCTAACAGTCTCCCCCCCTCCTCTCTGTTTCAGTCCACGGTGAAGACCAAAAGAGACACGGTGAAAGGCTACTTCCTGGCTGGAGGGGACATGGTGTGGTGGCCAGTAAGTGCTCTCCAGTCCAACTAAGTCACCTCCCAAAGAACCTTCCAGGGCGGGTGCTCCATCTCGGGCTCTTGGGCTCCATGTTGTCTGAAAGTCACAGTCCAGACCAGAAAGGGCTTGGCGCCAACTCAAATTTATTTAAGCAAAAAAGAGGATTTATCGGCTCCTCCAAGGGAACCCTCRACCTGTGGACTGGTTTGGGGTGTGGCTGAATGCAGAGGCTCAGGGGCTGCCCCTGGGACCCAATGACCTGGTTCCTCTGACTATTCTGTCTCTGTCTGTCTGTCTGTCTCTCATCTATGTTTCTATCTGTCACATAACAGACATAACAGAGAAATAGTCCGCCCAACCAAATATGCCTTCTTCTGTGGGCACAGGGAACATTCTCCAGGATAAACTGGAGATGCTCAGCTACAAATAATTCTCGATAAATTTAAAATGACCGAGGCTGGGCGCAATGGTGCACTCGCCTGTCATCCCAGAGGCTCGGGAGGCTGAGGCAGGAGGATCGCGAGTTCAAAGCCAGCCTCAGCAATAAGGAGGCCCTAAGCAACTCAGTGAGACAAAATAGGGCTGGGGATGAGGCTCAGTAGTGGAGTGCCCCTGAGTTCAATCCCAGTACCAAAATATATATACTGAAACGAACACAAAGTATATTGTCTATCCATGGTGAAATAAAATTAGAAATCGCTAATGGAAGGCAGTTTGGGAATTCACAAATATGTAGAAATTAAGCGATGCATCCTGAAATAATCAATGGATCTGAGAAGAAATTGTAACAATTTTAGGAAATATTTTGAGAGGATTGAAAGCAAAAGCACAGCAAAAGCACTACCCAAAGTTATGAGATGCAGCTAAAGCATTTCTTAGAGGCAAATTCATATTGCAATGCCCAGATTTTTTTTTTTTTAAAAAGAAGAAAGACCCCAAACCAATTACTTAGCCTTTCGCATTAACTAGAAAAAGAAAAGCAAACTAAATCCAACGCGAGGAGAAGGAAGGAAGCAATAAATATTCGAGTGGAGAGAGATGAAGTCGAGGCTAGAAAATCATCAGAGGAATCAACAATAGCAAAGGTAGGGCCAGGTGCCGTGGCACACGCCTGTCATCCCAGCAGCTGGGGGAGGCTGAGGCAGGAGGGTTCCGAGTTCAAAGCCAGCCTCAGCGACTTAGTGAGACTCTGTCTTTAAATAAAAAAATAAAAAGAAGGCTGGGGCTGTAGCTCAGAGGTAGAGCACTTGTCTAGCACACATGAGGCCCTGGGTTCCATCCTCAGAACCACATAAAAATAAGCAAATAAAATAAAGGCATGATGTCCATCTGCAACTACAAAAAAATTAAATATATATATATAAAATAAAATAAAAAGAGCTGGGTAGGTGGCTCAGTGGTTAAGCACCTCTGAGTTCAATCCCGAGTACAAAAAAAAAAAAAGAAAAAAAAAGAAAAAAATATTGGTTTTTGCAAAGGTTCATAAAATTGACCACCTCCTAGGGAGGTTGGCCACAAAGAAGAGAAGGTACCAAGTATTAAAATCAGGGATGTAAGAGGCGGTGCTACTACCAATACTAAAGAACATTTTAAAAACATAGTCATCAGGAGACTCTGTGAACCGTTGTATGCCAAAAAAAAAAAAAAAAAATTAGAAAACCTAGGTGACATGGAAAAAAATCCCTAGAAAGACACCAAGTCCCCAGAGTGACTCAAGGAGAAATGAAAAGCCTGGTTGTCCCCGTGCAAGGTGGAGACATGGTGTGAGCAACCATAAAACTTCCCTGGAAGAGAAGCCCCAGCGGAGGACTTCCGAGTGGATTCTTGCCAAAGTTGGGAGAGGAATGAGCACCGATCCTTCACAGAGTCCTCCCAGAGATAGGGGGACACTTTCTAGCCCCTTCTGCCAGGCCCGTGTTAACCAGGGGATCACACCAGATCTCCCGACGAAAGAGAAGCGACAGGTAAATATTTCGATCGAATATACTCAAGAGCTCTCAGCCCTCCAAATCCAGCAGCACATAAAAATGACTGCACACCGTCACCACGTGAGATTGACCCTAGAAAAGAGTATTTGGTCTGATTTACCAAAAGTCGGTCAAGGTAAGATGCTGCATCATCCAAGAAGTGGCAAAACCCTCCGGATCCCTGCGGCAGATGCAGGAAAGGCGTTTGACAGAATCTAAAACCCTTCTATGTTGAAACTTCCAAAAAAAAAATACTAGAAATCGAAGGAAACTTCCTTAATTTAATAAAGGACATCTACAAAGACACATCACAGCGAACGTGCCCAGGGGTGAAAGACAGAGTTTCCCCCGAAGATTAGGAACCAGACAAAGATTTTTCTGTTTGATGTTGCACTAGGGATTGATCCCAGGGGTTCCTTACCACTGAGCTACATCCCCAGCCTGATATTTTGAGGTGGGGTCTTGCTAAGGTGCTTAGGGTCTCACTAATTTGCTGAGACTGGCCTCAAATTGCAATCCTCCTGCCTCAGCCTCCTGAGTCTCTGGGATTACAGGCATGCCCTGATGACACTTGGATTCAACATTTTGCCAGAGGTCCCAGTCAGGGAAATTTACAAGAAAAACAAATAGTCACCCTGATTGAAGAGGAAAACAGAAATCTCTCTCAATTTGCATACAATATGATCTTGCACATAGGAACTAAGTAACCAACAAAATGCTACTCAAGGTTATAAATGAGTTCAGTAAGACTGCAGAATATAAGATCAATGTTGAAAGTTCATTGTATTTTAGCCCGGCACAGTGGTGCACGCCTGTCATTTTAGCAGCTCCGGAGGCTGAGACAGGAGGATCGCAAGTTCAAAGCCAGCCTCAGAAATTGAGTAAGGCCCTAAGCAACTCAGGGAGGTCCTGTCTCAAAATAAAATATAAGAAGGGCTGGGGATGTGGCTCAGGGGTTAAGCGTCCCTGAGTCAAATCCTGGCACACACACACACACAAAAAAGAAGTCCATTGTAATTTTATATACTAGTAATGAATAATCTGAAAATGAAATTAAGAGAATAATTCCATTAACAATGGCATCAAAAATAAAATACCTTTGATAACAGGTGGGTAACACACACTGCAAACATCATTAGACAAGTTAAAGAACTAATGGATTGAAAAGACACCCTGTCACAGCCAAGGGCTGTCCCGTCCAATCAGCAGAGAGCAGAGTCTGGAATCAGGGAGTACAGTCTTGACCACTTCCTCCCGGAAGGAAGGCTGGTGATGTGAGCAGCAAGGGGTGAGGAAGAGTCATCAGGCTCCGAGAATTCTCATCAGGAAGCATTTACATCAGTGCCTGTCATTCTCCCCTCCCCGCCAAGGACGCGGCGCACGGTTGTTCAAGCTGTGCACTGTGTTCCTCTAGGGGGCGCAATTCAATCTGTAGGCGTTGGAGGGGAGGTGTGCCTGTTTAACCATTTCTGATGGGTGGCTGCCAAAGAGCCGGGAGGGAGGGTCTTTTTCTAATTTGAACAAAGATGCCAGACAGAGAAGGGTGGGCTCTCTTTCTCCTCTTTACTTGCCTTGGTCCCTTTGGAACCTGGACAGAACTGGGGGGTGGGACAGTTCTTGGCTGCACCGTCTGATCCATCTGTCCCCGGCAGGTGGGCGCATCCTTGTTCGCCAGCAATGTCGGAAGTGGACATTTCCTTGGTCTGGCGGGGTCAGGGGCTGCTGTGGGTATCTCGGTCACTGCTTATGAGCTGAATGTAAGTATTTCACCCCGGACTCGGCACCTGGCCTCTACCTGGTGGGGGCGCCTGGGGAGAAGTGGTGAATGCCCTGCACTTTATTTCATTGACTTCATTGTTTGGTACCAGGGATTGAACCCAGGGGTGCTTAACCACTGAGCCACATCCCCAGGCCTTTTTTAAAAGTTGTTTATTTGGAAGCAGGTTTTTTTTGCTAAGTTGCTTAGGGCCTCGCTAAGTTGCTGAGGCTGGCTTTGAACTTGCGATCCTCCTGCCTCAGCCTCCAGAGCCGCTGGGATAACAGGCGTGCACCACCCATGCACTTTAAAAAGCAGAACAGCACTTTTTGAAAACAGGAACAGGAGGCTCAAAGGTCCTCCATCAGCAAACCTCCCTAGGTCTGTGAGCCTCAGACGTCCCTGCGTTTGCTTGGTGACTCCAACAATAGAGATTTGGAGAAGACAATTCGGAATCCCTCCCTCTCAGGTGCAGAAAAAGGATGATGTCATGGGTCATCAGTTGTCCATCCCAAAAATCCTATGGCTCAGTGGTATTTGTCTTTTGGTGTTTTTTTTTTTTTTTAACCCTCGCGATACCCATGAGAAGACACATTTCTACACAGCAGAATTCACACTGGATTATTTTTCCTGGGAAGGGACCTTGTGTTTATTAATGATGCCCTTCATCTTCATCATGACTAACATTTTTTAAATGCTTACTCTATGCCAGGCTGCATATACTATCGCATTATGAAATTCAATTACAGACTAGAATCCGACTACTTGGGTTCATATCCTGGTTTCAATGTTTATAAGCTCTGTGACCCTGGGCAAGTTACTTAACCTCTCTGAGCCTCGTAGAGCCACTGAGCTCCATCTCCAACCTGGACTTATGTCTAAGAAACAGTTTCTGAAGTCGCTTCCTCGTCTCTACCTGCCACGTAGAGACATTAAGAGAATTAAGTGAATTAATAAGTGAATTAATGCTTGGAAAGGCTGAAGAGGAATTCCTGGCATATAGTAATTGCTTGGTAAATGTCATCTCACCGATTTCCCTGCAGCAAAATAGTGAGGTGCTGTGATTCTCATTCCACAATTGAGCAGACTGAGTCTCAGCAGCTCTCCCAGCATCCCCAGCTATGCCTGAGCGTGTCCAGTCTTTGAGCCCAGGTCGGCCTTAGCCACTGCCAAGGAGAGAGGAAGAACAACTTGATGCACCGGCAGGCCTGGGGGTGGTGGTGGTGGTGAGGGGACATTCAGGCTACACAAAACTAGAGGGCGTCACAAAGGCTTCTGTTTCCACTCTTCCCTTCCCTCCTTAATTCTCTTCTCCCCATTTTTAAAAATGGAAAGCCGAAGGCCAGGGAAGGTGAACCATGCAGCAAAATAAGACACAAAATGAGGTGGAGTTCAGGTCAGGTTCCCTCAGGGTGCAGAGAGACAGCTGGATCGGCACCTCGTTGTGAGCTGGGAGTCAACTTCTGCCTGTGTCTTTTTGGGCAGGGTTTATTTTCTGTGTTGATGTTGTCGTGGATCTTCCTCCCCATCTACATCGCTGGCCAGGTGAGTCTGAGGAGCTTCAGGTGGGATGGGAGGGGAAGACACTCTGGGGGAAATGCTGGGCTGGCCTTCCCTGTCCTCGGGCCCATGGACATCCATAAGAGGTCCCAGCTCTGGGGAGGGATGAGGCACAGGTGAGGGCACTAGGAACCCTGAGCAGCTCCGACTTCATAATCCACACCCTAAGGTGCACATGGGGTGCTCAGGGGCTGGAAAGAATTGGGCTCAGAATTGTTTTAATGCCCAAACACAAATAATAATAAAAAAAAATCTCTTTAGGTGTGGTGACTCACGCCTATAATCTCAGTGACTAGAGAGGCTGAAGCAGGAGGATTTCAAGTTCAAAGCCATCCTCAGCAAAAGTGAGGCCCGAAGCAGCTCAGTGAGACCCTGTCTCTAAATAAAATACAAAACAGGGCTGGGGATGTGGCTCAGTGGCCGAGTGCCCCTGAGTTCAATCCCTAGTACCAAAAAAAAAAAAAAAAACAAAAAAACAAAAAAAAAAAAAAAACACCTGAAGCTTAATGTCCCCTTGGAGCCTTAGAAGGACCACGGGCCTCCCTTTCAGCCTCAAGTAATCACTTCCTGACTTTCCTTTGCAGTTTTTATCACACCTACCTGAACAATATCATTTGATGGAGCTTTTATCTATAATCACATATACATTCAATCAGGGGTAGCATATTTTATTTTTTTAAGTAATGCATTGTACTGACACATAATAGTTGAGTTCATTTTGACAAAATCATATGTTCATGGAACGTGATCTACTCGGTTTCTGTCCCTGGTCCCCCTCCTTTTCCCTCCCTCCTCCCTCCCCCTCTTCTCCACCCCCTACTTTTCTGGCACTTTACCACTGAGCCACATCACCAGCCCTTTTGTATTTCTTATTTTCATATTTTGAGACAGAGTTGTTTAGGGCCTTGCTAAGTTTCGGAGGCTGGCCTTGAACTTGCAATCCTCCTGCCTCGGCCTCCTGAGGGATCCCACAGAGGATAGTCACATTGATCCTGTCTTTCACATCTTTTTTTTTTTTAATCTTGTCATATCACAAAGGCATAAAGATATTCTCCCACGTATACAAGAGGAAGAGTCTCTTCCTCTTCTCTTTGGCCACGTGGTGAGCAGTTGGGTTCCATCATGCTCTCCCACCGTGATGTGCTGCCTCAGGTCCAGAGCAATGGAGCCAACCGATCCTGGGCTAAACATGAACCCAAACTAAAGTGTGAGCCAGAACAAGCTTCTTTTTATAAAAGGACTATCTTGGGTATCTGCTATAATGACAGGAAGTCTAAGACTTTTGCCCATTTTTCTATTAGGTTACGTGTCTTGTTTTATTGATTTGTTCTCATTCTCCATAGATTCTAGAAACAAGTCCTTAGGATGGTTGTGTGTTAACAGATTTCTTTTTTTTCTACTCGAGTTGCTTTCATACAGTACCTTTCAATAAGCAGGTCTCGATTTTACTGTAGTCACATTGATCCCGTCTTTTACATCTTGTTTTTTTTTTTTTTAATCTTGTCATATCACAAAGGCATAAAGATATTCTCCCACGAATACTTTTTTTTCTAGAACTTTCCACCTCCACCTAGAATTCATTTTTGCCTACCATATTTGGAGAATAGTGTCCTGCAAATATCGCCCACTAAGGCAATCACACTCTAATTTGATTTATGAACGTGCAAAATAAGCTCTGCTCTCGGGGGCCACCCATCTCTCCACTCATTTCCATTATTTTGTACATTTTCCCAAATCTTATTCATCCTTCAGATTTTTAGATCCAGCAACAATTCTTCCAGGAAACCCTTTCTGAGCTCCCCCTCCGCTTAAATCTCCTCCTCTGTTGGTTTTCTCGGGTTGCTGTTTTGCATTCGCTTGTGTGATTATTAATCTGACTTTTCCACGAGACCAGGGTTCTCAGCCTTGGTACCAGTGATGTTTGGGGCTGGGTCATTCTTTGTCGTGTGTGTGTGTGTGTGTGTGTGTGTGTGTGTGTGTGTGTGTGTGTGTCTGTGGTGGTTAAGGGGGGAGTTCTGTGCATTCCAGGATGTTGAACAACATCTCTGGTCTCTATCCTGGGCTTCCAGTAGCTCGTCCCCAAATTGTGACAGCCAGAATGTTTCCATCATTGCCAAAATCTCCCTGGGGGGTGAAAACTCTTGCCTGGTTGAGAATCATCGCACTAGACTGCTGTGTCTCTCCCAGGAGGGTGGGGGCCACCTGTTTTCTCCCCCACCCCCACCTGGCTTGCCGGCCAGTTGTCTCTCCTGTCCTCCACTCTGAGCCTGGGCCCAGCCTCCCCCCTCCAGCTGCCTCCCATCTCTCCCCAGAATCTGCTCCCTAGACCAGGCAAAAGTGTATGGTAGAGCCATTTCCCCAAAATTTGGAACACAGTGACTCTTGGGGCGGTTCTGGGTATTGGTCCCGGGCTCCTACTCTGAGTCACATAGTGAAGTCATTTCCTTCCCATTATCTTTCAGGTTTTTAAAATTATTTTTAAAATAAGTTTTATTTTACTTGACACATCATAATCACACGTGTCTCTGGGGCACAGGGCATTGTGATGTCTTGGTACATGAACACGTTGCGAAATGATTCATTGCAGGAACTCGGGGGGCAAAGTCTCACGTCTTAATCATTCAGCAGCTCTCCCTCTGTCTCCCTCTCCTTGTCAAGAAAGAGTGAGTAGGTGGGCGAGATTCAGGAGGCTGAGGCAGGAGAATTGCAAGTTCAAGGCCAGCCTCAGCAATCAACTTAGTGAGACTGTCTCAAACTAAAAAATAAAAAGGGCTGGGAGTGTAGCTCAGTGGTAAACCACCCTTGGGTTAAATGCCCAGTACAAAAAAAAAAAAAAATTCTTTGCTATACAACAATAATTTGCCAGAAGAGAATAGAAACTAAATGGTCCCTATCATTCCTATATTTATTTTTGAGGGTTCCCTTAAATTTAGGACTGGGGTTTTTTTGTTGTTATTTGTTTTTTATTTTTGGCACTGGGAATTGAATCCAGGGGGGGCTTAATAACCACCGAGCCACGTCCCCAGCAACCTTTTTAAGAAATATTTCACTGACAGCCTCTGGGATTACAGGTGTGCACCATGTCACCCGGCTCTTAGGACTGGTTTTCTATTACAGAAGTGATTTAAAGTATCTTTTTTTAAAGATAAGTTTATGTAAATAAGAAAGTGTGCCAATTAGAAAAAAAAATGTTGAATAAAACATAATCCTGGCCGGGCACAGTGGCACGTGCCTGCAGTCCCAGCTACTTGGGATCCCGGGGGCCAGCCTGGGCAAATCAGCAAGAGCCTGTCTCAAGTTAAAAAGTAAAAAGCTGGTGGTAGAGGGCCCCCGGGCTCAGTCCCCAATACTGCTCAAACAGAACAGGCTCCGGCCACCGTAGGGGGACACTCCATGTGAGGATGTGATAGTGGGGTACACATCCCTGCACAGAGCCCCACTGCTCCACTCTCTGGGCCCCTTTACCCTTCTTCCTTCTTCGGTGCCCCGTTAAGAATCCCAGGAAGACCCTGTGGGAGTCTGGCTTTGGGGCAGGGCGGGCCTGGACAGGGCTGGTGGCGGGGGACCTGGTGTCCAAAGCCAGCTGGAGGTGAAAGCTGGCTCCCACCCRCTCCCCAGGTCACCACGATGCCCGAGTACCTGCGGAGGCGCTTCGGGGGCAGCAGGATCTCCATCACCCTGGCGGTGATCTACCTGTTCATGTACATCTTCACCAAGATATCGGTAAGTGGGGGGGTCGCGGCCTGGCCTGGCCCTGCAGCATGGCGGGAAGATGGGTGGCAGCCCATCTCGGGGCTGTCCCCTCCCCATCTGCCCCTTCCCCTTCTCAGTTTCGGGGGGGTGGTAAGAGGAGGCTGGGGGACAGGGCAGGCCGAGGGGGGGAGGACGCCTTCTCCACCCGACACCCAGCGCAGTCTCTCTGGGTTTCTTGGGGAGTCAGGGAATGGAACTGCCAGAGCCCCCCAGCCCTTGGCGGGGACCCCCCTCTTCCTCCTGGTCAGGTCGTGATTAGCTCTTCATCAGAGGCACAGAGGGCAAGCTGGACGTGCCCACCCCGACCTCTGGATGGCAGATCGCCTGGACAGTGGCCACCCAGACGTGCCACCTCGGGGGGCACGTGGTCTCAGCAGGCCTGGCTCGGCCGAGCAGCTGGGGTGGGGAGGGACGTGCCCCAGGTGAGGGGACCAGGGGAGGCAGAAGGAGTTCCCCTGGAACCAAAGAGCTCCAGGCTCAAAGGACAGACTCGGGATCCCTTCTAGAATGTTCCTTTGCAAACCCTGGAGAACGTACAGCTGCTGCGAAGCCTTGCAGGGAGTCACATCTCAGAAGGGGTTCACCGGTGAGAGAAAGGGGGTTGGCATTTCAGAAGGTTTCTGCTGACCCTGGAGAAACTGTGCTGCAATGTCCATCCCTTCATCCCCACATCCCTCCGCTCATCTGTCACACTCTTGTCCCCGCAGGTGGACATGTATGCGGGCGCCATCTTCATCCAGCAGTCTCTGCACCTAGACCTCTACCTCTCGGTGGTGGGGCTCCTGGCCATCACGGCTCTGTACACCGTTGCAGGTATGACCCAGCCAGGGCTGGTGCCGGAGAGGTGGGAGGGGTTTCTGATGTCCCAGGGTGTGGGGACCCTGAAACCTCCCTCCACACCCCGTTAGATGGATCTTGGCCCTGACCTAAAGAAAAGGGGGTTGCCAACTAGGAAAAAGAATTTTTTAAATGCACCATACACACTGTTTTTTGTTCCCTGTACCCCAGAACTATTTATTGAGGACCTACTAAGAGTATGGGTATTCACATGCAGAATACGAGCCTGGGTATTTAACTCTTGCAATTCTGGAGCCTTGAGATTGAGCAGCTTTATCTTCCCCGCCCCCAGATGTGTGTCCTAGGAAAATTGCCGAGCACATAGTAGGGCCTTGACTGTTTTTGAATGTTTACCTTCTCATCTGCTCCAGCTTCACCTTCTCTGCTTCCTGTTGGTACAATAAAATTCACTCCACAAATGTGCATCTGTACACACACACATACACACAACTGGTGTGTAAAAGAAAAATTTTCACACCTACTATGTGCTGGACATTGTCCTAAGAATTGGGGCATAGAAATAAGCAAGAGAGACAAAAATCTCTACCCCAGAGGAACTTACATCCTAAGCATAAAATAGCAAATGTTTGCCGGGCACAGTTGGGCACGCCTGTCATCCCAGCGTCTCGGGAGTCTGAAGCAGGAAGATCACAAGTTCAAAGCCAGCCTCAGAAACTTCATGCGGCCCTAAGCAACTCAGTGACACCCTGTCTCTAAATAAAATGTCCAAAGGGCTGGGGATGCGGCTCAGTGGTTAAGTGCCCCTGAGTTCAATCCCAGGTACCAAAAAAAAAAAATCGCAAATGCTCAATTCACAGTAACCTCCTATAAATGAGAGTGGGTTTAAGTGACACTAAACTTTAGTTTCTCAATAACTTCAGGTGGATTCATCAGAGGGCAGCAGAGAAGGGAGGCCAGAAGCCAGGCTCCTCCCACTTGTTAGGGGGCTGGGCTTCTGCTGATCAGGAGGCGGAGTCAGGGAGAAAGCCACGCCCACACGCAGGGTTGGTTTGGGGATCACACACCGACCCTGCCCTCTAGTAGACAGGTGCACACAGACAGTGTCCTTTCCCTAGGACGGAGGGAGGAACAGGTGCTGACGGCTTGCCACCGTGACATCCTTGCACAGATTAGTCTTTGCAGTGCCCAGTGGAATCCTCTCAGGCTGACCACCTTGACCCTGTTCAGAAAGCCTAGGCGTCTCCGAATGCCTGGTCCTCACCTCCCTTTCCCGACGTTAGAAATAAAGCTGTTCAGAGCTTGGGGACCGTGGTGCAGGCATCAGTTCCTGGGTGGTGTGAGGTCACTTCCTGCTGGGCCAACACACCACCCACCCTGCAGGGACTTCCCCAAACCGGCTTATCATTTCCTGCACCTTCATGGCTCACCTGGGTGGTCGCTCTGCTGGCCTTGCCTTCATTGAACGGGAGTTGGACGGCACCCAGAAGGCTGGTGGGACCCAGATGGCCCTCACATGGGGGTGGGCAGCAGGGGCAGCCGGCTGGGCGGCCCCTCCAGATGGCCACCACCCTCCACTAGGTGAGACTGGGCTGCTGAAAGCCGCTGCTCTCAGGGCAGAGTAAGAACCAAAGCCACCGGGCTCCTGGAGGGCCAGGCTTGGAGCCACACAGTGTCACTTCTACCAAGATCAGAGCAAGTCACAGGGCCATCTGCTGCTCCGCATCAGAGGAGCAGCCACTCCCCACTGCAGAATGTGCAGGCACACGGGGAAGGGTCAGGTACCGTCTAGGCCATCAGCCAGACTTAGGAAGTCTCTGTGGGTTCTTGACCTTGCGGGTTCCCTCGGTGACCCTCAGAGGACCTGGTCCTCACCTAGCGCTCGTTCCCGCAGGTGGCCTGGCGGCGGTGATCTACACAGACGCTCTGCAGACTGTGATCATGCTCCTGGGCGCTCTCATCCTGATGGGCTACAGTAAGTGGGTCCTGCTGTCACTCTCGGGGACGACAGCGCACTGTGATCCGTGAGACTCCTGTCACGGGGGCTTTGCCTGAGACAGGGTTATTTTGGATAAAAGAGGATCGTGTTATCATGGACATTTCTGGATTTAAAAAAAAATATATTGTTAGCTGTAGATGGACACAAGACCTTTATTTTATTTATTTTTATGTGGTGCTGAGGATCGAGCCCAGGGCCTCACCTGTGCCGGGCAAACGCTCCACCTCTGAGCCACAACCTCAGCCCTTTTCTGTTTTGTTTTGTTTTGTTTTTTTAAGTAAAAATTAATATCCCTTCCTATGTGGATATGGATAAATCTATGAAAGGGTAACTCTTTCTTACAGAAGAATTCTGATAGATCAACAGAGATGAGATGGAGGAAATAGAAAATCACCCTTGGCTCACCAGAGTAATTACTGTTGCCGGTACTGTCAAGGCTTAGTGGTCCAGTTAGCGGGTGAAAGCTCATGAAGACATAGAATTCACAGAATATGAAAGTACATAACCTGAGCGGGGCACAGCGGCACACGCCTGTCATCCCAGGGACTCGGGAGGCTGAGGCAGGAGGATCACAAGTTCAAAGCCAGCCTCAGCAACTTGGTGAGAAAGAAGGAAAAAGAAAGAAAAATATTGCACCTGACATAGTTATTAGTTACAAAAGGAAAAATAGTCAGTATACAGTGAAGGAAACTGGCACACACCAGCATAACTAAGTGATCAAGGTTAAGACCCGCAGGGATAAGACGTATTGGTACCACGTACCTCCTGATCCTAGGCAGAGCACATCAGCTCTGTGCCATTCTTCTGTTGGTGGTGTTGTTCCTGGGGATTGAATCGAGGAGCACTCTACAATTGAGCCACATCCCCAGCCCTTTACATTTTTTTTTTTTTTTTGATTTTGAGACAGCGTGTCACTAAATTGTTGAGGCTGGCTTCAAACTTGTGATCCTCCTGCCTCAGCCTCCCCAGTAGCTGGGATTATAAGCATCTGCCACTGCACCTGACTTACTCTGTGCCATTCTTGCCAAAAAATACATGCATCTTAGATGAAAAAGTGTGCTCTATAGGTGTAATGTGAATCGTGATGCCTTCTGCCATCATCTATAACAAATTAAACAAATAAACATAAACAAATAAACATAAACAAAATGTGCCGTCATATACAACAAGACACTGCCCGTAGTGCTGGAGGCTGGGAAGTCCAGAGTCCAGCTGCCGGCAGATTCTGTTTGATGAGCATAGACCTTCCGCTGTGTCCTCCCACGTGGACGGGGCAGCTAGTTGTCTGAGGTCTGTTTTATAAGGCCCTAGTCCTCCTCATGAGGAATCTGCCCTCACAGCCTAATCACATCCCAAAGTCCCCATTACCCCGGGGATGAGGTTCCAACATGCGGATTTAGGGGAGGACTCTAACACTGACAATAGCCAATGCTGATTTCTTCTTCCTTTCGGTAGCTGTACTGTGGTTAGGGGAGACGACAGCACTGGCTGTCTGTCCTGCCTGGTCCCCAGGTCAGGGGTGATCTGCTGTGGGGCTTTTGGAAAGTGACTGGATCAGGGGGCACTGATCTTATCAATGGGCTAATCCACCAATGACGTCTTACCCGCAGGGACTATTGGGAGGCAGTGGGAATCATAGTGGACCTAGGTGAAGGGGCGGGTCCTTGGGCACACGGGTGTGCTCTTGGGGACTATAAAGAGAGCTTCTCTCTGCTCCCCAGCTGCCTGAGCTGAGCGGCTTTCCTCCCCCACCCGCTGCTGCCATGATGCTCGGCCTCACCTCTGGCCAATAGATCTGGGCCAACCATCCGGCACCAGGAGCCAGAATCAAGTTTTCCTTCTTAAAAGTTGTTTTTCTCAGACTTTGTGTCTCAGTGACAAAAAGCTAATTCACTTATCCTTTAGAATATATGTTTAAGGTTTTTTTTTTTTCCTTAAAAGGTAAATAACAAAGAATCACAACCAAAAGTAAAAAAATATAATAGAATGCAAAGCATTACCTGTTTCAATCCAAGAAAATCAGATAAAAGTCTCTACTGACTGCAGTGATCAACTCTGGAGGGTTTATGGGGGGTGTGCTGTTATTATTCTTTTACTCAGCTACGTATTGTTTATTTCCTCCACAAAACTCAATATTTCTAGTTTGGGTGGGAAAAAAAAAAAAAACTCCGTTGCTATAATTTGCAAGTGGCATGTGTAAAAATAAGCATAACATAAGGCAAAAAGGATTCCACAGAGGGAAATATCTTTTAGATTCAAAATAGAAAATTGACAGCGAAGATATAATCTGTGTGTGTAAATAACATTGCAGCAAGATACACAAAAGCAAAGCTCGTCAGAATGAAGCTGACAGAAAACTAAGTAGAATGGAAATACTTTAGCACATGACAGAACAAGAAGCCAAAAGAAACATATTTAGAAGTAAAAAAATTTACATAAACAAATAAACATTAGTATCATAGTGAATGTTCCTTTTTCCCCAGCATCCTCAGAAACATCTAGAAAACTCAATCATGGAAAAAAATATTAAAAATCTGCAAAAATACCCAGGCTAACGTTATTCTATTACCTTACCCAGGAAAAACAAACGAAAACCAATTAAACTCATAACTATGAGTTTAAATTTACTTTCAATCTAATCACTTAGAATTTCACTTTATTTATTTTTTAAACAATACCTTTATTTTAATTATTTATTTTTATGTGGTGCTGAGGATGGAACCCAGCACCTCGCCCATGCTAGACGTGCGCTCTACCACTGAGCCACCACCCCAGCCCAATCACTTAGAATTTTAAAGCCGTCTCCCAAATAATACTCTGTATGCATCTGTGGTCCCCAGAACTTGGGGGACTGAGGAGGGAGGATTATTTGAGTTCACAAATGTGAGGCCAGCCTGGGAAACATAGTGAGACCCCCCGGTTTCAAAAAGAAAAAAAAATACAATTATGAATTATTCATAAAAAAATGATAAGAACATTTCATTTCCTACTTAATAGAGGAAGTTAAACACTATACTGTAAAAACATATATATATATTTTTTTTGGGGGGGGTACCAGGAATTAAACCAGGGTGCTTAACCCCTGAGCCACATCTCCAACTCTTTTTATTTTTTATTTAGAGACCGTGTTATGCTTTGGAGGTGAGGTGTCCCCAAAAGCATATGTGTGAGACAATTCGAGAAGGTTCACAGGAGTCCCCTGACAGGGATTTAACGGAGTGGTAATGAAGAGGTGGGGTGTGGGAATTGGGGCGCGGCTTTGGTGTACATATTTTATCTGGAGAGTGGAGTCTCTCTCCGCTTCCTGTGAGCTGCTTCCCTCTGTCACACACTCCGCAGTGACATTCAGTGTCACCTCATACCTGAGGAATGCAGCCAACCTTCTGTGGCTAAGACATCTGAAACCACCAGCCCTCAAATAAACCTTTCCTCCTCTACAATTGTTCTGATCAGGTCCTTTAGTCACAGCCACAAAAGAGCTGACTGAAATACAGGGTCTTGCTAGGTTGCTTGGGGCCTAAGTTGCTGAGGCTGGCCTTGAACTTTCGATCCTTCTGCCTCAGCCTCCAGAGCCACTGGGATTACAGGCATGCACCACGGCTCTCAGCTGTAAAAACATTTGTATCCATCAATGTGAAAGCCCAATTGAATGAATTAGAATTGAGAAAACTACAAAATGTCTTACTCCAGCATCTATTTTCATTGAAAAGAACAATAAAATATGGTGGCAAATCAAATCAATGAAAAAGAAGAAAAAAAATAAATGCAATATAATTAGGAATGAGGAAAAGAACTAAATACCCCAAAGCAAGAACATTAAATTATCAGGCTACACTACACACGGCTTTATGCCGATAAACATAAAAAAATCACTTTAAATTCATGCTTTTCCAGGAAAGTATGAATTATTAAATTTGACTCCAGAGAAACTAAGAGACTTAATAGTTCAATATTTAAGGAGAAATTCAAACCTAACACTAGAAGTTATCTCAGTAAAATCAGAGAAAAAGGATGCTACCTTATAAATTCTACAAAAATGAAACATATAAGATATACTTATTAAAAAGAAAGAAATAAAATTATTTGCTGATGATAACATCACGAGTTACCTAGGAGGGAAAAAATAAGAAAAACTGAAAAACTTGACTTAAAAATTGTGTAGTAAATCGAGACTATGTTCAAAATCATTCACTTTCATTCACTTTCATTCATTCATCCATTCTCTGGATTTTATTTGGTACCTGGCTAACTCCTACATTGGTGCTATTCAGTGTATGGGTTCCATGGACGGTTGCTTAGCAACCTTAGCATCACAGAGGAACTCACGAGCAAGCCAGAATCCTGGGCACCGCCCCTGCCCCCAGACCTGCTGAATCAGAATCTAATAATTTCCAGGTGATTCATATGCACATTAAAGCTCATGAAGTACTGGCCTACTCCAGTTTCACCTCTTCTCAGATAATTCTTTACTCAACTTTCCATATGATAGATAAAGTTCACCCATATGGGTGGGCCCAGATATGGACCAAAATCAAACTCATCAATACCACAAAGTCACTTAAAAWTTTTTTTTTTAGTTGTAGATGGACAAATACCTTTATTTTGTTTATTCATTTTATGTGGTGCTCAGGATCAAACCCAACACCTTACACGTGTGAGGCAAGCATTCTACCCCTGAGCTACATACAACCCCAGCCCCCAACAAAGTATTTTTTTTTCAGGGTGATTATAGTTTGTAATAATTTATTGTATATTTCAAAATAGCTGGAAGAAAGGATTTTGAAAGTTCCTTTTTTCTGATCCTACTGGGATGACGTATAGATTTATGAAAATATATATTTTTCCCCATCCAAGCTCCCGATACAAAGAAAGAGTAAATGTCTGACTTGATGGATATGCAGATTACCCTAATTTGATCATTACACATTATATATTTACATAAGTATATTCAGAAATATTACATTGTACTGGGCATGGTGGTGCATGCCTGTAATCCCAGCGGCTCAGGAGGCTGAGGCAGGAGGATCGCCAATTCAAAGCCAGCCTCAGCAAAAGTGAGGCACTAAGCAACTCAGTGAGACCCTGTCTCTAAATAAAATACAAAAATGGGCTGGGGATGTGGCTCAGTAGTCCAGTGCCCCTGAGTTCAATTGCCAATACCACAGCCCCCCCCAAAAAAAGAAATAGCATACTGTGCCCCATAAATAGGTATAATTATTATGTGTCAAAAATAATAAAAGGATAATTTCTCAGGGAAATAAAGTGGGACAAAAAATTGACCATCAAGATAACAGTTTTGCCGGGCATTGGTGGTGAACCCCTATAATCCCAACAACTCGGGAGGCTGAGGCAGGAGGATCACATGTTCAAAGCCAGCCTCAGCAACTTACTAAGGCCCTGAACAACTTAGTGAGACCGTGTCTCAAAAAATTGAAAGGGCTTGGGATGTGGCTCAGTGGTTAAACACCCCTGGGTTCAATCCCCTGTCTCCAAAAAGATAACAGTTTGGTTTTTATCTCAGTATCCACTGTTCACCACAATCCTCAGTAAAGATGGGACAGAATGCTGGTTACATGTCATTCTGACCCAAGTGGATACACCAATCTGCTCTCCTCCATGTTAAAAAACAAAATTGCTAGGGGTGGTGGTGCATACTAATCCCAGTGACTGGAGAGGCTGAGGCAGGAGGATTGCAACTTTGTGGCCAGCCTCAGCAACTTAGACTGTGTCTCAAAATAAAAAAAGTAAAAAGGACTGGGGATACAGTTCAGAGATAGACTGCCCCTGGATTCAGTCCCCAGCAGTGGGAAACGCAGAATGTGGTCCAGAGAGAGCAATCTTGAATCCTTTCAATAAATAAAATCAGCTGCAGAAGACCGTAGTCTGTTTTCAGGAATAGCTCAGTTTTGTGTGCCAAGTATTTTATGTGCATTATCACAAGCGTCCTTGCCCCAAGGTAGAGATTGTGGCTTCACCATGCCCACAAGCAGGAAAGGAAACTAAAACCTCAGAGACAGGATGTGACTTGCTCAAGGTCTTCCATTTTCTTGGCCCACTCCTTGAATCCGTGAATCGAGAACAGCCGAGAAGATTCAAAGTCAAAAGAACATTGTCTGGGGGCCGGGTTTCTTAACCTGGGACCCATGGACCAAATTCAGGGTACCTGTGATCCTGGGGCGGGGGGGAAATCTTGATTTTCCTAAATCTATCGTTGCAATTTGCCATTTCCAATTAGCAGGGTAGGACACAGACTGCAGTCGTTTTAGCAGCATCTGTGATATCCCTGATGCTTTTGTGACATGACAGCCACAGGGGATATCTTCAGATACTGTTTGACTGCTCCTGAACCAAGTCATTACTAGACACACTGCTACCTCTTACTTCCTAATGGGGGATATGCCCTGAGTCATCTCTACATTTTGAAGATCGCCCTCTGTTTTCAGTGTCTTCTGTGCTTTGTATTGTGCATTGAGATATATTATTCTGAGAAGTGATCCACAGTCATTAACAAAGGCAGAAAAAAAATAAAAGAGGTTCCTATTTGACATTTTTTGGTAGCTCTGCTCCCACGAGGACGTCATCCAGCCCCATGTGTCCCCTTGCCACTGGATGCGGAGCTGTCTGATTTCCTGGGTCACTGAGGGTTCCTCTCTGCTGCAGGTTTTGCTGCGGTGGGCGGGATGGACGGGCTGAAGGAGAAGTACTTCTGGGCCCTGGCCAGCAACCGGAGCGCGAACAGCAGCTGCGGGCTGCCCCGGGAGGACGCCTTCCATATCTTCCGAGATCCGGTGACGTCTGACCTCCCGTGGCCGGGGATCCTGTTTGGAATGTCCATCCCATCCCTCTGGTACTGGTGCACGGATCAGGTACAGGGCAGCTGGCTGAGTGAGCTCCCTCTAGACTCTCCCCTTCCCCCGGGGTGCTGACGGGGTGGCTGACATTGGCCTTTTCCTCTCCCACTCTCGGTTCWCTCATCTGTTTCCCCAGCTCCTCGACGGCTTCCTTCCTTTCTGCGTGTTAAGTTAAATAAATCTCCGTGTTATTTTGCTTTGGGCTCTTCCTGGTGCTGATGGCAGGTCCAGAGCTGCTGATCTTGGCCCATYGATCCTGTTCAAGTGACTGGGAAGAGCATGGCGGTGCCTGCCTGTAATCCCAGCTGCTCAGGAGACTGCTCAGGAGGCTGAGGCAGGAGGATCGCAGGTTCAGAGCCAGCCTCAGCAACTTAGCGAGGCTATAAGCAACCTAATGAGACCCTGTCTCAAAATAAAAAAAAAAATAAAAGGGGCTGAGGATGTGGCTCTGTGGTGAAGTGACCTTGGGTTCAATCCCTGCTACCAAAAGAAGAAGAAGAAGAAGAAAAATCAAGAATACAGTGAGAGGGAGTGACACTGAGCAAGATTTTGAGGGAATTTTACTCTATTTTTAAATTTAAATTTATTAATTTTTAGTTGCTAGATACTTACATGTCTTTGGAGGATACAATGTGATATTTTGGTACATTGATACTTTGTGTGATGATCAACTCGGGATATTCAGCTTATCCATCATCTTAAATATTTATCATTTTGTTGAAATAGGAGCGTTCAAAATCCTCYCTTCCAACTATTTTGATGTATATGATACAATATTTTTCACTGCAGTCACCTTTCTATGTAATAGTACACCAGAATTTATTCCTTCTATTGTTTTTTTAACTTTTTTTTTTTAGTTGTCAATGGACCTTTATTTTATTTATTCATATTTGGTGCTGAGAATCGAACCCAGTGCCTCACACATGCTAGGCAAGCACTCTGCCACTGAGCCACACCCTAGCCCCTCAAACTTTTCTTTTCTCTTTTGGTATCAGGGATTGAACCCGGGGTTGCTTAACCACTGAGCCACCTCCCCAGCCATGTTTTTTTTTCCAATTATTTTTCAATTATTAGGGTCTCTCTAAGTCACTTAGGGCTTCACTAAGTTGTTGAGGTTGGCCTCAATCTTGTGATCCTCCTGCCTCAGCCTCACAAGTCACTGGGATTACAGGCATGCACCACCATGTTCTCCAGCTGTAGCTTTGTACCCATTGACCCATCTCCTCCCATCTCTCCCCTGGCCCTCCCCAACCTCTGGTAACCACTCTTCTACTCTTTATGAGCTCAATTTTGCCAGATTCCACATACAAAGGAAATCACATGGTATTTGTCTTTCTGTGCTTGGCATGTCTCACTAAATATAATCTTTAAACCCATCCCTGTTGCCATAAATGAAAGCATTCTTTTTTATTGATGCATAGTATTTTGCTGTGTGTATGCACCACATTTTCTTTGCCCCTTCATCTCCACGTAGGTTGGCTCCATACCATGGCTATTGAGAATTGTGCTGCATTAAACAGGGGAGTGCAGATGTCCCTTTATTATACTGATTTCATGCCCTTTGCATGTATACCCCGAGGTGACATTGCTGGATCAGGTGGCGGTTCTATTTTTAATTTTTGAGGCGTCTTTGCTCTGCGCTCCTTTGAGAGCAAGTGTTCCATAACCGTGGAGAAAGCGTTTCACCAGGGGGCACCACAGAGCAAAGGTCTTAAGGCCAACATGTAACTGGTGAGAAAAAAATAAACAAGAAAATTAAAAGACATTACAGGATGGGAAGCGGGCAGAAGAGAGTCAGTTTGCATTTGCTTGTGGGTACACAGAGAAACTCTGGGTGGACCTGAAACCCAAGGGCGGGGAGATGAGGAAGACCAGCAGGGGTGGACGGGACCCTTTCCCTGTTCTGATTCAAATCAGTGAATTATCACCCATTCAAATAGGGTGCTTTCCTGTTACACTAAAGATCACAGATCTGTGTACCATTTTGGAAGCTCTTTTGCATAGTCAGGGCTGATGAGAATTTTGTGGGGGGAGGTGAGGGATAAGTACCATGGATTGAACTCAGGGGTACTCAACCACTGAGCCCCATCCCCAGCCCTATTTTGTATTTTATTTAGAGACAGGGTCTCACGGAGGTGCTTAGCACCTTGCTATTGCTGAGGCTGGCTTTGAACTGGCGATCCTCCTGCCTCAGCCTCCCCAGCTGCTGGGATGACAGGTGTGCGCCACTGTGCCCAGCCTGATGAGAATTTAATTAAAGCGATGATCTTGGGTTGGACAATTGAACCGAGGCAGCTGACATTCCAGAGAATGAAGCCCAGGTCCCACCCCTGGGCTTCTGTGCATGAAGAGCTGAGCTTGAGGCCATCATGTGTGCCACATACATATGCTGCCCCTTTAAGAAAGCCCCCTTCTCCACCTTAGCCAGTCTCAGGTAGGAGAGTTCCTGAGACACGGTATGGATCCTGGTGAAGACCATGGTCAAGTTCAGGAGATGCCATTTCACATCTCTGAGCCTCATTTTCTCACGTGTCAAATGGAGCTCCTAATCGTTACAAAATGGAGATGTGTGAGAAATTCTTTCACAGTCTCGTTACAGGGACGGTAAATGCACCATTGCCAACATTGACATTCGTCCTCTGGCTTATGTTACCGTTTTGGGCACAGCTCACCAACTTGTATTTATTAATTTGTACAAATCATGGCTTTAGTTTGCAAACTCTTATTCCAACGCGTACCCCTTGAAGGCCACCTCCATCCCACGTAATGCAAGAACCTTAGGACTTGGCGCAAGAGGATCTGATCTTTCAAAACGCTCATCAGAAGCCCAAGCTCCCCTCTCCCCTTTGACTCTGGTTGGCCACGAGGGGTTTCTGCTGAGCCAGATTCCCCAGAGTCTAAAGGATGTGCTGGGGCGGGGGTGGGAAATGCACATCACTCCCAACCCTTCATCCAGGCCCCTTCAGCAGGGGAGAGCAAGGCACCATCCTCCTCTCTTMCAGGTGATCGTTCAGCGGACCCTGGCTGCCAGGAACCTGTCCCATGCCAAAGGAGGGTCCCTGCTGGCCGCGTACCTGAAGGTGCTTCCCCTGTTCATAATGGTGTTCCCTGGCATGGTGAGCCGCGTCCTCTTTCCAGGTGAGGAGACGGCTGGGAGAGGAGGCCCCCGTCTGGGAGTCTGGGACCCTGCAGGGTGTTCTAAACATAGCTGCTGGCCCCCAAGACAGTGTGGCAGGGGTCCTGGGCACCTGCTGATCTCATGTCGTTCCCCAGTGTGGGCTCAATGGACAAGTCCAATAGGTGTCCCGAGCCGCATTCAGTGAAAATTCAATGGGAGGTCGAGGAGTCTTTGTCAACAATATTTTTATCTCACAGTTGGGCTAAAGTGGTGCATTTGCAGATGTCGGTTTTCTGATGTCTCATGGGAAAGTTCCTCTCAAGCTTTGGTGTTGGAGCTCAGGAGTTTGGTGACTGTGGACCAATGGGACCATTTTTAAAAAATGTATTGTGGATGGACGCAGTACCTTTAAAAATTCTATTTATTTATTTTTGTGTGGTGCTGAGGTTGGAACCCAGGGACTCACACRTGCCAGGCAGGCGCTCTGCCACTGAGTGGCAACCCCAGCCATTTTTATTCGTAATTTTCTTGACAAATATCAGAGGACATCAGGGTCTCTGGAGCACGGCACTTGGTTTTATTTTTGTGGCAWTGGGCTAGGTTTGTACGATGGGGGTAACAACGCTGTAGTAGGCGACGTCAGTGGACATCACCATGGGACCCGGACAGAAGAAAGCTCCCATCCTTGCCCTCAATCAAGGCTGTCATTAACTCGCAGGGGAGTGGACAGTGGAMCGTGTCCTGCCCTGCGCCTTATCCTCATGGTGTTAAAGAAAGGGAGGGCGGGGTGGTCTGCAGTTGGCCCAGTTTAGTCCAAGGAGTTTAGTGCCCTTATTACATCAGGAGGTCAGCGCCCGGGAAGGGAAGTTGGGTGCTGTCCATGGTGCTAAACTCTGGGCTCCTGCTTCTCCAGCCCAGGGGAGCTGTAAGTGGCCCTGCCTCTAGACAAGGGGCTCAGGCTTGGAAGAACCTTCAGGGAGACAAGAAGTGGAATCTTGGGGTTTGTGGTACCTTGTTGGAAAACACACAGCTGTCGAGCAAGGCTTGAGGTGTGAACAAACAACGTGGCCATAAGCAACATTCACAGTGCGCTTGCTGGGGGCCAGACCCGTGCGGTCTTGAGTAGAGTGCGCTGGTCATGGGGACGGACTCTGATCTGGACGGCCCAGGCCTGGGTCTTGGCTCTGCTACTTACGAGCTGTATGACCCTGTGTAAGTCATTTCAACTCCCCTGGCTCTGTTTCCTCGCTTGGTTTTGTTTGTTTGTTTTGGGGGTTTGTACCAAGGATTGAACCCAAAGGCACTTAACCACTGAGCCCCATCCCTAGCCCTTTTTATATTTTATTTTGGGACAGGATCTTGCTAAGTTGCTTAGGGCCTTGCTAAGTTGCTGAGGCTGACCTCAAACTTGTGATCCTCCTGCTTCAGCCTCCAGTGCTGCTGGGATTATAGGTGTGCACCACCACACCTGACGGTATCCTCACTTGTAAAATGGGGATAATGATACTTTATTGGGTTTGAAGAAGGTCCTGGCACACGGCAAGCATGATATATTGTGTTTTGAGTGAATGTCCCCAAAGATCCATATGCAAAGGCTGTCTCCAGGGGACAGTAAAGTCAAGCGCTGTGGACCTTGTGGGACTCAGTGGAAGGTTCTTAGGTCATTGGAGGGGTGCCCTTGAGAGGGATTATAGGACCCAGTTTCTCTCTCACACACTCTCGCGCTCTCTCTCGCTCTCGCTCTCACTCTCTCACTTCCTATCTCCTTCCTGGCTCAAGACATAGCATTTGCTCTACTCCATGCTCCTGTTATGATCTGCTGCTTTCACTAGAAGCGCAGACTAATGGGGCCACCCCATCTTCCAGATCCRTGAGCCAAAATAAACCTCTCTTTAGCTCGTAAGTAGCCTGCAGCTAGTGTTTTGTTATAGTGACACGAGACTGACTGAGACACTTTGTAAATTCTCCCAGTTGCTATTTTATACATGCACTCTTGGCTCTCCATATATCTGGATTCCATAAATATGAATTCCATCAACTGCAGATCAAAAACACTTTAGTCTGGTGTGGTGGTGCRCACCTGTAATCCCAGTGACTCAGGAGGCCAAGGCAGGAGGATGGCAAGTTCAAAACCAGCCTCAACAACTTAGCAAGGCCCTAAGCAACTTAGCAAGACTCTGTCTCAAAATAAAAAATAAAAAGGGCTGGGGATGTGGCTCAGTGGTTAAGTGCCCCTGGGATCAATCCCAAGTACCAAAATAATAATAATAATAATAATAATAATAATAATAATAAATTAAATCACATCTATCCTGAACATGTACATATTTTCTTTTCTTATTATTATTCCCTAAACAATATAACAATATTTTTATTGTATCAGGCATTATAAGTAATGTAGAGTGATTTAAAGTAAACAAGAGGTCGTGCCTAGGTTATATATAAACACTACATTGTTTTATAGATGGAATTGAGCATCTGCAGATTTGGCATCCACAGGGGGTCCTGAAACCAATCCCCCCAGACACCAAGGAACCACTGCGTTGCTTAACTTCATCCTCAAAAGGACACTGTGAAGTCAGTGCTATTAGTGCCCTTCCCATCTTACCGATGAGGAAATTGAAATCCAGAGGAAGTAATTGATTTGCTCATTTAGCTCTTCTTCCATTGATCCAGCAAATAGTTTGAGAGCCAATTATCTGCTGGGCCTTCGTCTAGTACCCTGARGACACCTTAGTGAACCAGACAGAGCGTCCTTCTAGTGGGACTTAGATCGTGGCACTGGAAGAGACAGATAAAGTAAACACATTGGTTGATTGACAGATAAGCGAGAGAATCACTGGTGGTGCTGGGAAACACACATGAAGAGTGGAGGGAAGGCCAGACAGGGCTGCCTCTGACAGCGTCCCATCTGAGGACACCAYAGTCGGTCCAAGCAATAGGTTTGAAAATGTATTTTCTAGTGGGGTCGTTGAGATTAATGATGGGTTGAATGCGAGGGTTGAGGAGCAAGAAGGAATCCAGGCTCGTACCCTCRGGTACGTGGTTTGCTGAAGTAGTTACTGGGTGAACCAGGATTTGAACCAAGGCATCTATCTGCTTCCAAAACTGACTCTTAGACATGGAAATCCCACCACGAGCCTTGAATTGAGATCTGGAAGATCGATAAGGAGACCCTGATCATCTCTCTTAGCAGTCAACCAGCCCATCAACCATCATTGTTAAATGAGATACAATCCCTCACACTTGCCTCACATGTGCAAGGCAAGCGTTCTGCCACTGAGCGGCAACCCCAGCCCCAGTTTCCTTGTCTTTAAAATAAGGATAATAGCCCCCAGCTTCCCCACAGAGTTGTGGAAATTAGGGGCCTGTGCACRGTGTTTATTGTAGAGTCTGAGTCATAGCAAACCTTCCAGGAATGTTGCATTGTGGGAAAAGGAGGGTCTGTGCCCTGTTTGGATCTGACTTTGYCTGGGGCATCATTTAGTTTAAGCAGCAGGGGGTCTGGAGCTCTCTAAGAGAATGTGCTCCATGAAGTGGTTGGTAAACCCACAGGTGAGTGGATGTTACTGAATGGGTGCTAATGATCAGGAGGCTGTTGATGTCATTTATAACGTAGCTGAACCAACCCCCTGCCCTCTCATGAGCATATTTCTTTCTTTTGTATTTGTGTGTGTGTGTGTGTGTGTGTGTGTGTGTGTGTGGTGCTGGGGACTGAACCCACGGCCTTGTGCATGCGAGGCAAGCACTCTACCAGCTGAGCTCTATCCCAGTCTCATGAGCCTTTTTGGGGCTGAAGGAACACACACAATTGTCTTCAACAGATGTGCCTTATAAACTTTGCATCTGTCCCGTGTCCCGTGGTTGAAGGATCCACTTCTATCAGGAGTCAGGAAAACTTTCAGTGAACAGTGAGATACCTGGGGAGACCCTTGCTCCTTCTCTCTTAGCTAGGAGACAGGGGCCTCTTAGATAACAGAGGCCAACTCCTGTAGGTTTGAGCTTGAACCAGACCTTTGGCCCACTTGATGGCGTTCTGAGAATAGGAAGGTAAATATTATCTTATCTTCTCCCAAGTTTTCTCAGAAGAGTAATAAAAACTTGAGAACTTTGACCTCCTCAAAGCATTTATCTCAAMGAGAGTGGTTCTTCCCAGTGCTCCTCAGGCTTTCTGGGTCTGCCTTCTTAATTTTGAGTTTGGGGGGAATCTACTTTATTCCAAAGTAATTGCTGTTAGTAGTATTGATGTTGGCCTCAGCACACATTTTCTCTCCCACTGGTGAATGTCATTGGAGGAAAGGTCCCAGCTGAGAGAAGACATTACCCAGAAGCCCTTGAGCCCCGCTATGGACGAAAGGGCTAGTTCCATTCCTTAGATCTTCTGCTCATCAACAAAAGAAAATGAAGATACAATAATACTGGATTTTAAAATTGTGATGTACTTTACCTGTTAACTTTACCTGTTTACCTGTTAACTTTACCTATTAACTTTTTTTTTTGTACCAGGCTTTGAACTCAGGGACACTCGACCACTGAGCCCCATCCCCAGCCCTTTTTTTGTATTTCATTTAGAGACAGGGTCTCCCTGAGTTGCTTAGTGCCTCCCCATTGCTGAGGCTGACTTTGAACTCGCCATCCTCCTGCCTCGGCACCCCCCAAGCCACTGGGATGACAGGCATGAGCCACGGTGTCGGGCTTGATTACCATTTTTAATGCAAATAAAAAATACAGGAGTGAAATGTATTATCTAGAGATATTGTTGAACATGTGCATTTGAAGACACTCGTGAAACTCAGACCTCAGCCAGATGGTCATCATGGCTTTGCTGTTGCATCAGAACCAGGGAGGAGATTGGCAGGAACCGTGTAGGGCTCCCTGAGGATCAGGGTAGGTGCCACTCACCAGAAAAGATGGGCTGAAACACAGCGTCACCCATCTGGATGAAGAGAAAGGACTGTGGATTAAACCAAGGGAGGGCCTGGGCTTCTTTGTGATAGTTATTAATTTGATTCCATCCCATTTATTGATTCTTGGTTTTACGTCTTGTGCTTTAGGAGTCTTGTTAAGGACTTGTTCAAAAGAACCCATAAAAAAGTCTGGAAATACGGGCTGAGGGTGCGGCTCCGTGGTAGAATGCTTGTCTAGCATGCGTGAAGCCCTGGGTTCAATCTCTACTGCTGCAGACACACAGAGAGACAGAGCTCTCATGGTAGAGACCCCAGTTTAAAATAAGGAGTAGCCGTTGAACTCGATGAGCTGTTGAGAAGATAAGGGAAAGAGGAATTTAAACTGTGTTTGCCAGTGGATTATAGAGGTTCATGTCTGAATTCCAGAGTCTTGGGAGGCTGAGATAGGAGGACGMAAGTTCGAGGCCAGCCTGGGCAACTTAGCAAGACCATGCCTCAAAAAGAACTGGGGATGTAGCTCCGTGGGTTCAATTCCCAGTACAAAAAAATAAATGAACAAGGTGTGGTTGCCATGTATCAGACAGTGACAAACTTCAGTACAGATGGAAATGGCCTCTGAGTCTCCTCCTGCATTGGGTTGGGGGTGTGGATCCTGATCCAGGATAGGGTGGTCAGAATGGCCACACAGTGTCTCAGTWTTATGTGGGTTACAATAACAGCCAGGGCTTCTCTGCATTTCCTGCGTATCAGATCCGTGCTGAGTGCTTTCTGGGGATCATCTCAGCCTATTCTCATGATAATGTTATAAAGTGTTGTTTTCCCAGTTCTCTAGATAGAGCAACTAAAGTTGGGAAAGGTTAAGTAACAAGGTCACAGCCTACAAAGTCTAGGCCCCTTTCTGTGTCCCTGAGCTATGGACTCATGTGGTAAACCTGTCTCCTGGTGCTGGCCTGTGTCAGGCCACACTGTGGCCAGACCTGGGGCATTGAGGGTCTCTCTGCTCAACTCTGGGCCCTGGGCTTCCTCTGCAGATCAGGTGGCTTGTGCACACCCAGAAATCTGCCAGAAGGTCTGCAGCAACCCCTCCGGCTGCTCCGACATCGCCTACCCCAAGCTGGTGCTGGAGCTGCTGCCCACAGGTAATGTCCCCTCAGCCCTACATGGAGCCCCTGGAGGACCCAGCAGGGAGAGCAGGGATGGGTTCGGATCTGAGGTAGGGCCACGATGGGAGCATTGTGGACAGGGATAGGCTCTGGGCTCAGTGGCTGAGCCCCAGATCTAGGGATCCCCCTCAGCCCCACGAAATGCTGAGGCCCTGGATAACCGGGAGCTCGGCCCAGCTGTCCTGTCTGAGGTTCTGCCTGCTGGGATCAGCTGGCTTTGGGCCTGGGGTACCAGAGTCACMAGTGAAGGCAGAAGCCGTTGGCGGGAAGCCCGAGGCCCATAGACCTCCCTTCTGCCCTAGGCCTGCGTGGGCTCATGATGGCTGTGATGGTGGCGGCTCTCATGTCCTCCCTCACCTCCATCTTTAACAGTGCCAGCACCATCTTCACCATGGATCTGTGGAACCACATCCGGCCACGGGCCTCTGAGAAGGAGCTCATGATTGTGGGCAGGTAAGGTCTTCCAACGTGGGGTCGGGCGGGGGGGTGTGTAGAGTCAGGGAGAAGGGAGCTGAGTCTACCCACGGGCACCRTCCCACCAACAGTGTACCCGGGCTGGCTCAGTGTCCTCTATGGATGCCATGAGTGATTGGTAGGTTGTTCATTCAAGAGACGTTCAATGAGCACCTACTATGTACCCGGAACTGGCATACAGCAGTGAAAAGACATAATTCTTGCCATCATGGAGCCAGAGGAGGAGGAAGGRAGGAGGAAGAGGAGGAGAAATCAAGGAACAATGATAACCCTATGTGGGAAGTCGGGAGGGTGGAGGTCAGAGGGGGAGGGCCCTGATAGGAGTATCCAGGTAGAAGGGAAGGGGCTATTCTGGAGGATTGGAGAAAGAGTTCTACACCCAAATCTCCTGCAAAGTCCTGATGTCTAATGGGAGGAGCTGAAATGAGTGGCATGTAAATTTTATGTAAAATACATGTAAATAAGCTCCTTGGAGGCTCTGTCACTCAAGGAGATGCGCCCTGAAGGCTCTTCAGCCYTGGGTTAGGAAGAGTTCTTAGATGTGACACCCAAGAACCATCTGTAGGAGACAGAAAAAAAAAAAAAAAAACACATTGAACTTCATCAGGATTGAAAGCATTTTCACTTCCTATAAAACGAAGCATTCATAATCTAGAATATAGGAAGGACTCTAAAGCCAAAAGACTTGATTAGACATTTCAGGAAGGAAGCTATAGAAATGGCTAACAAAGGTGTGTAAATGCACACCTACAATCCCAGCAGCTTGGGAGGCTGAGGCAGGAGGATCACGAGTTCAAAGCYAGCCTCAGCACAAGCAAGGCCCTAAGCAATTCAGTGAGACCCTGTCTCTAAATAAAATAAAAAATAGGGCTGGGGATGGGGCTCAGTGGTCAAGTGCCCCTGAGTTCAATCCCTCGTACAAAAATAAAAAATTTTAAAAATGGCTAATCAGCCCATGAAAAGATGTTCCACATCATTCATCATGAGAAAAATGCAAATTAAAACTGCAGTGAGAAACCACTCCAGCGCCTCTCATCAAAAAGACACACGAAAGAAGAGAAATGGGAACTCTTAGAGCTCGTGGGTGGGAAAATCTAATGGTTCAAGTGCTCCAAAGCAGATGGTCAGTTTCCTGCAAATGTTAAACATACACTTACCATGAGACCCAGCAGTTTGCATTTCTAGAAATGAAAACATGTGTCTCTACAGAAACTGATATATGCATTTCACAAAACATACCCACCCCAGTGCCCAAAAAAAGAGAAACAATCCAAGTATCCATCAACTGGCAAAGGAAAATCCATGACAGGGAATGGCAGACCCAGGACAGTGGGATGTTTTCAACCACAAAAAGAAATGAAATAGCTTGGTGCAGTGATGCACACCTGCAATCCCAGTGGCTGGGGAGGCTGAGGCAGGAGGATCTCAAGAAATCAAATAGTGATACATGTTCCAACAGGGACGTGCYGTAACAGACATACTTAACCAAAGAAGCTAGCTGCAAAAGACCACATCCCAGGTGATGCCATTTAGGGCTAATGTCCCCAAAAAGCCATCTGCAGAGACAGAGCACCTGTAAGTGGTTGCATAGGCTCAGCGCAGGAAGAAGCTGTCAGCGGGCCCAGGGGGCCTTTTGACGTGATGGATGTTCTAAATGTCAATTGTAGTGATGGTGGTTCGACTCTACAAATCTGCTAACAGTAACTGGACTGTACAGTTATGGGGGATGAGTTCTGTGGTTATGTGATTTGTACCTCAACAAAACTGTGTTAAAAAAGAAAAAAGAAGAAGTCCATGTTCGGGGGGGATGACCCTCCCTGGGTCTYTCTCCGTCTGGCCCAGGGTGTTTGTAGTTCTGCTGGTGTTGGTGTCCATCCTGTGGATCCCCGCGGTCCAGGCCAGCCAGGGCGGCCAGCTCTTCATCTACATCCAGTCCATCAGCTCCTACCTGCAGCCGCCGGTGGCCGTGGTCTTCATCCTGGGCTGCTTCTGGAGGCGGGCCAACGAAAAGGTAGCTCTGCGGCAGCCGCACCGTGCAAGAGCCGAGGGCTGCCCCGGAGGACTGGGAGAAGACGGTGGCAGGGGTCTAGGGAGACCCAAGCATGGGCTGGACTTGGTGTCATTAGGGAGAGTGAGCTCTGCCAAGGAAGTCGCAGGGAGGGCATTACCTGGTCTTTGAAGAAAGGAAAAGAGGCTGGGCGCAGGGGTGCAGGCCTGTAATCCCAGCAGCTGGGGAGGCTGAGGCAGGAGGATCTCGAGTTCAAATCCAGCCTCAGCAGCTTATCAAGGCCCTAAGTGACTCAGAGAGACCCAGTCTCTAAATTAAATACAAAAAAAAAAAAGGGGGGGGGGCTGGGGATGTGTCTCAGTGGTGCCTCTGGTTTTAATCTTGGGTACCAAAAAAAAAAGGGGGGGGGAGACAAGTTCCTGATTGGCTTCTTGAGGTTCCCRGAGGCCCGAGCCCGTGATGTGCTCTGTCTTGCAGGGTGCCTTCTCAGGCCTGATCTTGGGCCTGTTCCTAGGCTTGATCAGGCTGGTCCTAGACTTTATTTACGTGCAGCCGCTGTGTGATCAACCCGACGAGCGCCCTGCGGTGGTGAGGGACGTCCACTACCTCTACTTCTCCATGATCTTGTCCACGGCCACCCTGATCACTGTGTGCACCGTGAGCTGGTTCACMGAGCCGCCCTCCCAGGAGATGGTACGTCTGGGATGACAGCTATGTCCACTGAGACTCTTCATAGCAAGTGACAAAGAGGGCTGAAGGTTCCAAACCCAAGTCCAGCATTGGGGCCTCAGGGACAGGCTGATTCTGAACTCAGGAAAGATCCATCTCTCCTTTCTGTGTCAATCTTGGGCCCCCTACGGTGCCGTGTGGCTTTAGGAATATATCCTCCTTTACTGTCATTGAGGAAAAGCAAAAGCATTTGTGTCCTAGATTTCTAGCGGGGTTGCTGATTCCTATTGATGGAGTCAGCTTAAGATGTGTGCTCATCCATGAACCAACTTAATCCCTATGGCCAAAGAAAGGGCCCGGCCTAAATGGTCCATCCCTGGGTCCCACCATACCCTAGCGCTAGGGTGGAGCTCTGAGAACCAGAATAAGGCCATATGAGAAAGATCGGGGAGCGAGGGAGGGAAATGTCCATGCGGTGCAGGGCTGGGGCAGGAAGGCAAGACTGGGCAGACCGCAGGCACCAAGGCTGAGCTTGGGGCTGGGCAGGGGAGGTGAAGGAAAGATGGTGGGCCCCCACCCGTACCTCACAATTCACCTCTGCTCCTTAGGTCAGTCGCCTGACCTGGTTTACGCGGCACGACCCCAGGGTCCAGAAGGAACCGGTTCCACCAGCCATTCCCCTGCCTCTTACGCTATCTCAGAATGGGACCCCAGAGACCACCAGCACCGGCATGCAGAATGAGATTGTTCAAGAAAACATGTCCAAACCCCACAGCTGTGAGTTGCCTCTTCCCTTAGTTACAACAGGAGCCAGGGAAGGATTCTGTGTTTAAGGGAAAGTTTTTCTATCAAATCACAAGTCAGAAAATGGGATGGACTTGAAATCTTAGCATCCAAGGTTTGGTCCTTCCACTCTCTAGCCACGTGAAGGGGTTCTCCTATAACTCTGAAGAGAAGTCTCAGATGGTCACTAACAGCAGACCCTTAGGTGGCCACTCAAACGTCATTCATGTATCCTCAGGGTGCGCCAGATCACAGAGGTGTTCTCTAAATGAGTGGCTTCAAACTGGCCGCTGGCTGACCTCTTTGGCCTCAGCACCTATTGTTTTAATGAGATGTGAGTTGACATTTAAAAACTGGAAGGTTTCACATAGGATTCCAGATTTCCATCTTCTTTTGAAAAATGGTAACACTTGTGCCCATGTGTCTACATGACRAGAGTCACTCAGAGCTTTAAGAGGATACGGGATGCGCCCTTCAGTTAGTCCACGTCCCCACCCGCTTCATTATCTCCATGTCCCCAGGGCCGCGGGTTGTCATGGCTTTGTGTTGGTGGTGGTGTTGGATACTGTGCATATGAACTGTGCCCACCCAAAGTGGGAGCTCCAGAGGGCCACGTGTTTAAAGAGAAACGGAGGAAAGCGTATTTCTGGATAGAGGCAAAGATGATTTTTAACATGTTGCAAATATGCCTCCTGTGGCTCAGATACGTCCCCTGTCAACTCACAACAGGCCATTGAGTTTGCAGAGAAATGGAGTTTTCCACAAAGGGCTCATTTCCCTCCCGCCTTCTGGAGGCCTTGTGACATAGGGGGTCAGAGCTGGGTCCTAACTGGGCTGGGCCTTCCCTCCAAAAATACTTGGGAGTCAAATGGGCAGGAGAAATAGGTTTATTCCAAGTCARTTGTGAAGGAAGATAGAGGAGATTTATTCTCAAATAGTCATCTTCAGGAAATTGAGAGAAAAGAAGGCCGGAAATATACATATGCAGATTTGTGGTCGGTCCCAGGTTCCCTGGTGCCTGTGAGGTCACGGGTAGGGGTTGGGGGGTAGCCCATTGGCTTTGACTCTCGGTGTGAGGACAYAGGGGATGCAGAAAGCAAGTTATTAGGAAGTTCCAAAGTTAATTTGGTGCTTGGATTCTCAGTGTGGGGAAGGTGTCCTTAATCTCGGAGGTGGCAGATTTCATAAATTCACTCTGTCCCTGCCTACCAGGGGTGTGACTTCACTCTAGTTAGTTTGAGCCTCAGTTTCTTTCTTGGAAGACAATGAGAGTCTTAAAATACCAATCTTGCAGAATTAAAGTCTTCCAGACTTAAGTATTAATGAACACAGTTGTTCCTCGGTAACCAGTTCCAGGTCCCATGGGGACACCTATACCCACAGGTGCTCAAGTCCCTTGTATAAAAGGGCTTGGCATTTATATGTAAGTAATTTTGCAATCCTCCCCATACTTAAAATCATCTCTGGATTACTTGTAATACCTAATACAATGTAATTGCTACGTGAAGAGTTATACCATATTGTTTAGGGGAAATGTCAAAAAAAGAAAGTCGGACCCAACCCACCCCCAAACATCGATGATGGGTGTTTGGTTGGCTCTGTGGGTGTGGAACCCAGGGATGTGGAGGTTGCACTGTGTTTCTGGAACACGTACATCCAGTGCTTTTCCCACTGCACAAACACATTCAGGTTAGCTCTGCTCTCCCATCTCCGGGAGACCAAGCCCATCTCTATGACAGTTCTCTGCTGGGTTCTTTTTAGGTGATGTGACCCCAAAGCGGTCCAAAGTAGTGAAGGCCATCTTGTGGCTCTGTGGAATGGAGAACAAGGGCAAAGAGGAGCCCCCAGGCAAAGTGGAACCCGTGATAGATTTCTTGGAGGAAAACCCCATTGTGAAAACCCTTCTGGATGTCAACTGCATTGTCTGCATGACCTGCGCCATCTTCCTGTGGGGCTACTTTGCTTAATGCAGAGTGGACCCAGGGGGTCCAAGTTCTCAGTTTGTTTTGGATGTCTTGTTATTTTTTAATGAAGTAATAATAATAATAATAATAAAGCTTTTGTTTGTTTACCTCAAAGCTTCTAAGGTATTTATGGGCCATTTTTGACATGACATTTATCTCTTTTCTTCTTGAAAGGAAGAGCTGATCCCCAAAGGTCTTCTCATTGTGATCCTTGCACTGTGATCCTGAAATTCCATACTATAAGAAAATCAGGCTGGGCACCTCCACAGAGAATTTCCGCTGGTTGAGGCCAGTGTGGCTTGGGACCTGGAGAGCAGCCATCTACTACTCTGTGGAGTTGGCCATCTCAGTTTCTCTGTTGGGGCCCTGATAGGGTCTGATGGGATGCCATATAGCGGTTGTGTTTGTCATGTGCATGGCTAAGGGCAAGACCAGGGACAAGAGCCCTGCAGCCCTGGATCAAGGACAGTGGTGGGTAGAGGGATTTACTGGCCTGACGGAGCTAGAAAGTGGAGTGGTCTCTCCAAGGTCCCCAACTTTCAGACCTCAAAGGAAAACAGGAGCCTCTGGGGCCGAGGATCCCCTCTCCTACTAGTCACTCAGTGATCTCTTTTGAGTTCCTAGTCATGCTCAATACCTGGGCCCAACTGGCCCAAAGGTACCTGTATTAGCCCAGAGCCAACCCCTGTTAGGAGGCCTGGCTTCTCCACACTAACCCAAATGATTGTTCTGGGCTGATAAAAGGCGCCCTGAGGCCACACAGGAAGGGGCAGATACGTGGGGCCTGGTTGCTAATGTTGTTCCTACCCAGACCCTGTAATGGGCTCCCTGCAGGAGTCTGAGACAGTTTTGGAGGCTAGAGAACTCCGGGGACAATCTGCGAGGGTCAGGCTGCGCTTGCCTCTCCAGGGGCCAAAGGAGAGGAGTGGGAGGCACAGGGCTGTCCAGTGGAGTCGGCAGCTCCTGCGCTGACCTGAACACCGACCCCTGCTGCCTCTGGCTGGGGCCAGAAGTACGCTTCAGTGTCCCTATCACGGCTCAAGCCACTGCTGTCTCTCCTGGGATTGCTGCCACCAGCAGCCTGATCGGCCTTCCCACTTGTAATCTTGCCCCCTTTTCAGCCACAGGCAGAGAGCAAATCTGATCCAGTGATCTCTCTGCCTTGAATCCTTTCAGTGACTCTCAGGATGAAGCCCACATTCCTGTAGGAAAGATAAGGCCTCTAATGACCAGGTCTCTCTCAGGTCTCTCTGCTCTGCAAGGTCTCCCTGGCGGCTGAAGGTCATAACATATTCACATTTTCCCCCTCACCTCTGTGCCTTAGCACAGGGGATGGCATAAAAGGGGCCAGCGGGACGTGGTCAAACACTGATTCCTAGGTCCTGATCCATGCTCCGAACATGTCCGCGCCACTCCCTTCCCACTGCCTCGCTTTGATTTAGGCCAGTGTAGCTCTTCTTCAAGGCTGGTCCCTGTTTCTAGTCTTGCCTCTGCCTCAGGCCCGCTTCTGCACCATAGTCAGATATCTAAAACACAAATGGAACTAGCAGCTCCCCTTCTCCTCTCCCCAGTTCCCTACTATCCTTGGGAAAGCTTTCGAGTACAGGTTTTAAGGCCTCCTGGCCTAGATCCTCCTGACTTCACCAGCCCATTCCTTGCTCTGTGCTCCAACTCTAGCTCCACCTCCTGCTCTGGCCGTGCCTTCTCTGGCTCCACCCTTTCTCTGGCTCCACCTCCTCTTCTGACTCCAGCTCCTAATCTGCCTCCTGTTCTGGCTCCAGCCCCGCCCCCCGTTCTGGCTCCATCTCCATCTCTGGTTCTGCCTCTTAACTCTAGCTTGGCCTCCTGCCACTTAAATCTAGCTCTGCCTCCTGCTCTGGCCCCACCTCCTCTTCTGGCTCCACCTCTGTGTTCCGCTCTGGCTCCACCTCTGTGTTCCGCTCTGGCTCCACCTCTGTGTTCCGCTCTGGCTCCACCTCTGTGTTCTGCTCTGGCTCCACCTTCCTGCTGCCTCCATTCAGCCCCTGCAGGAGACACCTCCTTCCTCTGGACTGTCCACCTGCACCCTCAGCATTCTAAGATGTGCTCATGCCCATGCGCTCTCATGGCTCCTCCCTCTCAGCAACATCTTTGTTTCTATGACTCATGTTAGTTCTCCAGGGTCCAGGTCGGTTTATGTGAAGAGTAAGCCCTCAGTATTTACCTGGAGGACACAGAATGAGTTACCATGACCTGGGCTCAGTGCTAAGGGTGCGTATGTGGAAACGTTCATTGCTGATGCGCACAAAGGATGAAAACAAGGTTGGTGAAGTGCTCTTCCACATACCAAACTCGCTCTTGTGCCAAGAGTGTCATTAGCAATGATGTTTCAAAGTGTGTRGCAGATAGGCCTTAAGGTGACCCTCAATGATCCCTACTCCTGTGGTTCACACCCTTGTCTAATTCCCTATCCTTGGGTATAGACAGACCCTGTGACCTGCTTCTGCCAGAACATAGTGACGGTGATGGGATACGTTCTAGTCAACTTTCTCACTGCGGGGACTAAAAGACCTGACAAGGATGATTTGAGGGGAAAAAGTTTATTTGAGGTCTCATGGTTTCAGAGGTCTCAGTCCATAGATGACTGTTGTGGCTTGGGTGTGGTGTGCCCCAAAAGCTCATGTGTGAGACACTGCAAAAAGGTTCAGAAAAGTCAGGATTAACCCAGTCAGCGAATTAATCACCTGATGGGATTAACTGAGTGGTAGCTGAAGGCAGGTGGGGTGTGGCGGGAGGAGGTGGGGCACTGGGGGCGTGGCTTTGGGGTATATATCTGCATCTGGCAAGTGGAGAGGTCTCCACCTCTCTCTGCTTCCTGACCATCCTGTGAGCTGCTTCCCTCTGCCACACTCTTCCACCATGACGTTCTGCCTTATCTAAAGTCCCAAGGAATGGAGCTGGCTGGCTGTGTACGAAGACCTCTGAAACCATGAGTTCCCAAATTAACTTTTTCTTCTCTACAGCTGTTCTGGTTGGGTCTTTTAGCCACAACAGTGAAAAATCTGACTAGAACAATGACCAACTCCATTCCTTGGGGCCTGAGAGGAGGCAGAACGTCATGGCGGAAGTGTGTGGTGGAGGCAAGCACCTGAGGACACGGCACTGGGAAGCAGAGAGAGCTCTGCTCTACAAGGACAAAATAGAAACCCAGAGACATCCCCTCACGGACCCACCTCCTCCCGCCACACCCCACCTGCCTCCAGCCCCCACCCAGCTAGTCCCTATCAGGGGACTGATTAATGCACTGATTAGGTTAAGGCCCTCCTAACCCATTCATTTCCCTCTAAATTTCCTTCATTGTCTCACGAATGAGCCTTTGTGGACACCTCACATCTAAGCCCTACCAGGATGTCACCGTTGTTACATGTTGTTCAATGAATGGTGACCTCAGTCTGTCTTGCTGGGGGACCACACATGTCATAGGGGAAAAGTGGAAGCCACTGGTCTAGAAACATCCCAGTCAATGAGTASTACTGCTGTCTCCTGTGAGACCCCAAGACTGTAGGTCCCAGAGACCACCTGGAGTGAAGACATAGCAGGACGAGGAAGATCCTAAAAGAAGAAGAGGGTGAAGGCCCCAGAATATGGTGGGGAATGGTGGAAGTGGGCCTCAGCAAGAAAAACCAGGAGGAGGCTTTGATACCTTCAAATATGAACTCACTGGGAACTACAGCCCCAAGAAGAACAAGGGGTCCATCCATGAGACCCCTGGGAACCAGGGCCATAAGACAGTCCAGGGATTGGGTCATTCCAACCACCTCTGAACTCTTGGAGTGACCACGGGGCAGAACCCAGCACAATCAGGGCAGCCAGGGTTCCTCTCTGAACCTCTGTGGCCTTCAGAGTACTGGACTAAACGCATGGGTGCTGAGCTGCAGGGCGTGGGGAGGGGAACAGCTCGGACACTGGTGTTGTAGCGGAGGCAGAAGGAGCAGGGACAAAAGGTCTGCCACACAGGGCTAGAGCATTTTAAGAAATTGTGAAAGAAGAAAAGGAAGCAATCAGGAAGTCAGAAAACCAGCAGGATCTTTCTAGAAACCAGCACCTTTCTGGATGGCCAGGGTGGCTGGCTCTGGATTCAGATTCTGGCCCATTTAGAGCAGTGGGGAGGGGAAAAGAGCCTGCCAAGGTGACAAGCACAGCAGGAGGGACTGTGGGCTCCAGAATGACAAAGAGGATCCACCCTCAGCTGACACAGTGACAGCTCAGAACATCCAATTCTGAGCCACCAGGCCCCTGCTGGCTCATCCCCCCAAAGATGATTAACAGTAGCTTCTGTTTGGTATTTACCTTTGACCCATCAAATAGTTTTCATTTTTACGAAGACTGGAGCTGTTGGGTCAGGAGAGAGCCACGAACAACAGAATAAAACAGAATAAACTTGAATGATGCCCTTAAAATGAGGGTTTGGTGTGTCCTGTATCAGAATCATCAATAACAAACACCTGCTGCAGGCAGGGAGCATGTCAATGCTGTCCCCTTGACAAGCACGTGTTCCGCGTCCCGCATCCCGAGTGCTCGGCTCGGGCATCCCAGTGGAGACCTCTCCGGAGACATCTCCAAGGTGCTGCAGACAGACTCCGGCCGTGCACAGCTGGGCGCCGTGGAGAAGGGGCTGGACACTGAGCCCCAGCCTGCACAGAATCCTCCTAGGCAGCGTTTGTTCTATAGCTAAGGGGGAGGAAGGAAGAGTGCGTCTGGAGCAGACAGAAACTTAACATATGGGGGGGTCACAGGTGCAGATTTTCAATGCAATTAAGTGTGGAGAGTGCTCTGGGGGCACTGGGAACTCAGAGGAAGAGAAAGCTGCGGTTGCTCCTGTCAAGCCAGGTTTAAGTTCATGATAAAAGGAAATTCAGTGTCTCCCAAGCCAGGGACAGGCCACTGACACTCCCAGCTGACAGTTCCAACAATGGATGGCCCTAGCAGTGTGTCCCCCTTTGTGCATATGTGGCCCTGGGGAGGGGTCTTCATGAGAACAGTGGTCCAGACTACAGCCTCATTTGGCTCCAACTCCCCACCTGCTCTTCTCAAGGGTTTCAATCCTGGGAAAGACGTGGCAGGGCAAGAAGGCATCCCAGTCCCTGAAAGGGGGACTCCTGTGGCAGTTAAAGCTGCTGATGTACTTCCTGGCCCTGTGGAGGCCAAGTCTCTGAGAGTGAGCACCCCTAGTCTATGTCCCTCGAGGGACAAGAAAGGGGATGGGGACTGGTGAGACCCCGAGAGCAGCCTGAGCCACAAGACACTCAGCCTGGAGGTCTGGGGGAACCTGGTGGCCTTTTTCACTGCAGCGACTTCACTCTATTTTTTCAAGTGCTTTGAGTTACAATTGGACCTCCTAAGATGACCCATCAGCAATTCTACTTGGCTAAGTGACAATATGCACCCACGTGTGTACGTATACACACACACAAACACACACACACTCTAGTCTGCGTCCAAGAATTATCAAATTTTCATATAAACCACAGAATATATTTAATTCAAATTAAACATGAAACTAGAATAATGTTCGGTCCTTATCAAGGAGCAATTACATTGTTTAAAAAAAAAAAAAAAAAAAAAGACAGTACATTTCTCTACATTCTGGCAATCTGACAAGGCACAAGTCACGTCCAGTTTGATGAGGTGACAGATCCAGCAGTCACCATCGATGCTCACGGTTCTGAGGGGACTGGGAAGACACAGACCAGACTTAATACAAAACGGTTCTGCAGCAAGTCTGCAGGAGGGGCTCCCTCCTGGTACATGAGGGTGAGCGCCCCAGTAGCAAGCAGCACTGACCTGCATGGCTGAGGGTTTTATTAAATAGACGGCGCGTTGCTTCTCGTTCGCTCCGAGCTGCTGTGGGTGCCRCCTGCGTTCACAGCAGTGGCCAAAGCTTCCTATGCACTGCTCSGCAGGAAGGCTGGTCCTCTCCTGGTTCTTCTTTGCTTTTGACTTTTTGCCATGGTTGCCCTCCCAGGTAAAGAAAGCCAACTTCTTCAAGACCCAGGTCATGCAGCTTTGAAGTGTGGGCCTCCACGCTCTCCTTGGGCTGTGCAAAAGGCCAGGTCCTGCGTGGGAGGACCTTTCTCCTCCACTGAAAGCTATTCACTGTCTGGTCTGCCCAGCCTGGTTCCTGCCCACAGGGTGGGAGGGACGGCTGGGAGCGGCTTTCTTCACAAGGCGGTACGGTACTTTCCGTGTCATTGTCTGTATCCAGCAGAATGTGGCCCAGCAGGTCTTTGTTTGCGGAGTCTGAGTGCATTTCAGAAAAGATGCTGCGAAGCGGTTCTGAAGCCCTAGAATTGGTGTCTGGACAGAAAACACAAGGAGACATGGTATCAACGAGGGGCGACGTGTGGGAGCCCCGGGGACGAGGCTGGGAAGGTGAGTCAGCCCATGCACACAGTCCCCTGCTAGAGACCTCAGCAGCCCTGAGAAGTTGAGTCAAGCCTTGGAGATCCCAGAAAGTGGCCCTCATGGCACAATCCCCTCTGGTGTTCCTTCTTGTGAGCCTGGGCAGCCCTCAGAGGATTTTTGACTGAAGAAAGGAAACCTCTTCCTTATCAAGGCCTCTGATGCACTAGATGAAATCTCCTATCAGCAGGGATTCCTCCTGTTACCAATGCTATGACCTCAACCTTGGGCTAGCAAAATTTGGGGTTGAATTATTTGGGTTGTGGGGCTGTCCTGTGCATTATAGGATATTGAGCAGAATCCATGGACTTTACTTTATTAAATGCTAGATGGCTCTTTTCCCCTAGGGTGACTGTCTTGACAGTCTCCAGACACTGTCAAGTGTCTGCTGGGGGCCCAATCATCCCTGGTTGACAATAACTGAAGTAGACTACCAAATCTCCTATAAATATTAGTTTTCTCTAATACTTATATATCAAATTCCCTTTTCATGTCTTATTATGTTGGCTGAAATTCTTTTAGTTGATCCCCCCTCCCCTCCCCTGCTCTCCAGTGCTGGGGATGCAACCCTGGGCCTCATACATGCCGGGCAAGTGCTCTACCATGAGTTATACAAGTTCCCAGCCCCAGAATTCCTTTTAGTAAGATGGAAAATATATGGTTCTCAAGCCACTGTCCCTCATGCTCATGCTGGTAAGACACCTTCATCCACCACAGCTCTCTTCCCAGAGAGGTTAGTGGGTCCTAAATTCATTCATTCATGAACAAATACTAAATATTTACTGAGCGCTGACCACATGCCATGTTCTACCTGCTGAGGACACAACAGTGAACAATACAGACACGGTGTTAATGAAGCCTGTGGACAAGTGGGGGGCCCAACCCTAAGGTTCCGTGTCAGGTAGAGGTGAGCTCTAGCAAATTATGAGAAAAGCTCTGTTAGGTATTTGAGGGAAGAGAAATGTTTGGCTATGTTGTGATTTTACTTTGGCAGGTTAGAGCTGTCCTGGAGGGTGCGGGGAGGGAACCACATGGAAGGTGGGCTTGCTGGAGCACTTCCCAGGTGGGCTGAAGACGGCTCTCCCTGCTCTTGGCACCGGCTGCCCCTGCTGGAGCTGTTTCTGATAGTGTCTCTGTCTCCCCCGCTCCTCATCCACGCAGACACAGCAGGCAAATGCTGGTGTACCTTCTCACTGCCCTGAGACTCACCCCTGTCCCCAACCCCTTCCACACTCCTGTCCCTATAGTTCTCCCTGGGGCACCCCTTTCCTCACAGTGACTTCTAGGAGGGTTGGCAGACTTGTCCCTCAGGGTTTGCTGTGCATCACAACTCAAATTCCTAGATTTATGGAGGAGCCTGGGTGTTAAAGAATTCAAGCGCTCAATGTCATTTCAGACAATTTAGGTCTTAAGATAACTATAAATCCCACTGCACTGGGCTGAGGCGCTCTGTACAATGGCACCGTCAGAAGCAGCCTGTGTGCACAGAACTGAGGATGTCTCAGAATGGTCCTCAGCAGAATGGAAGTCAACAGGACAGAGTGCACATCTGTCTTGTTCACAGTACATCCTCAGTACCTAGAAGCACCACTGACAAACAGCAGACTTCACACATCGTGGTTGGACACTTGGATGGCTGCATGGAAGAGTCACCCTGTGTGACCAACTCTCCCTTCTTAAATGTCCTTAGGCAACTGTAGCCAGGACTCAAGGCAACAGTGGAACAAAAAAACCACTGGAAATTGTAAACCCTTTCCCTGTCGTCCCGACCCAACAATACAGATGGTGCCAAGCAGCAGTGTTTCCTCTCAGCCCCCAGAGCTGACAAGGAACCTGGGGGGCATGCGTGAGGCAAAGACCCTGTACATACGGACTGGGTTTCTACTTGTTAACATCTATATTTACATATAAGACCTCACACATCATGGACAACATCTCCATTTTTACTTCTCTGAATTTTTCTATTTATAATGAAGACAATTCTATATCCGGGGGAAAATGTGTAGTAGGGCCTAGGGAAATCCCTCAACCTGCTCCTGTCCGTCCCCCCGGCTCCCCAAGCCCCTTTCTCATTCTTCCGTGTATCATTTTGTGAAAGCAAACAGTGGGTCTGTTTGCACACAACAAGGAGGAAGGAGGGAGGCAATGTGTGCAGCGAGGATTCTGAGAGGGAGTACGCCGGTCGTGAGGACTCACTGGACTTGCTAAGTGCTCCCCATGCACCCTGCCAATCAACCCTCACCACTCCACTGGGGAGAGAGGGGAGGCAGACAGCCGCTCAAGGGCTCTGCTCCTTGTCCCAGGGGATGGGAGAGTGCAGGTCTGAAGGGATTGAAGCCACGTGGCTAGAGTCTGGCTATGATCTACATAATGCTTTTTCTCCTCCCTAAGGGAGTGTGGGAGCTCTTCGGTGAGGATCCTGAAAAAGAAGACGTCACCTGAGGAGCTAATGGCTTCAGTCTTAAACTTTCTGGTGCATTGTAATAAAAAGGAGAAAAAATTATTTTAAAGACAAATGAAAGAATCCAAGTCTCTCCAACCCTCCGCCTATGAATATATACACCATCTGCATTCCAAGAAGGGCTGGTCTTTGTGCATATTGCTTGGAATTAAGTTCACAACAGATGCTAACGACCACCAAGAAACTGGAAAAGAGACTCCCAGTAACCAGACTCAGCCCAAAGGCAGAATGGAGATGGTTCATCCTGGGTTTGGGCCTCTGACACACGTAGCCCAGGTCCTCCTGACCTGAGTGTCTCCCTCCAGGAAGCAGGCCCTCTGAGGGCCTATACTGGCAACCTGATACTTAGGGTATGATTCTAGGACAGTCGGTCACCCTTGCGATTTTGAGTGCGTGCTTTTGGTCATAAATCTATCTTTCAAGAGGGCAAGGTCATCTGAGAGCAAGTGGATCCAAATCCACTCTTGAAATGAAGAGTTTCCGGCTCAGCTGCAGAGTGGACAAGCCCTACCACCACTGTCCATCCTTCAGCTCTGACCCAGGGACCACAGGCACGGCTGCCTTCTAGGCCTCACCACCCTTAAGACTACAAGCAATATCCTTATCCATGAAAGACACTGACTCAGCTTTTTATTATTCTAGGAGAGGTTCTGCTCAAGTCTCACTGGATACTTAACTTGACACGATTTCTCTCATCTACTTGTTAAAAGTAAACTGCCAATAGAAGAACAAGCCACTTAGTACTGATCCATCTGCTAGATGAAATATTATGCTGTCATCTAACATAGATGGCAAAGACCACAGATGTAAAATAAAATAACACAGGATTAAAATCTGTATACGTCAAAATAATTGTCACCACACACCTCCTTGCCTTCAGAAAAACCAGAATTTTTAAAAAGTAGAATAAAAATAGGCTTCCCCAATTATAGAACTGTAAGTTCTTATTATTTCTATTTCTCAAAATTTCTTTTTATATCCATACTATTTTTAAAGAATGTATTATTTCACAATATAAAGAGTTTGATTTTTAAAAGAGGACGCTTGGAGAGCCAGCAAACTGTCCAGTATTATGGGCATTTGAGAGTGACTCCGTCATTGTGACCCTGGGTATTCTCCTAACTCCTCTCCCTACAGTAGGAAATGTCTTCTCCTGCAGGGTATTGTCTTTCTAACCCACAAAAACACTAATAGGAAAACCAAGTGGTGCATGAAATTGAAATATGGACACAGGAGCCCTGCTCCTGACCTCCTGGCTCTGGGTCCTAGAAGGCTGGGTCTAGGCATGTAAGTTCTATAAACGTTGACTTAGGAATCCATCTAATATGTAACTTTGATCTAAAACATTTTCGTTTAGATAAATGTAATAAACAACTGCCATGGATTTGACCCTGTGTGTTATGAACTGTAACAGGTGCTTCCTATTTCACCGAGAATAAGTTCTACCAGGTGTCATCAGTTCTACCAGGTGTCACCACTTCCGAGGTCAACCAGGTTGTCCCCTGCCCAGTGTAACAGAGAGCTAAAATGCTAAGTCAGGTATGCTTGACGGTGCAGTGTATGTTGTTTCTACTACACCTCAAGCCTGTTCAATAGAGGAAAGAATAGAAGTCACAGAAGTCATGAGGCCGGCCCTGTGGCACCTGATCCACATCTGTGCACACATTTAGTACTCAGGATGACTCACAGCAAGCATGGACAAGCCGCCCTCCTTAGTGCATGCACTATTAGTAGGGGTGCAAGCAGGCAGGGTTAGGGAGACTGGTTAGTAACAGGCATTAGTGCACAAATATGATCAGACAGCAGCAAAAATGCTTTGGCCAATCAGGTGCCTTTTCCTTACCATTACATATTCCAATTTCAGTTCTGACTGAATATGGCAGGTCATACATCTAAATTATTTAATGAAATGTTTAAATTAGAATACTCTTTGCTAAAACTTATTAAACACAGCAAGATGAACACTGTTCCCTTGGGAAGTTAAAACCCTACTGATCCTCCATTCTCCAGAGCTCTGCTCTGTGCTGAGCTGCCAGGCACTGGCCACCAAGCCTGCATGGCAGCAGTGATCCCCGGAGAGCTGACCTTGATCCCAGAATCCTCGTATCAGCTCTTTGAGATGAAATACTCTAAATGAAGGGCCTATTTTCAGGAAATTGTCCATCTGAAGTTTTCCAAGTGAAAACAAGATGCCATGGTACAGGACCCTGCTCAAGGAAGTTACTACCTTCTGTAAAAGCCCAGTGCTATGTTCGAGAATCACTAATAGGCAAGCCAACCCCTGTGGGCTCCTGGACTCTAACTGCTGGCTCTCTGTGTACATCCAAGGGCATCCAGAGGATTGTAAGATGTTAAAGGTTAATTCTGTAATACAAAGACAATTGTGGTGACCTGGAGTCTTGTGTTAGGAGAACTCACAGCATAGACTGGCTTTTAAATATTTAGCTAATATCTTATGGAAAAGTTACTTTTAAGTAGGAAATTTTGCCTAATAATTACAAAGCACAGTGAATTGCAGTGTTGTAGCTGATCAACAGAACAACCTTCTGGCATAAACACAACCCAGGTAAGAACCCTATTAAAGGAGACATGGAATTCTGGTTTGTAGTCTTCCATCTAAATAAAAACAAAAGATCTAGAAATAAAATGTTGGTGTGCCACAAGTACAAAAGTGTTAATCCTTAAACAGTGATTATGGCTCAGTTACTTTACACTGTAAACGATTTCCACACCCACTGGGCACTCCCAGACTCAGGTCAGTCACCAGGTAATAAGGAAGGTGGGCTCGGGCCTGTGGCTCCCCCGTGTTTTCAGTCACACTCTAGCCTTCCCTTGTGCTGCCTATAGGAGTCTTGCTCGAGYAGAAGCTGGGGTGCTCTTACTGCATGGCCCATAAAATGCTTCTGGCTGTGATGAAGGCAATCACACTCTTAATGAGAGGCTTCTGCTGAGCAAATGTGGGTTCAAGGGCAGGTTCACAGCGCCTTTTAAAAAGCTCATTGTGGTTTAAGAAAGCAAAATGTAGGCATGCTGGATTACAAAGGGATTCCAAGGAATTCAGTAAAGGATCTTGGGGGAAGACTGGTTTTCCCCCCTGGTCGTGAGAATTTCAGACATCAATTAAGAAGCTCCATGCAGTTAAGATTGCACTTAAGATTGAAAAAAATAAAATAAAAATAAAATAAAGCTAGGACTTAAGGGACACAAGTTTTTGTGCCGTTGTCACTTGAGTCCTCTTGGTTGGATGCTGATGAGTCAATCAGTGGGAGGCCAACTGCACTGGAGGCCAACTGCACTGGGCAGAGCATCGGGCTGTGTTACCAACAGGAAAGACAAGTTTTAGCATCCTCCGTGAACAGCTTGAAAGCAGCTCTCCCTCTACTGACATCTACGCCCGGATTTGGAGCACTGCAGCTCAAAGTGCTTCTGATAAACACCAGAGGAATGTCCACATGCTATGGCACGGACGGCCTGCTGACTGCCATAGCGCGGGTCAAGGGCCACTCTGGAGCACAAAGTCCAAAGCACATACACGAAACATGGCTTAGCAGGAGCATTGGAGCTGCGGTCAAGCTGCTTGGGGGGTACAGACCTTAGTCCTGGACACTTTCCCCACCTGTGAGGGCACTAGGAAGGACATCTATTGGGAAACAAACAAGCAAACAAACCATTGTGGCTTTGTGGTTTTCAAAATAACACTGGTGTCATAAGAAAAGTCATTAACCATTGATAACATGTGCAAACGAGGCATCACATTCCTGGGGGGAAATAAAGCTATTGACAGATTATTTGAAGTTGGTTAACCTTATCATCTTGGGTCCCCATTTTGGGTGCACTGTTGGCTCATTTTCCACTGAGAAGCCACCTGGGATGGTTGGAGAGCCCAGAGGAATATTTCAGTGGCTTCTCCAAAAAAGCCTCCATTTGAATAATCTACAGCTAGAAGAATTGATGTGGAGCTACTAATGCCATTTTTAAAACACTAAAAATCTATTCATACTTAAAATTAAATATTGAATTTGAGTATCTGAGATGAAAATGGTTTTTAATATGATTAAAGAAAATGGTTGTGTTCTAGAGTTCCTGCAAGAGATCCCATTAGGGGTCTGCTCCACTCACACAACCATCCCCTCTCAAAACAGGCTGGCACTGGGGCTGCAGGGAATCTCAGTTCTTCCCTCTTGTGCCACTGGAAGGTGGCACTCTGCTAGGATCAGGCTCTGAGACCTGCCTTCCAGCACATTCAACTTGGCAAGATCAGGATTTTTAAAGTTATACCTGAAATTCTTCATTCACTATGAATGTCTTTACTAAGAAATGATCCACCTGGATTAAAAGTCATCACATTTAGAAACATGCAAATGGAGATAGGTTTGACATATGTAATACAACTAGAAATCTTGAACCAACTTCAAGGCCAGGCTGTGGATTTCAGTTTTGCAGGTCACGTGACCTGCCACGACCACACCACTCTGCTGTTCTAGCACAAAAGCAGCCAGAGACCAGATGTGACTGCTGGGCGTGGCTGTGTGCCAATAAAACCTCAACGGCACCTGGCTGGGGGCCAGCATGGTTGGCAGGGGAGAGTGACTCCTACTTACCTGTCACTATTTTGGAAGCTGTTGGTGCTGCGCTGCTGAGGCTGCTGTCCCCGGCAGAGTGGGCGCCAGGAGGATGGGGGGGGCGGGGGCATGCTGGGTCGGTTCCTCGGCTTTGGTACTGGCCTGGGTCTCGGCAGGGTTCCAGCATGTGTCTGCGCAGCCTCAGGGTTACTCACCACCTGGGTCTGAGCAGCTGGCAGGTTGGAGTTCTGCTTTCCTAGGGGTGGAGTACTGGGGGGTGTTGGCGTCTGAGGAGGGGTGTGGGGTGGCTGCTCRAGTCCGTGCTCACTGGGCAGTGTCATGGAGGTGGGTGGGCCCTGGCCKCTCGGTTTGCTGTGCCCCTGCGGCGTGGCCTGGGTGGGCGGCTGTGGCGGCGGGTGGCTGGGTGCTTGTATTGGAGACAGGCTGCTGGAGTACCTCCGGGGTGCAGAGAGCTGGGAGGTGGCCGAGGGCTGGCCTGGGGCTGGGCCTGTGTGCTGTGGGGGAGGAGACGGACTTCGAGCGGATGGCTTTGGTGACAGGCTGGGTGGAAGCTGAGACGCTCCTGGAGCACTCGGGCCCCCGTGATGGCCAGGAGGCGGGTTCCCCGGTTTTGGGGGCGCTGGAGCAGGTTTCTTAACTGCTGCACAAAGGAGAAAAAAGAACTTTTAGTAATAGCAGCAGAGTGACAGCCAGCACCACCTCAGCAAGGAGCAAGGCCAAGGAGCTTGTCCCTGGAGACAGGGACAAGCGGTGCTGACCTCATGTGCCTGCTGGGAGGAGGGAGAGTGCCTCTGTCTCCCTCTCTAGGACCTGGAGCCCCGGTCCAGCCACCAGAAGGCCAGCTGACCACACCAAGGGAGGGACTTCCTTCCAGACGCCTGACCACCCCTCCTCAAGTGGCCAAAGTCAGACCAACACAAGGGAAGACTGAGACAGCGACACAGACCCACAGACCAGAGGAAACCATGAGCATTCGGCACTGGGCCTCCAGGATGGGGAGACAGATGTCACTGGAGTTTAATGAACAGCTGGGAACCAGACTGGTGCCTTAGTTGTGATAAAATGTACCCTGGTGACGTCAGACAGTGACGCCAGGGGAAGCGGGGTGGAGGGGAGTGGGAACTCAACTGCATGGTAAATCAAAAATCATGACAAAACCAAAAATGTATTTAAAAAACATTAAGTGCATTATACACACTCRACCCTTTGTGACCTGTCATTTTAAAAAGATCAGAGGCTGCCACACCACCAGGGAAACGCTGCTCCAGGCCCCTCCCTGGGTGCCCCAGAGCATGGGAAGAAGTGGGGGAGCGGCATGGTGGCCCCCCTCCCCACAGTGGCCTGACCCCAAGCCGTCTCCTCCCAGAGGGCTTGACTTACTGTTAATAACTGAAATTCTATCGATTCCAGAATAACTTGGGTTAACGGATAAATAGAGATAAAAGTACAAATAAATCTGGAAAAGCTGCCTTAGAATTATTTCTCTCAAGAGAGGTGATAGCCATCTCTCTCCTCCTGACAGCTGAGGTTCTGGCTGGGAACTTGACACGGAGGAGGATGGGATGGAGAAAACAGATCTGGAACCTCGTTGGTGTCCGGGAGAGGCGGGCAGAAACCAGGGACCTGAGCATTTCATGATTTCAGCTGAGAGCTCACTGATCCCACAAGAAGGGGAGAAGGAAATGAAGGACACAGAGGAACACGAGTCACTCTCCCAACATCACCTGCACCATCTGAGCACTGTTAGACCCATTTCACAGTGGAGAACACTGAGCAACAGAGAGGGCAAGCATTTCATAAGAGGTCACACAGTGAGTAAATGGCAGAACAGAGATTCACACCCGTGTCAGTGGACTCCCTGGACTCTTTATCCTCTTTCTTCTTCCTACACTGCTTGGGTCCCTGCTCCCTGCTCACAGAGCCCAGAATTCAGAGTTGATAAGGGTGAAGTCTGCTCTGCTATGTTAGCCTAGAATTTTTGATACTGGAACTCAGAAGACCTTTTCCCACAGAAAAAAGCTAATCAGCTTATAAAGGAAGAGATCTCTGGAATATCAGTCATACCCTGGTTGCCATAAGCAACTTTTAAAAAAGGTCCAATTTTCCGTTTTAAGTAATATTTACTTAATTCATATTGAATGAAAGTCATTCCTGACATTTCAGGGTACAGTGCGACTCAGGAGAGAAGCGCCACAGCAGAGTGGCAGGGCTATGGGTGGGGCTGGGGAAGACCTGCAGAAGACCAGAGAGCATGTGGGAGGCGGGGTGGAACCGCCTCCAGGAAGCCTGAGAGCCTCGGCCAGGGAAGAGCCAGGGAAGAGGCAGGGCCTGGAAGCTGAGGCCCCTGGGGCCAGGCAGGCAGGCTCAAGTCAAGGGTGCACATGAAGGCGGCCTGAGGGTAGGAGGGCCTTCAGAAGGACAAAGGAGCTGCCCCACGTGCCTCCTCCCTGCAGACCTCCCAAGGTCTGCGATGCTGTGCAGACCTGGTGCTTCCACTCACAGGGGACTCACCGAACTTAACCCTCGCGATGTCCCCTGAGGTCGGCACCTTTATTTCTGGGTCAGCAGCCTTCAACTAGCCGACTTTAGGCAAAAGCCAGAACTGAGCCCCCAGAGCCTTTCCCCACATCACAACTGCCTGCGGGTGCGAGCAGCCCAACTGCCCGCTGAATACCTCCTTCCTGTGACCACCACTATCCCCAAGTGACCTCGTCACAGTGGGAAGCCTGCAGTGGCCRTTACTTGTCACCTTCTGGTAGTGCTACTCTGCGCCCCCACTGCTCCCAGGCCCTCCCATGGCCGCTGGCCTGCCCCGGGCTCACCCGGCTGGGCAGCCGCCTTCCAGACTGACCACCTCTGCTTCTCACTGGAGCAGGATGGGACCCTGCAGACAGCTGGACCAGTCACTGAGGTGTGTGCCGTGCAGTCACCCGGTTTACGTGTCAGGAGCTCAGCCACAAAGCAGGAGCAACAAGGCCTGAGGAGAGCCCGGGGAGGTGGGGACATGGGCTGCGGCCACCAGGGCGGGTCATGGTCCACACACGTCTGAGCCTGAGCACCCTCCACGCTGACTGACTCTGGCCAAACACACATTCTGGGGTGGGGTACAGAGGTGGATAGGTCAGGCGGGTGCCCCTCAAAGCTGGGCAAGCTCAGGGCAGACGGCTGTGCAGGGGAGCTGCCCTCAGGGAGCGTGGGGAGCACAGGAGCAGTGTCGTCAGAAAGCAGCCACCACAGACTGAACACAGAAGCAGCCGCCCTGGACACTGAACGTGGCCCCATGGACACTGAACTGGACACTGTTCCTAAACTCAAGCCAGCAGCCGAGAACAGATCTGATAAGAGAAAACACTGGCTCTGCTGGGTCAACGCACCTCCACACAGGGGCCCAGGAGGTCCTGCTCCTGCGTGGTTTTTGTTTTTGCTGCTCTAAGGCCCTGAYCCTGGAGTAGGACAGATGACTTCCYTGTGTGGTGCTGCGGCCCACTCCTGCCTGTGGTGGACTTCCTCTCGGTTCTTCTCTGTTGACCTGCCTCTTTCTGTTCACAGGGGCTGACACATGTCTTGCTGTAACTCCACTGCACCTGCACATATAACCTGTGCAACATTATTACATGCTTAGTGCTATGGCTGGAGGGTGTCCCGCTGAGTGTGTGTGCTGCAGCTTAACTCCTTGGTGTGGCCGTGCAGGGTGAGGCTGAGGGGGAGCYGCCACTGCCCTTACTGCATGAGAAGTGAGCTACACAGGATCCCTACAGATGCCCACTTGCTCTTCCRCTTTCCACCAGGAGCTGAAGCAGCACGAGGCCCTCACCAGAAGCTGCATAGATGTTGGCAAGGTGTCCTTGGGCTTCCCAACCTCCAGAACTGTGAGCCAAAATAAACCTCTGTCCTTTACAGARCAGCCTGCCTTGGGTATTCTGTTATTGCAACAGAAAATGGACCRACACCTGGCTATTTGTGTGGCATTAGAATTTTTCCCTCTAAGGACTCTTCATGTTTATATGCTCATCATTCCAACTAAGTATAGAGTTTTGTTCAATGATAAACTGTGTTGATTCTACTTTCCCAGTCCTGGTTACAGAGAAGATGATAAGAAGAATATGGACTCAGCAATATGTTCCTCACTACATGAAACCAGCACCTGCTACAATAAACTTGTTATTTTTTGAGCTACTAAAAACTACAAGTCACTTTGCAGTGAGGCTCATCCATAAACTAGCTGCTAGGATGCGGGCATGGCGGCTCCTGTAGGACTATCAGGCTAAGGAGCACCTTCACTGAGTCAGGCCCCTTTCTAGACCATGATCTCTGACCTCAGCACTGCTGACRACCTGGGCCGGGTGCTCTACAGGGTGTTCAGCACCATCCCGACCCTCTGCCCACAAGATGCCAACAGTAGCCCTCTCTCCACCTATCACCACAAAAGTGCCTCCAGATGTTACCAAATGTTTCAGGAAGGGGGGACAATATCACCTCTAGCTTCTCTAGACACACTCTAGAGGCACTCCACCCCCAGACTCACAAGTGTGTGCCGTGCAGTCACACTTGTGACTACTCTGTGACGAGCACAGGACAGGGCTGGGAATGCTGGAGAGTTTGGGACAGGTGAGCACTCAGCTCACTAAGAGGTCTTTGAGGAGCTTCAGAGGGCCTAGAAATAAGCTACAAAGAAACTTGTAGATCGAGAAAAATGCTCTAAAAAAGAGTATCATCATAGAGAATGACTTGTGTATATGGTAGAGAGAGAGGTTGGTTTCACAGAGGAAGTGACCCTTTAAACTGAGGCCTGAGAAGGATCACGTGGAGATATGGGACAGAATGTTCCAGAAGAAAAAACAACAGGTGCAAAAGTTCTAAGGAATGACTGAACTTAGCACATCCAAGGAACTGAGAGCGGAGTGCAGAAAGAAGAGAGTAAAGAGGGGTGCTCAGAAGTCCTGGCTAGTCCAACAGGGTCCAGGAGGGAGGGGGCAAGGAGGCCACAGGTGAGCGTCACCAAGAGATGGCATGGTCTCTATGTTTGAAAGAGACACCTCGTTGCTGGGTGGACTGAAGGGGCTCAGGCAGGAGCCATTCATGTTGTCAATCAGGACCCAGRAAGCCCTGACCCCAAATCAGAGGCATAGTGACTCCCAGCCCACAGAGCTCAGCAGTGCAGACCCTGTGCTGGGTCCCCGTGGGAGCGAAGGCCTGGAAACTGGGAGTGTTTCTGGAGAAAGAGCTTTCTACTGGTTAAGCTTGGAAGCTCCTAAGGGAAACATTCTTAAATGTCTGCTTTTCTGCTACTTTCCCCCTATTTTTCTTAAATGCTTTTTCTCTTTCATGACTAATTTTCCTACTTGCCATTTTATAACAGATAAGGAAAAGATCTGTCCCGAAGCCCCACAACCTGGACCCTGGCACCAACCTGGGGGGACTGAAGCCTTCCGCAAGGGCAACGAGCACAGAGGGTCACTTACCCCGGCGCAGCGTGTGAGGGCTGGGACCAGCAGCGTTGTGARCTGGGCCGACAGAGAGCTGATGGGAGCTGGCACCTGCCTGGGCCTGGCTTTGGCCACTGGTCATTTGACTGCTATTTCTCCCTGGTGCAGGGACAGCTGCAGATACAGAATCCTTGGGTTTTGGAGGACTAAGGGGAGTAAAAGTCAAGTTAGATGTCAGACGTTCCCTGCTAGAAGAGCTAAACATAGTATAAAATACAGTCATCCCTCAGCATCCCAGGGGGGTTAGTTCTGGGAACCCCTGTAGACACCAACATCCAAGGATGCTCAAATCCCCGATATAAAAATGTGTAGTATTTGAATATAACCTACCTATAACATCCCATATACTTTAAATCACCTCTAAATTACTTCTAATACCTAATGCCATGCAAATGCTGTGTACACAGTTGTACTGTATTGTCTAAGGAACGACAAGGAAAATTGTCTACATTTTTAAAAAGTACAACATAAGAAATATTTTAAAAATATTTTTGATGTGTGATTGGTTGGATCTGTGAGAAGAGAACCCCATGGAAATGGAAGGCCCAGTGCGTAAGATTYCAAGGGCGATCCTAAGGTGGGGAGGGTCTGGTTAACTAGCAGGCCTGGTCCRGTTAGGAGGCACATTTCAGGTCTCGGAATCTGTTTGACTGGGTGAATTAATGGATGAGAGAATGAGTGATAAATGCCAGGAATACTATACCTTGACAGACTTGCTACACTCAAACGCTTGCTAGTTAGCACACTGCGTGACGACAAGCAAACGACACATGAACAGTGACAGCTACACATCACGCAGGTGAAAGGCAGTCCATCATACTTCTAATGCCTATGGCCTCCAGTTTACAGCACCAGAGCAGAATGGCAAAGAACGCAAGCACACGTTGCCTTCTTTTGAAAACAGAAGGAAGCAAGCCATTTGCAGTCTTTTGTTCTGCCCTTTGCCARTTAGGGGAGTGAGAGCAAGTCTGGTTCACTCTATACCAGAACGACTCTTGGACATGAATGCCATGCCCAAAGGCCACCACCTGCACGAAGGCTGGGCATCCAGCCTCCAGTGCCAGCAGAATCTGCTCCCTTACCTGCTGTCACCCGGGCTCAGCCCCTGCTCCAGTATGCTCGCAGGGGAGGGGACTGTCCCACCCCCTGAGCTGCTTTCAGCCCTAGAGCTCTGGGAAGGGGGCTCTGGGCCTGCTGGAGCCGAGGTGCTGCCGTCCATGGGCGGGAGCGGTGGCTGGAAAGCGGGGGATATGTGCTTTCTATTTAGAGTGCCACCCCGCCGGTGGGCCTGGAAGTCCATAAGCTTCACACCAAAGCTACAGAGAGAAGAAACAGTCAGCACAGCACACAAGCCGACTACCGGACAGAAGCCCACAGTCCACATGTGTTAAACCACACATGGGAACAGCCGCCCAAGTTGCAGGGATGTGACGAGGACYGTACACATGGCCATCCCCAACACCAAAGCAAGCAATTCAACTTAGCACTAGACCTGAGCAAAGCCAAAGGGCCTGGAMTGATCAAAGTCCTTGATCCACCTGGTGTGAGTGAGCGGCTGAAAGCGAACAGGCAGGCCTCCTTGAGGAGCCATGCTGAGGGGCCTGCTTCCCTACTCCTCACTCCACCTCAAACCTGCCTGGGAAACGAGGCGGCAGCGGGATCCTGAAGTGGGCAGTGTAAGGCTGCCACACTGTCAGCCTCTTCACTGGGACAAAGGCAGAGACTTGCTTCCTATCCTAGTGAAGAGGCAGAGGCAGGATGTGCAGAGGAAGGGTGCTGGAAAGAGCTAGTTCTGGGAAGGAGATGGCGGCTGGAGGGTGAGAGAAGGAAGTCTCACTTTCCACTTACGCCTGCAGGTATATAAACTTGAAACCTCTTTTTCTCAGTTCAGAAAATAAAAAAAAGATGCAAGCGTGTCAGAGCTCATGTTCAGCTGGCAGGGAGAGTCCACCCAGGCAGGTAACCTGGAGCTGTGTCACGTGATAGGACTTGTAACACCACAGTTTGTGGCTTCAAATATAGAAAAGCTAATTTTGTTATAGACAAAATAACATTCACCAGGAATCACTACTTTAAAGTGTGGATGAGGGTTCAGGTAATGAAACTTCTACATTAAAAAAAAAAAGTGAATTCTGGCCAGGCATGGTGGCACATGCCTTTAATCCCAGCAACTCAGGAGGTTGAGTAAGTTTGAGGCCAGCCTCAGCAACTTAGTGAGAAATTTAAAAATAAATAAAAAGGACCAGGGATGTGGTTCAGTGGTAGGACATCTCTGGTTTCAATCCTCAGTACTGCAAAAAAAAAAAAAAAAAAAAAAAAAGACAACTCCCACACACCTCTCTATAAACTTTAAGATTGGGCAACAAGTACAAGAGCGTGTTGTTTAGTTTTAACGTCAACTATTTCTAGTGACATTATCACCTAGGCACAGGACAAGCAGGTTACTTCACACAGGCCTCCTCACTCGAGCAGTTAGGATGCCCTGGGATACAGGACATCTCATCACACACACGGGACAAGCTGGCATCTGAAGCCAAAAGGCATAGTCTCAATTACCCTTGACCATCTCACAAACTGCCCACAGAGACTAGTGTGGACACACTGCCTCTTACCAAAMTGGAACAGCCACATTTTCCCCCCAGAACTGGCAAACAAGGTGATTTCTCCAGCTGAACACCAAGTTCAGTGGTCGGCTTCCACTGCGAGGCCAAGTAACACCAACAATGTGCCTCTTTTAAACAGAAAATCACCACCTCCCTGTGAGATGTGGCTTGTTCTCACATACAGTCATGGACCACAGTCCTACTTGTCAACTGGTTTTTCCTTCCTCTCTTTTTCTGCCAGTCCAACGCATTTAGGTGAGCTTGTGAGGTGTGTGTGATGCCATGGCGCTGTGGAGGGTGTCACGGGCCATCCGGAAAGCRCAGCGCACACGCACGGTTAACTGATAAGCCACATCCCTACTTCTTGATCAGACTAGTGCCTGGAGCSACCTGCATCCTGATTCCTGAATGGTCTGACTCTGATCAGTCGAGGGTGCACAGGAGCTAACAAGGGCCCCATCTTCCTCACTGCCACCCACTCTGCTTGCCTGGGCAGTCTGAACGCACCTCTCCTTCTTCACCAAGTCCCCTTCCATCACCGCCATGCTGGCCGGCCGCTTCCTCTCCAGAGTCCCCGAGTCAGAGTCGTTTCCAGTGTGGGATGAGTGATTGGAATTTGGGGTGGCGAGAGGCACGAAYGCTTCTGATACATTAAACTCCACCTCTGCAAGAGAAACCAACAGGAGCATGAGACACGGGGCAGGGTGGGGTGGGGGGCCAAAGCACCCCATTTGAACAGGAACCTCGCCCTTCAGTCCTCAAGCCCTCACTGCTTCACAAAGTGGCAGCCCTGGCACTGTCACCTGAAGAACACTTGATCAACCCAGAGGGAGGTAAAGAGAACCAGAGACAGGGAGGGGGCAGGAGTCAGAATGGAAGTCCCACAGCTCTTCTGCTTCTCTTTTTGTGAAAAGAAATCATGGAAAACAGAAGAGGACCACGAGTGCACATTACTTATTTGATCATCAAAAATGTGAGGAATACTTACACTTTGATAGAGAACAGAAATGAAAGGACTATCAAGGGCTGCTTTTGCAAGATTCCTTTCTTGGAGAGAACTCTTGGGCAGAAGGCTGACAGTCACTCAGCCACCGTATCCTTAGGTGACCAACATGAGGGAGGCATGATTCTTGAGGACAGGGAGACAGTGGAGAAGAGATGAGCACCACCCTGGAGTGAGGGGGCTCATGCTGCTGGGGACATGGGAAGGGAGGCTGCTCTAGGGAAGCCGGGCTGAGGTCTGGACCCTGCACACACCCAGCCAGTACCCACCAAGGAAGTGTGGGAAGCTCTGTGGGTCCCAGGACTGCAACAAGGTAGCTTGAAACTCTCTCCTCTGCGAATGACACCCCAATTCCCTGACACGGTGGACTCGGCTCCTCACTCACGGGCCCCAGTCGCCCCTTCCTGCTTTATCTTCCACCTCTGCTCAAACCCAGCCATCTAGCCAGAGAGACAACAAGCCCTCTTTCCCCCCTGGAAGGTTCCTGGATACTCAAGGTCATTTCTTCTCAAGAGCATTCCCTGGCTCCCTTTTCCCGTGCCTGAGTCTGTCCCCTCTCTCTGGCCCCTCCTTCTAGTAATTTATCTGTTGCACAGCTGCCTTCTCCAGGGGCCCAGTTCCTCCGGGGGAACAGTATGTCTCAYCAGCAAGCACACAGCAGTGTATTCACTAAATATTGGCTGAATGTTTTAGTGAAACCAAGTGAAGACAAAATAAAAGGATTATCAGTATGTCAAAAAGGACCGAAGAGGGGAAAGAAGTGTGAAAAGGAAGCCAGATGATCTGGGATCACTATGAAGACCTGCTGAACCATCGCCCACTGCCTGGCAGCCGAGGAACTGAAGTGGTGATTACCTTCAGGGAAGAACCAGTCTGCGTGCTGGATGATGGGCTCAATCACTGCAACCACATGGACGGATGTGGCCGCTGCCATTTCAGCCAGTGTTCTGCAGAGGAAGTTCACAAAATGAAAATGCTTCCCCGAGGCAGCCTCTGACTTTGAGATTGTGTCAGGGCATTTCCATTATTTTTAAAGGCTAAAATATTTAAATACACTGGAAAATGAAATCCACAAGGTCCTAACCATCTCCCAGGAGGAAAAATGACCCCAACTCAATTATTCCTCCTCAGCCTGCACAGGGTCCTAAGAGCAGTGAAGCTGGTTTCAAGATGGGCAATGACAAGGGTTGCCTTTTCCCCCTGGAGCCACATCATACTAAGACCTAAGATCATCTCAAACCACTTTTGCCTATAATGTCCCCAAGAATATGTGCTGCCACAACGTGCCCCAAAAAACATGAGCTCCCAGCGCGACGCTGAAGACCACCTGCATACACCTTTCTAGACCCCAGATGACTGCCCAGAAGTTGAAAGTGTCTGGTGCCAGATCACAAAAGGAAGAAAATGAATAATTATTATTATATAAGGGGAGGGACGTAGCTCCGTCAGGAGGGCACGGGCTCGGTCCTCAGCAACACCCCCCAGATTCCTTCCTGGTTGAGTAGGCTTTTGCTTAAGGGGCTTTCTGGTATCTGGTAGAGAGCCAAAATTACCAACTTTAAGTGCACTGCTTCTTGCTCTGTTTTCATATTTAGAAATTCCTTCTCTGTCCCGAAAGTTACAAAAATGTAACCGTATTTATAAGTCTTTTTTTTTTTTTTTTTTGGAACCAAGGATTGAACCCGGGGCACGCACTTCTGAGTCACTTAACTTCCCAACCCTCTTTATTATTATTATTATTATTATTATTATTTTATTTTAAGAAAGGATCTTAGGTTCTTAGAGCCTCACTAAGTTGCTTAAGTCTTTAATTGGCCTGGAATTTATTTGCCATAAGATATGATCAATGTAGCTAACTGTATATTTACTTACCTTAATTTTGCTTTATGATACTGAATCTTTACTGAATAACCTTATAAATATTTTCTGAAATACGATGGGGCATACCCGAGGGGGTGGGTGCAGGTGCCAGCTGCAGGACAACACTGGTTCACCCAAGTGAAGCTCGGGGGCCACTCCCAGCCGGGCTTTCCCTGTGCTTCTCAGCTTCAACTGTCTCTTCATCAGTGCTGCCATGGAGCTTAGTGAAGTCAGTGATGTGGAAGGCTGGCAGAGTGTGACACCCAAAATACACCCCTATGGCCTGAAGCTTATTTTGAAGTAAAGGCATTTGAAAAAGGGTCCATGAACAAAGGACACTCTGATTTTCCCTTTTCTTCCTCAAGTACGAGATAACTACTCGAATGTGAAAGATGTCCTCTCCAAAACCAGGAGGAAACAAACATTTTTATCACCAGGGTGTCGAGGTAGCAGGAAATCTGCACAAACCAACCTGGTTCCACTCATCTTCATCTTCTGAGTCAGGGCCCACAATGACCAGCCAAGGCCCTTTGTCTTGTCATGCTTGCACAACTTACTACTTTTGTCCAACTCAGTACAAAAGCATCCAGCTCTAACCACCTCTTTGAGTCTGCACTCTCCTATGTGGGGCTACTACGTCCATGTAAAACCTGTATAGTTTCCCCTTGTTAATCTGCATCATGTCAACTTGATTCTCAGGCCAAGCCAGAGACCCTAAGGAAGTAAAGTTGTGTGTTCGTTCTCTCTCTCTCTCCCCCCCGCCCCCATCCTCTCAACACTGTACTATAGGTGCCGAGCTGCCTGGCTGCCCAGGAACAGGGACTCTTGGAGGACAGGGACAAGACTTATATATTTTGTGTCACCAGCATCTGGGACAGTGCTCAGCTTACAGCTGTGCCCTGAGAATATCTGCTGAATGGAAAAGGCAACTTGAAAACACCCTAAAGAACATCTTTATCTAAAATGCATACCATGAGTTATCAGTCCGTTTACCCATCAGGCAGAAGGGAGGAAGTGAAGTACTATGATATGGGAAGTTTACTTACCCTTCATTTTTGGCCCATAACAAATTAGGGCCTAACACGATTGCAATGTTGCTAGGAGTCATTTTATTAATGTCACTAGTCTGAGCRAGCTTCGCAAGGAACTTGATTAAATACCTATGGAAAAAGAGAAGGGGCAAGCACATCACCTCTGAAACAGCGGCAGACATGACCCTTCCGTCCTGTGCTCAACCCCAGCTCACTCAAGGGCTAACTGCAGAGTTCCCACATCAGAGTCTGGCTCAGGGAAAGCATTTTACATATCTCTCGTGTAATTTGTTTTAGAAAAGTGAAAAATTAGGGCTTGAAAGGAAAAAATAGCTTAACTGTAAATCTCTTTGATGTACGCACTCCTTGCTATATATTTTAAACTTAGTTCTGATTCATATCGTATCTATTCTATCCCTAAATATATTACATTGTGACTAACAATGGGCTCAATATATATATATATATATATAATATTTTTTTTTCTTTTTCTTTTATTGATACCAGGGATTGAACTCAGGGTCACCTGACCACTGAGCCACAACCCCAGCCCTTTTTTTGTATTTTATTTAGACAAGTGTCTCCCTGTGTTGCATAGCACCTTGCCATTGCTGAGGCTGGCTTTGAACTCGTGATTCTCCTGCCTCAGCCTCCTGAAGCACTGGGATTACAGGTATACGCCACTGTGCCCGGCACTCAATACATTTTAATATAGTTAAAAAAAAAAAAAAAAGCCTAGCTATACCGCTTAAAGGAAACTGTATTTGAAAACTTTACTTTGCAATTATGAAAATATCCAATTTACCAAATAGATATATGCTCTTATGTGCAAGGACAGTAGTATAAAAACATTAGGAATAAACTAGCTCTATCAGGAGCTAGTTAAGTGAATCACAGTATTCTGACAGTGGAATACCATATAACCATACAAAATCATCATGTACTGACACTGAAAAATCTCCAACAGGTATTCACTGCCAAGCAAAGAAGGCAATGGTACACACTACCATTTGGTTTTTCAAAAAGTAGGCAATAAGAGAAAAAATATGTGTGTAGAATGAATACATGAACGTATGTGCTTGCATGTGCAGTGACTCTTACTGAGAAGAACATAAGAAACTATAAACACTGACTGTGTCTCAGGAGTAGGACTAGGTGGCTGGGGGACAGGAACAGAAGACTTTTTCAATGTGTACATTTAGTTTTGAACTATGTCAATATGTTCCGTATTTTTAAAAAGTACAAATTATAGAGCACAATACGCAAACTGAAAGGTCAAATTCCCACATACTAAGAACTTTACTTGAGTTCCCATCATAATGCAGTGAACAGATTAAGAGTGTTGCAATTTCAAGCTGTGTATTAAATTAATCAATGAGGAATATTACAGATACCAGTTCACTAATGAGGCAAGGTTCAGACGTAAGGTATTAAAAGGAAAGAATTAGTTTAGTTTAACGACAGAGCCCAAAACTAAATTCAAGTCAGGTAATATCCTGGGCATATTGCCGGTCTTTAAATAAGTCATGTTGGAAAAATTCCTTGCGTTTTAAATTAGTTTCTTTCCCAGAGCCACCTCTCCCCCTTGGTTCTATGCTCCTTCAAAGTTATGTATTAAGTAAGTCAAAAGGAAAAACAGTGCTTAAATTCCTGAGGTTTATCCCATGGTAAACTTTCTTAGAAACACAACCATTTAACAAAGTAATATATACTCTCCACAGTAGGGTGGTTTGTGCTCTATTTATATATGAAAGACATTACAGAACATATCAGTATCCTTAAACTTTGCAGTTTACATACTGGATAAAATTAGACTCCAAACCGAACTCACAGTTGCCCAGACTTCACAAGAATTATTTTGCAATATCTGCAGTAGCAAAATGACAAGAGAGCTTACCTATTAGCGCCAGACGTGCTAATGCTACATCACATGCGTCATAAAATGTCCATCAACCCCCACTCCCAGCAGCCCCACTTTCCTCCCCAAAGCTTTCTAATGGGCCAAGTACACTTGAGTTAAATGGCCTCTCCGCAGGGATTAAACCCATCTTCACTCCGGGACCACTGCAGCATGCAGACTTGATTTATAGAATGTCAATCATACATACCTAAAATTAACAAAATTCTGTGGTGGCAACTTCTGACATGTTCTCCATAAATCTTGAAGTTTTTTGTCCTGATCCTGCACACTGATAAACAAATTTTTATGTATAAGAATTTATTAGAACACATATTACTGACACCTGTATTCATATGCTGCTGTAGGYTGGACCTGAAGTGTCCCCCAGAGGCCCAGGTGTTACTGGCTTGGTTGTCAGCCCTGGGCCTTGCTGGGAGGTGTGGGAAGCTTTAAGAGGCAGGGCCTAGTTGGAGGAAGCTGGGTCACTGGGGAAATGTCCCTAAGGGAGCTACTGAGACCCTGGCCCCTTCCCATCTCTCTCTCAGCTTCCCTGGAGCCATGAGGTGAACAGGCTTCCTCCACCACAGGCCCAAAGACAACAGGCTAAGCGACCGTGGACTGGAACTTCTGAAACTGTGACCAAATCAGCCTTTCCTGCTTTAAGCTGATTCTTTCAAGGTTCTGTCACAGTGACGGGAAGCTGAGTAAACACTACATCAACTGTGCAGTGCCTGTCACTGTATTCCACAGCTGCAAAACAGCACAGACAGAATTAAATACCAACTAACTCCCTCCTTAGCGCAGGAAGTCAACCTCACCAAGACTCAAGACTCCTGGTCTGCAAAACAGGATAAGAGTGTCGATTCTGCTGAATGGTTTCAAGGCCTCAAGGGAATAGCCTTGCTAAAGCCCTGAGACCAACACTTGGCACCAGGAGACAAGACACCCGAAGATTCCATCTAGGCAATGTGTAGATTTGTAGGTGGTTTTCCTTATCCATGTGCAGTTTGGCCACAGATCAGTCGCCAAGTGCCCAGGCACCCAGACTTCTGGAGACGTCTTAATCACTAATCTGCTTCAAGGCTCCAAGCCAAGAAACTCATTCTGCTGGGAAGCAGTTATAATAGCTCTTGCACTACACTGTTCTAAACACAAATTTCCAGAGACCAAAAGGGGATGGAGCAGAGCCCTGGAGCAAGTCAATTCTGCACACTAGGAAAGAGAGTGCTAGCAGCTGACCACACTTTCTGGTGAGTCACAGGAAAGAGGTTGAATACCTCAGATCCCAGTACAGGAGCCACCAGAATGGAGGCCATGTTGGCAGTTCTCAACTACAAGAGTTGATACAGCAAGACAGACACCTCTTTCACAGAGTTATTCCCCTAAGAGTTTTGAAGTCTTAGAATAGAAATGAGATATGATATTAAGATGATTTAAAGAGGCCACCCAGTAAAAGAAACCGCACCTCTGTCCCCACCTGGCACTGACTGTTGGGTTCATTTAATTCAGTTGCAGGCCAGGCCCAGGCTGGGTTCCAAAGATTTGACAAGTTTAAGAACTTTAAAACCTCTCTAAACTTAAAAACCTCACCATCCGCTAGGGTAAAGTCTCTCATTTCACAATTTCAGAGAAAAGCTCAAAATACACAGATCTGGATGAAGGGACACGGGATGGACTCACAGTCTACCCAAATGTAACGGATGAGAACAAATGGCTTACGGTCATAACAGCTTGCATGACAGGAACAGTGACTGTGTCTACAGATGGGGGAAGGGGACAGCAATGGAGGTGAGATTTGCTCCTCTTCCCTTAAATGGTGAGGATTTAGGCCCTTAGGTTAGGAAATGAGCCAGAACCCTGAGGGGAAAGMACTGTGGAGGTGGCTAGCTGGGTGAGGAGAAGCTGCTGCGATGCTCTAAATAAGGCTGATCCTGCTTAGGACCAATGATTGCTGGAGATGGTGAAGCTGGGGTGGAGGGGAAGGGACACAGCCTTTGGGTCAGCAGATCTGGGTCAGCAGTCTGCCAATAACTTGCTACTACCTGGCCCTACTCCTTCCCAAGCCCCAGTCCCTCTGTCTGTAAAATGAGGACAGCAATAACATCAGCCTTTAATGATGCTAAATAAGGATTCCAGGAGGTACTAGGTGTAAAGTGAGGACAGTCCTGGGCACCTGGTAAACACTCAGTGAACATTAATTGGTGCTAATAATGTCCCTATTACATGGTTGCACAGCTGAACCTATAGGCAGCTTGACAGGCACAACTGCCACTCAGTCACCTGTGATACCTGGCCCCAGTTACAGGGCTTTCTTCAATAGAAAGGGGATTTGAAATCAGCCAGTTCATCAATGTAGATAAAATCAATCTTCAACCATGTAAGTCTCCCAAACATAAACCAATGCCTAAGCTGTGACTTTCCTGTAGTAATAACAGTAACACTCAATAGTTTTACTCTAATATAAACAGAACTGGGACACATGGCTTAACAAGCTTACTATTTTAATGTTATGATACCATTATGTTATAATGACTTACAACCTTTGTTTTCTTTAAACTTACCTTGCCACTTGTGTCCACTCCTCATACAGATTAAAAGTCATCAGAGGTTCAGGCAATTCCCGTAGGTAGGACTTCAAAGCACCTGAAAGCGTTCGCATTCTGAGTAAGCAAGGCAAGGCCAGAAATCTCTCTGGGCATATCGTTTTGCAAATTGAAAATATCTCAATTACGATCTTCCAAGGTGCATAAGACAAACCATAATTTGATAGGAGGGTTAGGGAATGACATGTTCACAAAAGGCATTCAGTCCCTTGCAAAAACATATTGAGAGATCAGGAGAAAATAAGATGAACGTTAACGCCACCCTCTAACAGCCAGGTAGATGTGGGTTGTAAGGGTGAAAGAGGGAACCCGAGTATGTCTAAACATATCCACATCAATACATAAGCTCCCTTTACCTCTGTTTAATGGCGGGGTGGGGGGTGGGGGGTACACACACAACAATAAACAATAAAAAGGAGAAGAGTTGTATGTTACATCACACATCAGGGAATTTTATCAGAATGACATTTTATCGTTTTGTCACTTCAACCTCTAATTGAAACTGGAGTCCTAAGTGCTGGCCTCCACCGCCTGGAGGGCAGCTGGATCTGCAGACCCTCTTTGGCGCTCACCTGCTACAGCATGGGGGTCTGAGTAGAACTCGTCCAGGTGAGAAGTAGAACAATCCAAAGCGGCTTTCAGCTTCTTTAACTTGGAGGCTCCAGCCCCGATTCGGAAAAGGCCCTGAAGACAAAGACAAATTTCGAGCATGAAATTCAGGTGGTGAGTGACAGCCAGGGATAGCAGCATGGCCAATGGAGCTTCAACCACTGCCACCGCCACCTCTGAGAGCAGCCGCAGTGCAGCCTCACAGGGCCCTGGAGGTGGAGAGGCTGAGGGCACACCCAGGGCTCGGCGACAGCAGAAGGGAGCCGGTTTCCCTCCGATGCCTGCACTTGCCTGCCTCCTCACTAAACACCTGCACCTGTCAGAACTCCATCTGGAAGCTCTTTGACTTCCTCAAGATTTATGCTTCCACAATGCTGACCAATTTAGGAAGTTTTTTTTTTTTTTTAAATTGACATCTTAAGAAAAACCGTTAAGAAATATTGCTATTCACTTTCTCTGCCCTAAATGTGACTTTGGAAAAGGAGAAAAACACATAAAGCATCAACCAAGAGAGGTGGGCGCACGAGGGTTACAGGAGTTAAAGACAGGGCAGGGTCCAGCCTCGGTGCTCCTGACGACTCTTTCCTGTGAGCTGTCCTGGGCACTGTGGCAGGTTCAACCACAGCCCTCCCGATGCCAGATAACCACCAAAAATGTCTCCAGAGCTTGCAAATGGCTCCTGGAGACCAGAGCTGGCCTCATATGAGAAGGACCAGGCTTAGGCACTCAAAGTTGAGGTTGCACTGTAAGAAGTAAACAAGTGGCCTTGATCTGGGTGCTGAGTGCATCAGTCAGTTTATTCTGTGAAAACTCACCAAGCTGCTCACCCACAATAATGCACACTTTTCTATATGTTTGTTATATATCAATAAGTGTTTTTTAAAGGAAAAAAAAAAGACTTGTATTTTGCCTCTGCCTCTGCCCAGATGGGAAATTCCTGTGTGCTGACATCCCTACCTACACAGGGAGAGGAGTGAGAACTACCTGCTGGGTTCCTAGGGATTTTTATTTTATTTTTTTGTAATGATGCCATAAAATACATAAATGTACTCTCTTCAAAAAAACATTGCATAGTCGGGTGCAGTGGTACACACCTGTAATCCCAGCAGCTCGGGAGACTGAGACAGGAGGATCACGAGTTCAAAGCCAGCCTCAGCAAAAGTGAGGTGCTAAGTAACTCACAGAGACCCTGTTTCTAAATAAAAAAATACAAAATAGGGCTGGGGATGTGGCTCCGTGATTGTGTTCCCCTGAGATAAATCCCCAAGAGCTGCTCCCCCGCGAATTGTATAGCACTATACAGATGTGAGATTCTTGCTAWAGGCGCCTACTTTAAAAAACTAAAGCTCATGGGAGCTCTGATCCATTCATGCATCATGGAATCCATGACTGCCAATTAATGAACAGTTTACAATGAAACAAACAGGACAGCAAATAGAGTATATAAGAAACAGAAAAAATAAAAATTGTTCTGTGAAATGTGCTTCACTTATTATATATAACAGGTTTGATATATAGGGTCTCAATCTAAAATGTAGGTCATGGTGACAAAAATTTGAAAACACCATTCTATACAATCCCAGCAGTGGTTGTGTAAGAAAAGTGGTGGGGCAGGGGTGGCATCGTGCTATGGGCAGAAAAGGGGGCACAGAGACCTGGCATGCAGCCCAGACACCCTCACCTCCTCCTTCATGCCCGTCTCCAGGAGCAGCATGACACAGGCTTCRATGGGAAGCGCGATCTCACGCCCACTCCGCTTCAGGTGCTCTTCCAAAGGCGTCCCAAAGGCTGGCTTTTCTGCCCACTTATCTAGAGCAGCAAACAGGTCAGTAAGACATCTGGTGACCCCATGCATCACCATCATGTTCTCCTCAAAACCCCAAAGAGGATCTTCTAACAGAATGGTAGCTGGGGCTCTGGGAAAGAGGGAAGCACTTGTGCTATCTGCTTTTGTTATTTACCATTTACCACAGCACAGACTGTGTGCCAAGCTAGGGCAGTCCCTTGTGGAACAGAAGCCCTGAGTGCACACACACACAACACCAAGGACAAGCTTAGCTGCCCAGCAGGAGCGACCACAGTGCCCCTGCACCTGTACCACGTGCTGTCAACACACAGTGGCTGGTGGCCTTGCATGAAAACAGAGGATGCATGTGAACATACTGTTTTCACTGAAAAGAAACTTATTCTAGCCATGCAGAGCAGCACTGGCCTCCCAGCTAGAGGAGAAGAAATAGACTCATTGAATGTGAAAACGAAAACCATTTCTTAAAATGTCAAACATGAGTCAAGTGCTTCTTTCTCTCGACTGGAGATGGTCAGGCAAACTTGTGTCAAATAGGACATCTCCAYGACAGGCAGGGCTTCAGAACGCCGCATTCCCAGGCAGGTCCAAGGCATTCGGAGTAGAAAGACTACACCATCTGTGGCTCCYAAGCAGCACAGGCCAGGCTGCCGTGACGGCACCCAGCAGGATTTCAGGTACTGTCAGGTCATATGCCTGCTTCATTCCACAACAGATTTGAGCAGCTTAGCAGAAATACATACAATAAGGCAGTCAAACAGAAAGAAGAATTCATAAAATGGATATGCTGAATGAGAGTAAGAAGGATTTGGCTGGCGTGGCCTGCMTGCCTGTGGGAACGGCCGAGATCTAGAGCTTCTGGGAAGCACACAGAGGTCCAGGGGGAAAGCCCACTGGGGGAAAACACTCAGAGAAGCACTTGGATCTGTCCATCCTGCTCGGCACCCCCAGTGGGCATCTGTCCAGTCACTCTGCTGTAGAAGGCTGGTTTGAAGAAGGCAATGACTGACTCTAGTGCGTTCTCTTACACCTTCACCTACCTCGTGGAGGGGACAGGGCCTCACACAGTCTGCACACAGGGGAAGGAAGAAAAGCAAATCCATGGGCCTGAGAGCTCATGACAGACAAAAACTAACGGGAAGAGCAAGTGGGGACAGACTGAAGAGAAGAGGCGAGGGCAGGAGAGGCCAAGAGCCAGCCACTTGCCACCCTCAGAACTGCAGGAGCCCTTCACCTCTGGCCTGGCCCCACTCCAGCCCCAGGGGAAATTCTAACAGAAAAAGCCTCTTGGGGGGCTGACCCTTCCCAGAAGACAGAGCTCTAGGACACTCAGATCTCTCCCTGGCACTCTGTCCCTTTTATCTGAAGAAATGATTCTGAGAATGGCCACATGAGCCCTCTCCTGGGGGATACACCAGAATCATCAGGGGACTTCTGCACATGACACCAGCCATCATCTCCACCACATGCCCATGCTCCCATCATCAGCTAGAACTTTCTAGTAAACACTGAACAGAGCATGCCCCATCCCTCACCCTGGTGTAATGTGGGCAGCGGGTGCAAGTGAGAACATGGCCCTAGAGACAACTCCCATGGCAAACTCCAGCACAAGTGCTACCCTTTCAAACAACAGGCCTACTACGTGCCAGGCACTGCAGTGGACACCCAAGTTGTCAGGGACTCCCTCCCAGCATGAGAGCAATCGAATTGTGAAGATAATACAAGACATACATGGAAACATGTAACAGTCACTAACAAGACGTGACAGTCTGCTAAGTCATGGCAGGTCAATGGTATAGACAAGAGTCGAAAACACAGTGTCTACAGGGACCACACAGGCCGCCCAGGTGCGTGAACCAGGCTGAACAGCCATGGTCTGCAAGGGCAGCAGCAGCCACTCCTGGGGCCAGACCAACGTCTCTGGGCAGGGCAGCAGACCCAGTAGCACCAGGCCTTCTAAGCCTCCAAGAGAAGGCAACAATCAGGACTGCTGCACAAAGGCATCTGGTTTTCACATGATGGCAACTAATTAAAAAATAATTTATTTTTAATGAGATGCAGTTGTTTGTGACTTCTGGTGCACATCATCAACACGAGAACAATTCAGGAGACAAAGCGTTCACTGCTGGCTTTGGTGGTCAGAGAAGGCTTCTCAGAGTAAGCAAGCTTGGAAAGGTCCCAGAAGATGGCGGGATTAACTGATCAAGAGCAGGCAAGCACATCTTGGGGAGGGCAACAGGCTGTGAAAGACCAAGGACTGTGAGTCTGGAGACATAACTCGTCCCAAAGCTCCCACCAAGGAGATGAGAGTACAGAGCAGAGGGGGACAGAGGGGCATGGGGACACAGAGGAAGGCAGAGCACAGGGTGAAATGGACGAAGCCCAGGAGACAGGTAAGAGGAAGGGGAGTGGCACCAAGGCTTCAGAGCTAGATGGTCTGGAGAAGGTAGCATTGAGGGGACACGGAGGGGGCAACCATAGCTGGAGTCAGATCCCTGAGCTGAAGGGAAGCTGCATCAAAGGAACAGAAATTTAAGATGCAGAGGAGGGGATTCTCAGGGAAAAGGGACAAGTGGACAGGGAGAAGAGCCCTGGAGCAAGGACAGACCCCAGCCAGGCTGACCTCAGATGGGAACACAAGTGAAGAAACAGAGTCCCACCAATGAAAGCAGACAATCAAGGGGCAGGAGGAAAGAAATTTTAACAAGGAAGAGATGCCCAGGGCATGTCAAATGCCAGCATCTGGCAAAAGGTACCTTGGGAATTGTAATTTTTTTTTTTTTTTTTTTTAATAGCAGAGTGGGGTAGAATCCAGACAGCAAAGGGCTAGGGGCAGGAAGGGGGTGAGAACACGGGTGGCTAGGGGAGAGGAGTCAAATGGCCTACAGAGGAAGGAAGGAGGCCAAGAATAACAGGGTGCCCTGTCAGGACAGGCAAGTCCCCATAACCGTCAGAGCACTGAATGGTCCCCAGGGGCATGGGGAGCTGGGGTCAAGTTACACGATCTTCCTATAGCAAGAACTTTAGCCCCTCAAAGGCTGAATGATGGAGTCTGCTACTGTGCCCCAGGCAGGGCCCAACCCACAGTGGCTATCTCATAAATACCTGCTCTTGGGTCTCGAGTCTGCCCGGTAAGAGTCTGTCCCTCAGAAGCCTGAATGTCACAGTGACTCAGTACCATCATCCACAAACTAGAAAATTAGATGATTTAAGAAAATGAGGGTAACTTGTCCTGTTAACACGGAACCAGAACCGGAGACTGTTGAAGCCCTACTAGTCAAGACAGAGAATCTTCTAATTCTATCATCTAAAAACTTCCAGGCTCACAACCAGGACCTGTTGTAACCTCCTGAAGTTCAGTGGAAATGACACATCTTCCTTAAGGGTGCCTATGCGCTCACCCACAGAGCACCCACACTCCTGCCCACATTCTTGCACAACTATGTGGTCACCATATTCAGCACCTGGCCTGATCCCCTTTCCGCTTAAAACTGAGGATTCTGCAGGGAGAACCAAGACTCTACACGTCAGGTCTACATCACAATCAAAACCGTCAGCCTCTGTATACATGGGTTCTGCATCTACAGGCTCAACCAACTACAGATTGACAACCGGCATGTATGTGTGTGTGTGTGTGTGTGTGTGTACACGGATCCCTGTTCTGAACTAAGCATGTATAGACTTTATTTTCTTGCTATTATTCCTAAATAATATAGTGTGACAACTATTTTTTCAGAGTTTACATTGTAATGTGTATTACAAGTAATTCAGAGATTATTTGGAGTTTAGGGGAGAATGTAGGTAGGTTATGTGCAAATATTATACCAYTTCACTTAAGGATTTGGGTCTCTGAAAGGGGTCCTGGAGCCAATGTTCTCGTGGAAAACAAAGGATGACTTCCGAGTACTAGACCCAAACACAACAGAGCAATTGCTGCCTGTCTGCTGGCAAACACCCTGATGGTAAGTAAGAGACGTAGAATCAAAGCTATAAAAGCTTAAATACATCAGGGGAAAGGTCAAACCACGCATGATCCGGGCATATATCTGCCATTTGCTTGAATAATTTAGCAAAATATTAGTGTTAATATGAACAAGAGAAAAGACAGAAAGGGTTTGAAAAGWGCGGTTGGTGTCTGGTGATTCATCACACTGAGTGATCAATGAGGTAGCATTGAAGACCGGCTTATAATATTCTCTCCTGGAAAATCTGAAATAAAGTTTCCCTAGAATGGATGCTCTTTGAGTCACAGGGCCAGAATTAAGCCCAACAAATGATTGATTTGGAAAAGCATAATTAGATGCTAGAATTATTCAAGCCAACAGAAGACAGAAAAACATATGCACACTCCCCAAAGGAGCCAGTTTTACCTTCAACTGAATGAAGGTTTCAGAAGAATAGCAAATGTTCCATTAGTATGTTAATTTGGGTTTGGAAGGAATTAGAGAATGCTGCAAGAAAGATGAAATTATGTTGGGACATATATCCTCTTAGCAGAGAGGCTAAATCCAAAGGAATGCATGCAAAGGAGTCAGGGCAAAGAAGAAAGGCAGAAGGGGCAGAGGCAGGAGGAGGCATCGCCACACGCAGTTACATTACCTTGATGGGCTCGCATTTCGGGAAGGGCCTTTTCTAAGACTGCTAATGCTTTTCTATGGTAATCTGCTTGGGCTTCTAATAACTGAGAACAGACCCACATTCAAAAACAAAAGTCACGTTAGCGTTGGATGGACACAACACAATGGCTGAGCAAACTAAAAACAAACTCTTTTGCAAAATAGCTAAGATGACTCAATTTTTTACAACAGGTTAATACCTTGTCAATGGGAGGTACTTACCGTAACAAAGAATTTGCCTAACTCCCCTTCCTTGGCCATGAAGTTGTACATGTCTGCTGCAAGTTGATCCTAAGTAAGAAAAGAGAAGATCTGTCATTGAAAAGAAATGAAAGAAAATGGTAACTGAGGAGAGTCTCTGTGAGTTCTCAGACCAAAAGGTAATGAAGAGAGGCACAGGTTGAAGTCTTCAGCTAACTGTACAAGCACACATGGGGACAGCAAGAACATATGAAGGGCTGCTGTGCCGTGAGCTCCAGAGCATGCTGTTCAGGTGCTATCAGGAAGCAAAGGTACACAGCACCGCTCAGGGCCTGTTACCAGCTGAGGAAAAAGAAGACGGGGACAGTCAGGTGCCACAGTGCATGCCCGTGATCCTTGCAATCTGGGAGGCTGAGTCAGGGTCACAAGTTTGGGGCCAATCTCAGCAACTAAGCAAGGCCTTAGCAACTTGACGAGACCCCATCTCAAARTAAAATATACAAGGGACTGGTTAAGTGTCCCTGGGTTCAATCACCAGCATCCCCCTATCCCCTCAAAAAAAGTGAGAAGAAAAAGTATATTTTTATTGCTGTATGTCTGGAAGGTCAGACATGGTGGTGACCCTAGTAATCCTACCTACTTGGGAGGCTAGGGCAGGAGGATCTCAAGTTTGAGGCAGSCTAGACAAATTAGTAAAACCGTGTCTCAAAATAAAATTCTAGGATGCAGCTCAGTGGAAAAGCACTTGCCTAGCATTCATAAGGCTGGAACTTAGCCCCCAGTCCTGAAAACCACCATCACAACAAAAAACCTGGGGATGTAGCTCAGTTGGTAGAATGCTCACCTTGCATGCACAAGGCCCTGGGTTCAATCCCCAGCACCATAAAAAAGAAATGAAAAAAAAAAAACTGGAATAAAAAACAAATATTAGAAAGAGCAGTTTTCTTCTGATAGGCAGAGGAAGGAGAAAGGTGGAAGAAAGACTTCACTCCTCACTGTTTACTGTTTTATACTTTTCAATATTTGAACTAATATAAAATAATTACTTATGTAAAATTAAATGATCTATTAATCAAACCATTGGATATACATTTCTAATCTTATGTGTATAGGAATTCTACCTACACATAGAAAAACATAAATTGGGAAATACATACATACATACACACACACACACACACACACACACCCCTACCTTGTTTGTTTTGAACTTTTAAAAATGTCCTGCCTTCTATTTATGGACACCATGTCTTTATTTATTTATTTTCATGTGGTGCTGAGAATTGAACCCAGTGCCTCACACATGCCAGACAAGCACTCCACCACTGAGTTACAGCCACAGCGCTTTCTATTTTTGACATGAAATTGTGCAAATTATTGTGAAGACCCTTTCGTTCATGATAAACCTGGAATTCCAGTTGTATGTAACATCCTTTCAGAATAATTGGGAAAGGAAGAGCAGCATAACCACCTTCCCCACCATGCCCTCCCTCCCCCCACAAAAAAAAGAGAAGGAAAAAAAGAAACAAAAAGTCAGAAAGCTCAGCATGAATGGCAAGAATGGAAGCTGGAAATGACCTGGATTGATCTGTGCCACCACGGTGGCCAAGGTGTGTGGACCTGGCTGTCACATGGGGCCAGCAAAAATGAAGCCTGAGGCATGGTGAGCAAGGAAGCAGTGCAGACACTATTTCACACAAAGGTAAGATTCCCAAAGAATTACCCTCAACAGAGGGAGGTCAAAACAAATTACTCATCAGCACATGGAAATCTTAGGGAACTTTAAGTATTTTGTATTGGGCTCTGAATCTAGGAAAGAAAAACAAAGCCCTTGAAATTTCAAAAACATACCTGCTTTTATGAGGGATTAAAGTTTGAATTTACTATATTTACAGCCCAGGAAATTCCAAACTGAAAAAGTTTGATTAAAAATAGATCTAAGGGGCTGGGGATGTGGCTCAAGCGGTACCACACTCACCTGGTGTGCATGGGGCACTGGGTTCGATCCTCAGCACCACATAAAAATAAAATAAAGATGTGTGTCCACCGAAAACTAAAAAATAAACATTAAAAAAAATAGATCCGAGCCGGGTGCAGTGGGGCATGCCTATGGTTCTAGCAATTTGGGAGGCTGAGGCAGGATTTTGAGTTCAAGGCCAGCTTCAGCAACTTAGTAAGGCCCTAAGCAACTTAGTGAGACCCTGTCTCAGAAAAATAAAGGGGCTGGGGACGTAGCTCAGTGGTGAAGCACCCCTAGGTTCAATTCTAGTACCCCCCCCCCAAAAAAAAAGACCTGAATTGGTAATAAATACTCTCTAGGACACTCATTCTCAATCTCAATTTGAATTCTCAAATTCACTGAAGACCAGTTTTTTACCATTTTGAATAGTATTTGGAATAAACACACACACACACACACACACACACACACACATATATATATATACACACATTGATAGATGCATAGAGAATAAGATCACTTAACCAACTAATTAATTTGGAACTTGTTTTGTTTTGTTTTTAATTTTAAAAAATTTTGGGTATTTTTTGGCTTAGGGATTGAATCCAGGGGCACTTTACTACTGAGCTACACCCCCGTCCTTTTTCATTTTGAAACAGAGTCTAAGTTGCTAAGACTGGCCTTGGACTTGAGTTCCTCCTGACCCAGTTTCCTACATCACTGGGATTATAAGCATGCACCACTGCATTTGGCTAAATCTTATAATACCTGTTCTAGTAAACCTATACAATTTTACTTTTATATTTTTATACCTATTATATAGTTTTAATTATCGTAACTTCATGTAATGTCTTGCAATGATTTTGTTTAAAACCGTGATCTTTATTTTAAATAAGCTTAGTCAAGTTTTTAAATATACCCCACTTGAATACTTTTAAATAATGTTTTATTTTGATTATAAAATAGTATAGTCTTGAAAAATAAAGAATATAAAACTACTTTTAATATCATTCAGAATATTCTGATGGAAGTTATGTAAAACATTAAATAATTTGCAATATTTGGCTTTTATTCATCATTTGCAAAAAAAAAAAAATTGACACGTGTTATATTTATTAGGGAATTCTTGTACCTTGCACTGTTCTACTTTATTTCCAGCTTCATCCATCTCTTCCTTTAAGGTATCTATTTTTGATGGAAGCCCCTGAAAGTTGGTTCCTGAAGATTTGTGAGCTTGGTTCCACCTGCAAAACAAAGGGGTAGCCAGTCTGAGAACTAGCTATACATACTCAACCTTACAGGGTCAGGACCTAAGGAGATCGAGCCTTCCCCCACACTGACTGTACCTGGGATCTGATCAGCACCCAGGATGGCTGCTTCTTTTGAGTTTAGCAGACAGTAGCTTCCCCCATGCCAGGGTTCCCCTACTGCTGGGGCTGAAGTTTGCTTTGAGCATAACCCGACACCTGCTCACACAAACCCCTGTGCTGGAAAGCCATCTGTGGATTGTCTTTCCTGTAGTGCCCAGTTGTGGAATCCTTGCTACAGAGCACCTCTTGCTCTCCTGCTTTGATCTAGAATGTCCCCTGTGCCCCTGGGAACCAAATCCTACTCTTGAAGACTRCTTATGATGCATTCTCCTAATATCTTGACCTGGGATTATTTTTTGTTCTGGCTCTTACCAGAACTACCTTTCAATAATATAGTTATGGGGGCATTAGAAACACATACAGTAACAACAGGGGGACAGGTGAAGAAGAATAATCAAAGATCAGGGTTTTCAAATGTGCTTTGACCTTCTGTTTGTACAGGAATACATCTGCTGCTACGTAAAGTTCTAACACTTCAAATCTGAACACAGATATTATATAGCTGCAGCAAAAAAGACCCACACTAGCAACTCCTCAAACTTCCCAGACTGTTGTATTGCCCCCAAAACAACTTGTGTCCACTTCACACTGCTGATACGGTACACCAAAAGGCTTCGGCAAGGCTGCCAAGGCAACACTGCAGATGCTGTTTCAGAAATATGTGGGCTTCAGAGTCCACCATGCGGCTCCAACTGAACCACCTGTGACCTCGTTAGTAACCTAGCCTCTCTCGGCCTCAGGGTCCTCCTCAGTAAGACTGAGATGATGAGCACTGTCTGCCTTGCAGAACTGCTGTGAGGAGGGAAGGAGAAATCAAACACAGGTGTGCATACAATGGACTCCTGCTCACCATTAGTTCTTATCATTTTCCTATAGGGAAAAGTAAGTAAAAGTAAAGAAGAAACATTCAACTGTTTCCATGTCTCCAACACCTACTTTGGTTAACAGAGTGAATAAGATCAAGAATCAGCATTGAGGGCAGGGATGTGGCTCAGTGGCAGAACATTTGCTAGCAGTGTGAAGCACTGGGTTCAATCCTCAGCAACACATAAAATAAATAAATAAAGTTATTTTTTTAAAAAAAGAGTCAGCCTTAAAATCCTCTCTGGGATACACATACTTGAGATGTATAATTCCTGGCAGGTAGGACAGCTATAATATTGCTCAACCAACTCCAGTGTGGGAGCATTGTTTAATCACAGCCTTATTTAATTACTCATTAGAACATTCTTCCTTCTCTTGAGCAAAAATGCACAACATAGCAGCCTGTACTCTCTGCTGCAGTCCTGTCACACAGAATTCTAATGACACACATACCCATGATAAGGAGACGGCAGACGGTGCTGTCCGAATCCTACTCTGCCATTTATTCTAAGGCATGAAGAAAGTCAGACAGATGAAGTATACAAGTCCCTTGTCTGTAAAACAAGTCTCTTCTTAAAATTAGGGGATGTCACATTGGCCCCAGGCCCTGTTTCCTCCCCAGCTAGCATAGAGGGACCTCTGCATTTAGTGTCCAGCACGATGTCTGCACAATTGATTGCTGAAAACAAAGCAAATGAACAGGATTGGAGGAGAATTGAGCCAATGTACTGATGCTCAGCACATGGCAAGCACCCGGTAAGTGACCCTCGTAGTTGACCACTGCACTATGACTATCTTCATCCTACAAGAATGCCCACACGGATCTTTTGTCATTTCAAAGAGGCTTAAATAACAACATTTTTTAATAACTGGTTTGTACATTTCATGTCCTGGGCTGCTTTTTTCCCAAAACCAGTGGATTTTAAACCAGTGATACATCCAAGACTCAGTGGCATCTGAGAAATAAGGGAATGAAGAGTCATCACAACYGCTCCCAACTCTGCAGACAAAGCCCCTGGCTCAGAAGCACTCCAATGGTAGCTGATCCCCATGTTCCTGCCAAGCAAAACCGATCACATGTCCTTCACAGAACTGCAAGGAAGGCGGAAAGATCTGATGAAGCAAGGGTCAGCATGGTCACCTGATTTACAGCCAAGCTCATTCATTTATGCACTGCCCATGTCTGCTTTTATTTTTTGCAGTGCTAGGAATAGAACCTAGGGCCTCCTGCAAGCAACCCATGGCTGCTTTTATGCTACAAGAGCAGAGTTATGGGGTTATACCAAGGACATCGGGGTCGCAAAAATATTTACTGTCTGGCCCTTTATGGAAGAAGTTTTTCAGCCATTGTAACGAAATTTGAGAATGGCCTCATCTCAAATTTGGTTGTCTCCYTATTTCCAGTTCTCATATGCCCAAGAAGAAAGCCTGCCAATCACTGATACAAACGCCATCAAGAGCAGATGGTGGAGGCAGTCCTGCCAGGGACCACCTCACGCTCCACTGAAGACATCAACTCATAGGTCACAGTCCTGTGGACTTAGTTACTTGGGTTACATGAGACCCTGCTTCCCGAGGGCAGCATTTCTTGATCATGAAGGGTAATTATAGGTACACGAAGTTTGTGACTTGGCGGGACCTGTTTATTTTATATTCCACAATTCCAAGAGCTGTTCTTAGAATGGCAGCCCCCTCCTCCTGCTAAATACATTTACTTAACTTTGCTTATTTTCTGTTTCCTTTCACCGTGGCTCGTAAGGACAGAATGTTCTAACAACACCCCTCCGCCATGCTGGGAGAATGAGACCCGGAGGAGGGTAGGCAGGCTGTGACTGGGGCAACAGCCCTAGCTGTGATTCACAACAGAGCCATCTTGTTCTACTAGTAGTCTTTCTCTTGTCCATGGTAGGGTGAGTGACTCTAGGGAGGTGACATAATAGTATTGCATTAGTGGCCACCTTGACAACTTCAACTTACCTGGCTCGGACCGAGTCCCAGTCCAACACCAATTTAGCCAGCTGTTTCCTCTGTTTCTGGATGTTGGGAATCTCCACCTAGAGGGAAGAACATATCAAATGAGGTGCACTTTGGATTTTTAATTTATTTACAAATGTTTTCTCTTAGGCAAAAAATTTTGCAACCTCAGTTTACTCTCATTTCCTAAAAGAGCGGCTGATCTCTGTTAACACTACAGACATGGGATGCGCTCACCGCCCAGCCCGTGCCAGCCTCGGTTCTGTGTCCAGGGCACAAGCACCCACCTCTGCTATGCCATAGAGAGGGTCCACGATCTCCTTCTCAATGAGGACCTCGTGCTGAGAGAGCTCCAGAGCCAGCTGGTGCTCAGCGTCTCCGCAGGTCTCCAGCATCTTCCTTCAGAGACAAGACAGCCAACAGGCCAGCACCAGTTAAGCTGTGGCCGCCACTCTGCTTGCCATGTGGCAGGATCACAGCAGAGAGCTGCCCAACAGCCCTTAAAATATTATACATTCAGGGTTTCCCCTAAAAACGTGTGTCTACAGATTTGTGCTTTAAAATGAAGATGATTATCTCGGGTGTGGACCCTGTGCTGGGAGGAGGTGGGGGTGTGAATTGTGAGGTCGCAACTGAAGAACTAGGTTCTCATGTCAGGTGGAAAATCAAGTGTTCTCAAGTTACCCTGGAAGTCTTCTAAAGGAGACATAAAGTACACCACAGTTTCACGTCTGCTAGTGAGTGTAGCCTTAGTGGCGTATCCTCCAGAATTAATGCAAAGGCTGATTCTTCTGTGCAGATGAGGTGGCTGGCCAACACGGAAGGGCCAGTCACATGAGCCTCAAGTTTGCTGTTCTCCTGTGAACACACAGCTGCTGTCATATGTGCACATGCAAATGATGCAACTCCACTGTCGCTGGTCCCCTTATCTCCTTTCCTTTTTGCCCTGCCCCTCCAGCTCCCTATAAGTTCTTTTGGCATCAGAAAGTGTGCAGCCTGCTGTGAGGTAGCCATGGTGTCATAGTTAAGCTGCCTGAGTTTGAACGCAGGCTTTGCTATTTTTCTGTGTGGTTTCTGGCAATGTTCTTACCCTCTCTGTTGGCCAAGGTTCACATCTGTAAAGTGGGAGCATTCATGTTACCTACCTCCCAGGTTGTTTGGGGGATTAAATGAGCTATTCTTTGGGAACACACTCAGCACAGGGCTGGCGCTCTGGTGTGAGGACAATGGCAAGAGGATAAAGGGAGCGCAACATGGAGACACATTCAAGCCTGAGGGAGCAGGGGTGGGCACATGCCATCCTCCCAGGGCCAGTGCTCTCAAATGTGGAAGTTCAGACAGGACAAGAGAAGGCGCAGAGCAGGAGCAACAGAGCTAGGGCGGTGAAGCCCAAAGACCGTGGCAGCAGGAGGCAGGGCCCTGTACAACAGAGGGCAGACTGGAGGGCAGTGGGGGAAGGCGCACACCGCACAACCCAGACTGCTCCTGCCAGACTCACTATGTGACGAAAGCCCCCTGTGACCAAAACGCAGCCCCCTTGGGGGAGGAGGGAGAAGGGGGATGGCTGCCAGGCACAGGAGGGCAGCTGGGCAGGGGGGGTGACGCCTGTGTCCTGTGTCCTAGGACACAGTGGGCAGCTATGGCTGGCAAGTGGTTGTACATTTCAAAAGAGCCAGAACAGGGCTGAGGCTGGGGCTCAGGGCCAGGGCGCCTGTCTAGCACGTGTGAGGCACTGGGTTCGATCCTCAGCACCACATAAAAAGAAACAAATAAAATAAAGGCATGATGTCCACCTACAACTACCAAAAAAAAAAAAAAAAAATTAAAAAGAGCTAGTAGAGAGGGTTTTAAATGTTTCCCAACACAAAGAAATGACACCTGTTTGAGGTGACAGATACGATCAGCACACACTGTACATGTATTCAAATGCCACACTGTACCCCATAAACATGCATAATTATGTGTCTGTTAAAAACAAAAAAGTATTAAAAAAAAAAAGAAAGATAAGTCAGACATAAAGTTTTAAGATGAAACAACCAAGGAAAATCTAACTAGTTCAGAAAATACACTATTTTGAAACACCCACCACTGATATTTTGGTGACCACCCTTAAAGGAAGTACCTCTTCAGCACTGAAAGGCACTGAGAGAGTTTAAGTTGACACCTGGAACAGGGAAGGGAGCCAGTTGTTCATACCCCAGGCTTAGGGGAATAAACATGGCCCTGTCACTGGTGAGTTTTTTTTTTTTTTTTGGCAGTGCTGTGGACCCAGGGCCTCCCTCCTACTGGGCAGTTTGCTCTACCACTGAGGCATATCCTCAGCCCCCATCAGCTACTTATGCTAGTGACTCTACCACCACTCCAGCCTGACACCCAGGAAAAGATTCTCCAGCTACCCAGAGGCTCAGACCCACTTTCTCCTGCAAGGTCGAGGCCTTCTCCTGGCGGATGAGCCACGCCACCATGCTCATGGCCCCTCACCCACCCACAGGTGGTGCTGGAACACCACCAGCCCACGCTTCTTCCTGACCCAACAGCCACTCCTCTCTGAAAGCAGCCGACTCTTACCCCAGGAGAGAGTCTTCCAGCTGAGTGGATGCTTCTTGCATATTCTGAGAGAGAGCTGTCAGAGGGAGTTTTTTCTGGAAGAAAGAAAACAGCATGTTTTTTCATTATTATTTGATGCCCCTGCTTAATGATCTGCTTCAGTCACTGGCCATTGATCTCTCCCTCCAGGCACACTGCATGAGTAAGAGGCAGCGGGCGCCAGCTCTGGTCTCACAGACCTCACTTGTGTCGTCTCACCTCTGTGCCTAAGTTAGGGGCCGTCTGTCAACCAAGCAGATAATTCAACATCAAGTGGCTGGTGCATAGGGAGTACTTGTAAACATTAAGTAAAACATTAGCGGCTATTATTTCTTGTGGCTGCCATTACTATCACTAGTTAATCAAATGCATGTAGGTTGAGTAGCTCTCATCTGAAATGCCTGGGATGAAAAGCGTTTCGGGTTTTGGAATATTTGTGTAGACTTTCTGGTTGACATCCCTAATCCAAAAATCTAATATCTAAAATGCTATGAAATCTGCAACTTCAGATTACAGAGCATTTTGGATTTTGGTTCAGGGATGTTCAGTCTGTATTGTGCTCCATACCCAGCCCTTATTCTTCAAATGCTCATCACGAGTAATGCAATRAAATGGTCAATTTCAAAAATTTGTGCTATAACATTCTTAAACTGGGTCTTAATTTGGCTATAATCCTAAAATTTAGTGATAGTTAAATATCTAAAAGTAAGCCAGCTAAATATTCAAAACAAAGCGTGGAAATGTTTTTAGGCACAAAGCAAATCATTTTCCTATTAGTGGTTTGTTTTCTTAGCCAGCAATGACCACAGGAACACCTGACCTCTATAATGAAAAGAACTCAAAAACCCAGAAAGATTAAGTGGCACTTTGCAGTGGGGAGGGAGAGCCACACCTCTGTGACCATGGCCTGAGCCCAGTTCCTGAGCCCAGTCTTCACTGCTGGCTGGTGGCTTATCTCAGAACACTGGCAGGAGAGGCCAAGAAAGCAGCAGGTCGGCAGGGTGCAACACTACCACCTGCTAAGAGAAGGTGCTTCAACGTGCAGCACCACGGGTCACTGTGCCTTCCAAGCAGAAAGGGCACTCAAGCCCAAGACACAGGGTCCATTCAGCGCATCACTTGACTTCTGCCTCTGAAGGACTCACTCTGATATACTTGTGCACACACCAGCTGGTGGCATAGAGGATAGCCCTGGAAGATTAGCCAAAAGACTGCTAATGCTGGTGACTGAAGGATAGCACAGTGTGCCTAGAGGACAAGGTGGCAGACACTTCATTTTATGTTCTTTTGAATATTCTGTGGTCTGATTGTGCAACTGCACAACATATTCGAAGTAATAAATTGAAATTTAAGAATAAATAACAATAAGGGCTGGGTTGTGGGTCAAGTGGTAGAGCGCTTGCCTAGCACTTGTGAGGCACTGGGTTTGATCCTCAGCACCACATAAAAATAAAATAAAGATATAGTATTCACCTAAAACTAAAAAATAAATATTTTTTTAAAAGAAAAAACAAACAACAATAAACATATCTACCCATCTCCCTTCCCTCCAAGTTATTTTCTAAAAAATAAACAATGGACTCCTTCTGCCCCATGAGGAGGCTGCTCTTGGCTCCCCAATCTTGGACTTGAAAGATATGAGAATAGTAGAGGACAATTCCTATGTTCTAGTTTTTCAAAAGGCGGTCAACTATAAGATAAATGTAATAATAAAAAAAAAATACACTTTCTCCAACTCTGGAACTCCATAAGTCTGTGGGATTTTTTTTCATAATTCAAGATGCCAGTCTGGTAAGTAGTCTGTGGCTTCCATGCCCTGACCACAAAGCCACAGTCCTGCTTCCTGGAGTACGTGAGTGAGGAGATTCTGCTGGATATGTACACTCGATAGCAAAGGTGTCGCCCACCAACACTCAACTCCACAGAAGGCCTCAGGCTTCCTAGGGGTGAGTAGCTACCACCAGGGAAGAACGTAAAATCTCTTAAGTCTCAATCTGTAAAATGTATGAAAATTACAAATAACAAAAATAATTCTAAGGGAAGCAGGGAATGGGAGTAGGAAAGACAGTGGAATGAATGGGACATCACTTTCCTATGTTCATATGTGAATACACGACCAGTGTGACTCCACATCACGTACGACCATAAGAATAGGATCCTTATTAGAATAAGTGATACGCTGTGTATGTAGGATATGTCAAATACAGTCTCCTGCCATGTATATCTAAGAAGAACAAATAAAAGGAAAAAAAGAAAGAATTAATTAATTCAGGTCTCCTGTGACCCACAACATAAGCTGGACCATGTTAAGAAGGCTCAGGCAGAGAAAGCCACCAGCTCCACCTCTCTTCACACTCAAGGGAGCTCCTGGCAGGGCTTTTGGGAGACCCCACTGAGTTTTCCAGAGACTGCTGTGACTTTCCTCTACTGCATGATCTCTGTGGTCACCATCCTCTCCCACCGTTGTCATGGGGATTGCTCTTCCCTCCACTCTGAGCCCTGTCTTTGACCTTTGTTTCAGGATGAAAAGAGGAAAGCTAATGCAGTAGGCTTCAGAAATGAGGGCCAGGCATCTCTGTTCCTGCTTCCTGGAAATGCCCACCACTGCCAATAAGCTCCCCCTTTCCCAGCACAGGCAGGACCTCCTCCAGGAAGCCTACCGGACTGCCCCTCCTCCTCTGGTGCCCACTCTTGGCCCCGATTACCCACTTGCATGTATCTACCCCCCAGGCTGTGAACACTTACATTTTATTCATCTCTCTAGAACTCATACATAGAAGATATTTGATAAATTATTTTTATACCTTTATTTTATTTATTTATTTTTATGTGGTGCTGAGGATCGAACCCAGGGCCTTGCATGTGCTAGGCGAGCACTCTACCACTGAGCCACAACCTCAGTCCCATTTTTATATGTGTGTGTGTGTGTGTGTGTGTGTGTGTTTTTTTTTTTTTTTTTTTTTTTTGGTGCTGGGGATTGAACCCAGAACCTCGTACATGCGAGGATAGCTCTACCGACTGAGCTATAACCCCAGCCATTTTGTTTATTTTTAATGAATGTATATGACAGTTGGGCAGCAACTTGAAGCAGACAATAGGAACAACAGGACATAAACTGTGAAAGATGATGACATCTTTGGRGACTACAATGAGAGAAAAATGAGAATGAGAGAAAACGGGACAAAGGAGCTGATAGGCAAAATGGGATCAGATTATAAAGGTTTAAGACATGCTACAGAGCGTGGACTTTGTCCCAAGCAATGGGAACCACAGCACTGAGGGGCACTGGCCGCATGGAATTACTTCACCAGGCACTAGAGAACATTCAGCATCTTGATTCCCAGCCTCCAAATGCCAACAGTGTCCCCAGTCCTATAGCAATGCACACTGACTCAACACATTTCCAAATATACCCAGGGCTGTTTCTGGTCCCTAAGCTAAAGGCCCACTAAGCTAAAATTTGCTTTTAGGCAGGAGGATGACACATTTGATTTGTGTACTAGGCAACTGACTCTGGCGATCAGGTTGGAGACAGAATGGAAAGGAAGGAAATCAGAGGCAGGAAACAGYGCAGGAGGTGACCCAACAGCCCCGGCAGTGGTTCATCAGGTCTTGCATCAGGGCAGAGGTAGGAGCAGAAGTGAGGAATCTAAAAGGTATCCACAGGGAGAATCAAGGGCCTGTGAGTCAGGCAGCTGTGGAGGGTAGAGATGGCATAAAAGGGAACATGCAGTAGCCCCACAGTTGTATGTACTGACAGGTTCAAGAGCATCAGCACATGGCGAAGAATTGGTTGTGTGTGCTAACAGATAGAGTCTAGGGCTGGGATTTTCTGCTTGTTTGACAATGACTGAAAAGTAAACCCACTAGCTAGAACCCGCAAAAACAGAGGTGGCCCAAAGAATGTGACTTGGAGAGCAGGGAGAAGCACCTGAGAAGGCAACAGTAAATAGCTAGACACAGCTGCTGCTGAGGCAAGAGAACGAGGAGCAGAAGGCAGTGGGCGAATATCGGGGCTGGCTCAGGGGCAGATGGGCAGCAAGCATTTCTGGACCACAGGCCATGTGCAAATGTCTTTTTTTTTTTTTTTTTGGTGCCAAGGATTGAACTCAGATACTAGACCACTGAGCCACACCCCCAGCCTTATTTTGTGTTTTATTTAGAGACAGGGTCTCACTGAGTTGCTTAGTGCCTTGCTTTTGCTGAGGCTGGCTTTGAACTCAAGATCCTCCTGCCTCAGCCTCCCCAGCCACTGGGATTACAGTGTGCACCTCGCCAGCCAAACATCCACTCTTACCAGACAAAATTGCATAATTCTAACTATTGTGGAAGGGAGGGATAACCCTGGTGTCGAGGTGTATTACAAATATCTGTAGGAAATACAAAAGAAGGGTGATAGATATCTGTATAACTGTTCTTCCTTTTGAGAAATCTAATGACAAACAAAACATAGCAAATCCTAGCTTCCCAGTGAACTGTCACTTGAATGTGACCCAACTCATAAGGATGGTGCATGCTTGTAAGTCAGGAGCCTGAACACAAAGACAGAAGTGCTAGGTGAATACACACTGCTGGGTCTACTGGTGGCCCAGAGGTCCCAAATGCTATGAAAAAWGGCATGCAGCAGTAAACACAGGATGGCTCTCCCAAAGGCCACCGTTCCTCTCTGTGATAGTACCCTGGTTTTTCTTAGGGATTTTTTCAGCCTCAATAAAGCCTGTGAGCAGAAAGTAGACACAGCCCAGGCTCCAGGGCTGGCCCAACCAGTTTAGGTCAACCAGTGCCTCCCTCCCCTCAGCCAGCCTCACCCCTGCCTACGGTAACTAGGGAATGTGGCTTGACACAGATCAATGCAATGGACAGGAATTTCTATCTGGCAATGGCGTGGGAAAAGGCACTTCCTTACTCCACCAAGAAAACTACTAGAAGAGTTTCTGCTGGAACACACAAGAAGCAAGAAGCCCAGGAAGGTGCTGGTGCCAATTTGCAGCTGTGAGGTGCCTGTCTCAGATAAAACAGGTGTAAAGAAGGTGGGGGAGAAGCACGAGGCTGAGGTTTTGGTTGTATTAATTATTGAAATGCGAGGTGAGCCCACCTCAACCCCATTCCAATTTCTGGACTTCTCCTTTCTGAGTCAACTTAAGTAGCATTCAGATTTTTGCCATCAGGGATTCCCAACTGACATGTCCATTCTCTTATCAATGACAAATGGTTCAAATCCTTAAAGGCACTTGGAAGAGATTCAGGGGGAGCTGGGCTTTTAGCCTGGTGATGTCTTAAGCAAGAAAACAATGCTATGGCCAGGGAGCGTCACAGGACAAAGGGTGACAGAACATACCCATCCAAAGTCAACCTGCCAATGCTACTTGGGAAAAACCAGTCAGTCCAGGAGGAGATAAGCCCCAAAAGACAAGAAAGGTGCCTTGCTGTGGGTCACATCTGATACTCACRTGTCTTCTCTCGGCATCGGTGCCATGCTGGCCCTGGAAGCATGCCATGAGCCGCTTATGGGAATGGTGACACATTGACCGCACAGTGTCCAGGCGCCGCTCGATCTGACAAGGCAGAAACAAAGAGTTGTTTGCAAGGCCTGAAGACAAACTCACCTCCTTCCACCTGTCTGCATGGAGGCAGGAAAAGCATTCTGCAGTAAAATCCTACAGCTCTTGTGTCTGAGTAGAAATGGCTCCCACTCGCCACTCCGGGATTCTCACTGTGGACATTCTGGGCTGGGCAGCTGCAGGTTGGCAGGAGCCAACAGTGTGTTCAGCAGCACATTGGCCTCTGCCCATAGTACACCAGTAGCACCCACTCTCCAAATTGTGACTACCAAAAATGACTGCAGATATTGTGGGATGTCTCCAGGAGGGTGAAACCACCCTGTTGAGAACCCTGACCCTCCTGTACTRAAGGCTTCGGAGGCCTCTGTCTGCAGGCTAAGGGGACAGTCCCAGTTCAACCTTACTGTCAGAACAAGTGGTGGCTGTCCGTCCACCCGCTATGCACCAGCAAAGCCCTGAGTGCAACCAAGCAGAATTGCAAATGACCAGTCCAGGCCCAGACCCAGTGCCAAGTGGGAAAAGCTGTCACAGRGACAACCAGAGCCTGGTCTCCAGCACATGGCAACGGAGCCTTCCACACACAGGACATCAGACTGACAAATCAAATGTTCCACCATTTAGACTCCTGATCAATGCTCAGAAAACTATTCCTTATTGGGTTTGGAGTGGGTTTTGTTTTGAATGAATCTCTAGAGCAGAATAGATGGCCAGCAGTAAGAACCATGACTTGGGGACCCACACGTTGTGAGAAGCTTCCCAAAATACTACTACTGGGATATGGCTGTTTATGGCAAAGAGAGCGGCTTCTTACAGGAAGGAATGCCAGAAATGTGCACTCTGATGACTCACCAAGGAGCACAGGCCCTTGGGGATGCTTTCTATTTTAAAGAAAAATCAACAAATTCAAAGCAGAATACATCTTGACTCCCTCACAATATCTTACCCCATGAGATATTTTGTGCCTCTTTCTCAAAGGTCCCCACAACACCAGCAGCTTTGCTTCAGGTCTGAGCCCCAATTACCAAGACCCAAGTCTCACAATGGCTTTCCTTAATTCCATTTTTATTTCCACTAGAATGTCAACACTGCAAAGACAAGAGCCCTGTCTGCTTTGTCCACTCATCTCCCAGCCAGCGTCTGCACTCTGTCTGTCACAGGATCAGAAGGCACTCGCTTGACATTTGTGAACAAACTGGAGGCAAATCTGCTGAGCCCCTGTGCCAGGTATTGGAAAAATAACAGTAAGTCAGTCCTGGCTTCTCCCTCCAGGGATCCATAGTCTCGCAGGGCAACTTCACACAAACAAAACAAAAGGCAGCCCTTAACCACGCCTGTCATTCCAGCTCTTGGGAGGCTGAGGCAGGAGGCAAATTCACAGCCAGGCTGGGCAATTTAGTGAGACCCTGACTCAAAATAAAAAATTTAAAAGGGCTGGGATCTGGTATGTAGCTCGGTGGTAGAGCATCCCTGGGTTCAATCCCCAAAACAAAAAAGGAAAAAAAAACCTTCATATTATTCTAACAGAGATCTAAGAGATAAGTAGGAAATCAAAGAGAAAACCGAGGGGCTTTTCGCCAGGCACACAAGCCGGCAACACGCACCTCTGTGGCTTGGTGTGGTGGTAAGAACAAGTAGTCACACTGCCTGGTCCGTGATCAGTACTTTCCACAACTCACTAACCCTCCTAACAACCCCACAGTGTGAAGACTGCCAAGACCCTGGTCGCAGAGGCGTTGAAACTGAGGGGAAGGTAAGAAAACCACRAGGACACAACGCCAGTGAGACACACCTGGGGCGGAACCCAGAGCTCACGCTGGTCGCCACTCTACTCTCCACATTAAAAACAGCAGACCCCAAGGTGCGGAGACCTCTGTGGCAGTGGCGGCAGATGTGGACTCGGAACCTGTGCAGTAGGGCAGGAGTTTCTAGAGACCGGCAACCCTTTCAGATGCCAGTGACTGTCTGCACAAAGGGACAAGGATGAGGACTGTGCCGACCTGCAAGGTCCTCTGCCTGTCTCAGGACCTCAGGGCTAAGTGACATGATGCATATGACTGATATGGGATGTGAAGGGAAAATACCAATATGAAAACCTACTTTGGTTAACATTTAAATGGCCCAACAGTATTTCTGAAAGTCTGAAAATTATTTTAAAACATGAAAAGAAAATCAACAAAAAAATAATGAGTAAGATTCTTTAATAAGTCTTTACAAAATTCTATCCTCTAATTTAAAAAAAAAAAGATTCTATCCTCAAAGCAAAAAAACCTTACAAACAAACAACGGGGGGGGGGGAGAAGAAAAACCAACAAGTGGGGTGCAGTGGTGCATATCTGCACCCCCTGCAACTCAGGAAGCTGAGGCAAGAGTATCACAAGCTTCAGGCCAGCCTAGGCAACTTAGCAAGATCTTGTCTTCAAATAAAAAGGGCTGGGGATGCAGTTCAGGGGCAGAGCACAGGCCCTGGGTTCAATCCTGAGCACCAAAAAACAAAAAAAAATCAAATGGCCCTCTGTTTCCAAGGGTTCTGCATCCACTGATCCACCATGTATCAAAAATGTTTGAGAGCCAGGCACAGTGGAGCACACCTGTAATTCCAACAACTGAGAGGCTGAGGGCAGCCTTAGCAAGGCCTTAAGTTTTAGCTAAAGGCCTTTGTTTTAGCTAAAGTCGCCCTGAATCTAAATATAATACAAAATAAGGTCTGGGGATGTGGCTCAGTGTTTAAGTGTTCCAAGGTTCAATCCCCACTACCAAAAAAAAAAAAAAAAAGAGGGCTGGGGCCATAGCTCAGTGGCAGAGCGCTTGCCTAGCATGCGTGAGGCACTGGGTTCTATCCTTAGCACTGAATAAAAAACTAAACAAATAAAAGCATGCTGTCCATATACAAGTATAAAAAAAAAAATTTTAAAAGAGACACAGAGAGAAAGAGAGAGAGAGAGAGAGAGAGAGAGAGAACAAAATTCCATCTGTACATAATATCCACACTTTAATTTCCTGTCCTTATTCCCTAAATAATACAACTATTTATACAGCACTTGGACTGCATTAGGTATTATATGAAAATAAAGGGGGGTGTGCAAAAACTAGGACACTTTATGTTTGGGGTAAGCACAAATTATGAACCCGTTGGGGAGCCTGGAAACAATCTGCTCGTGGACACCAAGGAACACAGTGTTCTACCTGAAGATGGTTGTCATCATTAGAAGGTTTTGGCCTGTGTCGTGGTGGCTGTGCCAGTCCCTCCTCTACACAGGAAGGGAGAGAGTCACCTAGGAGCAGACCCTGGCTCTCAGGAACTCTCCCAAGTAAACCTGCTTGCAGTTGCAGGAGGAGGCTGGCCAGGTCTGCCCTCCCCTGGCTGCTCTGCGACTGGTGAAGGGAGGACCTTGGAGGCCCAGCGTCTGCCAGGAGAAGCTCCCAACCCCAACGTTAGGGCACCTATTGACAGGTTGAGTACAACAGCCCTGGCCAGAGTCCCCTGGCAGAAGGGAGGGCAGAGGGTCTGGGCTTCTGAGCAGAGGCTCCTGGGCCTCAGGTAGGTCTGGGCACTATCACTGAAAGCACAAGCTCCTCAGGACGGGGCCCAACGGTGAGAGGAACGAGCTGGGGCTGGTGGGGCCTCTGCCTCAGCCAGGGGGCCTGTCCCACCAAGGGCCTCAGCACAGCAGCAGATCAGAGCCTCGGCCCACCAGGGACGTAAGCAGGCCCCTCCCCACCCAGCACCCYGCACCTGAATGTGCACCAGCCCCGTCTGAATTTCATAACCGACACCACGGTTTCAGATCCCCTTTCCATCACCAGCCACTCCACCGCCGCTCCCTCCTGCTCATTTATTCTATTCCACTTAAAAAGTAAAACCCACAAGCTTCAATTCTCATTTATAGTTTTTGTTTGCTGGTTGGTTTTTGTCTTTTGCGGTGCGGAGGACCAAACCCATGGCCCCATGCTCTCTACCACCGATGTACACCCTCAGCCCTGGACTCTTTCCTCACAGTGTGACTTTAAACAGGTTATTTTAAGAAAATTTTACTTTGTTACCTGTAACAGATCTTCACTGAGGACTTCTGTTTTCTCAGCTCTGTGGGAAAAAAATCAAAAATACAGAATCAGAAACCCAGGGAAGAAAAGTGACTCATGAAACTAAAAAATTATTAGCTTCCAGTTTAAAACAAATAAGGCAGAAATGAATGCTAAGGGGGGAAATTCCACCGGTGTTTACATCAGAGGGTGACTTTAGCTAAAATAAACAAAAATTTGCAGAGGAGAGACCCAACACAAGAACATGGTGGTTCTCAGCCTTGAGCATCTGCAACATTCCCAAAAGTGGGGCTGATGGCAAGTGCCAATTTCCACATGGCACCACAGAGGACTCTCTTTTGAGCCAGCATGTCTGGAGTGAGGGCCTCCATTCCTAACAGGCCCCTTCCTGCTCAGAACTCCCTTGCAGGAAGTCCAAAGAACATGCTCTGAGAAGACTCTTCTCCCAAAACTTAACCTTCAGTCTTTTTTTTTTTTTTTTTTTTTGATGTTGGGGATTGAACCCAGGGCCTCAGATACGCTAGATAAGTGCTGGACCACTGAGTTCTACCCCCAGCCCAACATTCAGTTCTTAAAATGATAATTTCCATGTTTCATAGCCTTCCCAAAACAAGTTCATCACAAATCTAGAAATAAGCAATGACACAAGTCTAAACCACCAGGTTTCTCCCTAACTTCAAAAAGAAACAAAGTATTTTCAGAACTTTCCCTAGGCTATTTTTGGAACTACTACTCACTTCACCAACCTTTCCAGAAAACCAAGATGATAGCCGCAATCAGAAGAGGTGCATTCTAAGATCCTGAAGTCTTATTTGCCCAAGCAGAATAATTTTTGAAGACTGCTTAGTTTAGGTCTGGAAATATCCCCCAAAGGCTCATGTGTTAAGGGGTTGGTCACCTGGGAGATGGCAGAACATTTTGTAAGTAGGGCCTAGTAGGAAGTTAGCTCATGGGGGCATGTCCTTGAAGGGCATAGAGACCATAGGTCCTTGTCTCTCTCTTGTTCCTGGGCCACCATGAGGTGAACAGGCCTCTTCTATCATGTGCTCCTGCCATGATGTACCATGCCACTCAGACCCAAAGCAACAGGACCAAGTAACTATGGACTAAAACCTCTGAAATCATGAGCCCAAATAAACCTTCCTCTTTAGAATTGATTTTCTCAGGTATTGCATCACAGTGACAGAAAGCTGACTAGCACTTTTCTCTGCAGTTCAGAATGGCTGCATCATTACCATAAATAATACCCAGCAGTACTACAGTTTAAATGCCATTGTAGACTTCTGGTACAATTAGTGATTTGAGCCAGGTCYTTTAAAACTTCTATCAAATTCCCATTAAAATGAACAAGTAAATTCTTAAGAAGAAAAAAGACCATTTCAGCACCGAAGAATGAGCAGAGATGGGAAGGGGCCAAAATAAACCAGAAATCTGGCCTTTTATAAACTCTACAGCAAAATGCAGAGCTGCATGGTCTCAGCCATGAGTAAATGCAAAAGAAACACCAAGAGGACCCACAAGTAAACTCAACACGAAGCTCAGAGAAGCACCAGCTATGGGCAAAGGGACAAGTATCTTCAGGAAATGGCATGTTGACCAAGCTGGGCATCAACACAGAGGATACCAATACAAGTCACCACAGTAGTGTCCTAGTTAACCTGGAGAGGCCTACAGGAGTGGCTCACTCATCAGTTTCTGCAGAAAACCGGAACTCTGCCAGGATTCAAACCTCCCAAGGCCAGAGAATCAGAGGCTGGCGAGCAAGTCAAGGCCGCAGCTCCCAGAAGCTCAACTCCATGAACAAGTTCCACTAGCAGCAGACCAAATTATGCCATCATAGCCCTTGCTTGGCACATGTGGTTCTGGGCATTGCTGACCTGCTGAACACTAGCAGCCACGCCAGTCAGGGAAGTGGAGCAGGGTCCTATTGACTTGGGTCAGACTAGCTGCTTCAAAATGAAACCTGACGGTCAGCCTAGCAGGGACCAGGACCACCAGAGCTTCCTGGGATCCCACCACACCTCCCACCAACAGCCTCACCCTTCCTCTAGCAAAATACCTCTGCTGGCTTTTGTAACTTTTGCTTTTTTCTTCTCTAGCCAAAGTCTAAAACTCCACACAGTCCCTAAAAGCCCCCATTTCAACTCTGAAATCTCTTCCTTATGTAATGTCTAAGTATACAGAAAAAGGTCTCAAGGCCTATTAACACTCACAAGTTCAAAAGCAAACAGTCAATCTGTGAATCAGCAGATTTGTCCTATCAGAAAACAAATTATTTTTAAAATAACAAGAGGAGAACTTGCTTTACTTTCCCACTGTGGGCTACCGGAGAAGAGTGAAAGCATGATAGTGTGCTGACACTAATGCTGGCTGAGGACAACCACCTTGAGCTTTTCCAGTGACCTCACATTGATAATCTGAAATAAAAGATCAAACACAAGGGCTAGGGGTATAGCACAATGGTAGAGTAATTGCCTAGCACATACAAGGTCCTCAGGATTGCCCTAGCACCAAAAGAAGTGTGGGGGGGAATATATCACACACATACACACACACACACACACACACACACATATATATACATATATAAACTTATACATAGATGTACATATTTAAGTTAATATAATTTATGTACTATAAAAAATATATATTTTTTTAAATCAAATACAAACCAATTTCAATTAAAAAAATTTTCCTCCTTTCAAACCATGGCTTTTTTGAGAGAAAGAGCCAGGTGTTAAAGATTTCTGAATTTATGAGCACAGTGCTGCAACAGCCACTAAAACAAACAAATAAATAAATAAAGCAAATGCAAAAACAAAAAGCAAGCATTAACTTCAGGAAAAATAAAAAAGTCTATTAGGAAGATAGTTACAAAACACTACTATGCTTAGTTGCAAATAATTTTTTTTTTTAAAGAGAGAGTGAGAGAAGAGAGAGAATTTTTAATATTTATTTTTTAGTTCTCGGCAGACACAACATCTTTGTTGGTATGTGGTGCCGAGGATCGAACCCAGGCCGCACGCACGCCAGGTGAGCGCGCTACCGCTTGAGCCACATCCCCAGCCCATTTTTTTTTTTTAATATTTATTTATTTTTAGTTCTTGGCGGACACAACATCTTTGTTTGTTTGTGGTGCTGAGGATCGAACCCGGGCCGCACGCATGCCAGGCGAGCGCGCTACCGCTTGAGCCACATCCCCAGCCCCATCCCAGCCCAGTTTCAAATAATTTATTGGACCTAACAACGCAAATGCCAAACACTGACATAACCAAACTTTATAACATAATAATATTGGAAGGACGGTGGTGCGGAAGCAGAGGGAAAGGGTGTACAGGGGCCCTAAACTCTCATTTACCCTAACAGAAAGTCAAGAGACAATAACTACACTTGATCCACAGCACAGCAGTGTAAACATGTTATCTGTAAATATGGATATGAGTGAATTCCAGAATAAACAGCTAAACTTTCATACTAGTTGATTCTGTAGTCGGAGAATCTCTGAAAGAGTAGAGAGAGACCCCACTGTATTTTGTAATAAACCTTGATTACTTAACTACTTTTTCAACTACATGTATACATAGTTCCACATTTTAAAAAATACTATGTTACTGGGCTGGAGATATAACATAGTTTGAAGAGTGCTTGCCTTGCATGCACAAGGCCCTGGGTTCAATCCACAGCACCACAAAAAAATAAATACAATGTTACATTTTCAAATAGTTTGATTGATATGGTTAAGGTACCTCAAAGCAGGTACAACTAGCAATCTACAAAAGCACAAGAGCACATGTACCTTGAGTATCCAAAATGCAAAGAAAATAAATATATTTACAGTCCTTTTTCCAAAGGAATTGGACCCTTTGTTTTAAAGTGACTTTATCTGAAAAGGTATTAGCGACTGAAAAATATTGAACATATTACATGAAAATGTTAACGCACTGTTTAAAAATAAATTTGCCCTATTTTTTCGCTTTGTGGATCCAATGTGTCTGTCTTCTTAACCAGATTTCAGAGTTCAAATGAAACTATTTAAGTGAGCTACATCGACTATCATCACTTCTAACAGACAGATCACGACAGTGGTGGGTAATGTGCAAATCAGGGCGCTCTCTGAGCACCTCAGCTATAATGGTAGGAACCGCTCCCAAGATGGGGTCCGACTTCCCTCTTCACTATAACTGGTCCAAGGCCTTCTATGCTGAATGATTTTTAGGGTGTTCATCTTTACCAAGAATTTTTACCTAAGAAAATTCAGCAATTATTCAGATATATTGGCCAAGGTGCTCATTCAATAGCCAAGGGAATTAGCCATAAAAACTTGCTGGTCTTTCCTGAGATAAATTATTTTTGCTAATCATGGTACTTCCTCTGCCAGCTAAGTATAAGGTGAGTTATCTTTGACCAGTTGTTGTTGTTTTCATTTATTAAATTTAAACGGACTGAACATGTCAAGGCACCTGAAGGGAAAAAAACAGTGGACAGAGTGACCCAACAATAAAAATAATGCTTGCCAAATCAGGCTGTTCTAAATCAGAGACTCTGCTGCACAGACCTCAACTTTGTGCTTTGTCAGGGCCTCCTTTGTGTCCAATGTTCCGTGCTTGAAAACACACTGGAGTGTTTCCTGTCTGCAACTGGAAAAACAATGCGAATCAGGAAGGAACTTCCCACTCGCCATGTTACTCTGGGCTTTGTTTTTTCCTATGCGAGCCACCCCACAGTTCCACTGGTCATTCCAACCAGGACTCCATCAGGGAGGGCTTTTGATCTACTTTTTGCTAAGGCATGAGACCTTGCCCTCCTTGATCTTCCAAAGCCTCAGGAGAGCAGTGCTGTGCAGGCCAGAACAGGCCACCTTCCCCCTGACTCCACAGAGTGACATCCAACCCTCCAGTTATGGCTGACCGCATGCTACCTTCACCCCACTYACTAGGCAAGGAAAAAACAGAAATATTCCCAATCTTAAGTAAAAATCTTAAAAAATTATATTTGCTAATCATGGTATTTCCTCTGCCAGGTAAGTATAAAGTGAGT